ACATGGCATCATATTGTGTGTAAGTACTGTGCATACTTTGCTTCTTTGTGTGAATGTTGTCTTATCACGAGAGTTGGTTTCGAACTGTCAGTGATTTTGTCTTGGCTTGTGACGGTAATAATATTTGTTTCATATCCATGAGTGGAGTAGACTTTTCAATGTAAACCTATCGCTAAAATTGGTAAAAAATAAATTTAATCGATTGAAATCTATGGAACTGGTATAGTTTTCTGTTTTTCACATTTGACTCCCATTTATAAACTGTTGTCAAGTATATTTAACTTTTTGTTACGGTCTAGCTACACCAACCACGAAGATTGGTCTAGGTACACCAACCACGAAGATTCTAAGCGTTGGTGAGAAATGCATTATTCAAAAAATGTGTTTTGACTACGTCTTAAATGATCAGGTATTCGAAAAATTAAGCTTAGACACGTTCTGGGAAATGTCGTATGTGGTTCATAACTCCGCCGTCACTGAACGGATTCTTAAAACTACATCAAAGCTTGTTCATACTTGGCATGTAGTCTAATCATATTAGACGAAAATGACTTGTGAATAACCCTGTATATGATCAATGGAATTTTATATACATGAGTTAGAGTCATTGCCACAATACCACATCATATTTGAATTGTATGCGTTCTAATACAACTGTTGGTGTCTATGTCTAAGTGACTCAATATTCATATAAATTTTATACTAGAATTAAAAGAACGACTGTTGCTACCGTATAATGAATGAAACTTAACAAAAAGAACCTTATTCTAAAATACCCCTGGCGAAATAATTATGAAGTCTTTTATTCCACAACAAAGAATGAGAAATCGTGTTTTTGAGGATTTAATCGAAAGTGTTGGCAGGAACGAAAAAACTGTTAATATAAGATTTTTAGGTATTTGAGACCTACAAAATGAGACTACACATAAAAGGATCCGATAGCAAAGAAGTTATGGTCGAAACCGAGGCAAACTGCAGGATATGGCACTTGTTGGTATTACGACGATGGTTTCTCGCAGATATTTGATATTCTTCAAATTCGTAGGATTCATACTTCTAAATAACCACAACAACAATTGGAGTAGATTGGTCAAGTAGTTTTTGAGAATTTCTAATTGTTTATTCCAAAATACCTGTTTTCTGACCATCACTACTAACTTATTGAGCAATATACAGGGTTAGTTCAAAGCACATTTCATAGCAAAATACACTGGTTTACCTTGCCGATATGAATCACAAACCATTCCGGAATATAAATGTTATTTTTAGGCAAAAACGATAGGTTAAGTTTTTTCTTCCAAGCAAATTCAAACATGTCGTATTTGTGGGTAATTCGCAACAACAGATGATAAGACACATCCGCTGTGTATAGTTACGTATGTTTTTCGAATACCTTAGCGCATTTTTTCAATTACTCACAAATACAAAATGTTTGAATTTGTTTTGAAGAAAAAACGTGACTTTTGTTTTTCGCATAAAATAACATCTTTCGGAATGGTTTGAGATTCATATCGGCAAGGTGAACACGTGTATTTTGCTATTAAATGTTCTTTGAATGAGCCCTGTATATTGCCCAGTAAACTAGTAGTGATGGGTGGAAAACTGCTGTTTTGGGATAAACAATCAGAAATTCTCAAAAACTTCTTGACCAATATAATCCAATTTTGTTGTTGTTATTTAGAAGTATGAATTCTACAGATCTGAAGAATTTCAAGTAGTTGCGTGCAATTATCGTCGCATTACCAACAAGTGCCAAAACCTGCATTTACCTCGTTTTTCGTCCATAACATTTTTGCTATTAGTCGGATATTTTACGTGTGGTCTCATTTTGTAGGTCTCATAAATACCTAAAAATCTTATATGAAAAGTTTTTCATTCCTGTCACACTTTCGATTGAATCCCAAAAAACACGTTTTCTAATTCTTTGTTGTCAAATAAAAAGTTTTCCCACAAAAATTGGTGTATCCATTTTATGCGTCCCATGTTTTAATTATACCCTTGAACAACTTACACCATTAAAACCAGACTTTACAATTATTTCGGGGAATTTGCTAATATGATTAGACTAATGGTAGTAATCCTGTTTCAAATTCTATTAAAACCTATTCAGTACTTTTACAATAGGTAGGTATTTCGTACCCAACTGATGCGGAAAGAAAAGCTATTTTTATTTAAATCGCAAGTAAATCCATATCGCACTGTGAGAATTGAGTTTCCGAACTGCCACTGTATGGAGAATTACAAAATTCCTCATGATTCATTAAAAATTAAACAAAACAGAGGGTGCTGTGAAAACAAATGAAAACGGCCGGCTGTCAAGCAGTCGTTCTTGTCAGTTTTCATCATGGCTTTCGTCGCGTGCCTTGTCGGTTTAATTAAAAAAACGGAAACTTTGAGTGAAGTGCCGTGCCCGGTGTCCGATAAACCATGTGACTTATTCTTGTGTGTGTTTAGTGTCAACTTTGATTACCGTATTCCACCTGACAATGGGAATAGTGCAGAAAATGGATTTATCACCTCATCGCTGGAATTCGAGGTAGGATTTTGACTGTCAATCAAAGGCTCTGGTTCTTAATAACGTTCTAACTTGGACAATCAAATAGAAAGTTGAATTAAAACCATGATATATTTTGGCGCTTCTCGTAAGCGAATCTTATAATAGCTTTCATCGTCCTACAAATCCCGAAGGTTGTCGAATTATGAGAGATCACTTCCATGCGCTTACGCAGTTCGGTAATCGTTTAGAATTTCTTGCGTACCATGATCTCCGTGAAACAGGGTTGCCATAGGGGAATTTTACGTTCCTTGGGGAATTTTTGGGGGAATAAAATGTTCTGGGAGAGTTTTTGGGGGAAAAAATAAAATCGTTGGGTATTTTATTCCATCTTTAACTAAAAAACTGTCCACTGTTTAATAATAATTTTATCTTTCAGTAGTTCTTTTTTCTACACAGCGCACCCAGGCGGCCCGACCTTGGCAAGTCTTTAACCTCACCTTTTTGTTCAAATTTCCGCACCGACTGACGAATGGTGTTGACACTGGGCACATTATTTCGACCGAAATCTTGTCGTAGCTTACGAATCGTTGCAACAATTGACTCATTATTTGAGTAAAACTTTTTAACAATGGCGCGCAATTTAACTCAGTTCTACATTGGCCACCCTGTATATAAAAAACTAAGTCGTGTACTTTTCAAATTATAAGCTTGTATGTATGTACATGCATTCATGTAGTAACACAAAACATTGAAATAAAAAGTCACTTTAAAGACACAAAAGTTCATATATTGTCGTTTGTCTCCTCTTCATCTTTAAAATGGCGTCTTGAAATCGTATTTCTAATTCAGAAATAAGCTCCATAAACTCTGTATCTCCCTGAGTTTCGACAAAGCTTTTGAGCTGCTTGGTCAGGGTAATAGCTTTACCATAATTTGAAATAGCTTCTGTTGGTACTGATCCTCATCGACATCAGAATCTTGGGAAAGTTCTTGTATTTAAACTGGATTTTTAATTTCTTGGCCTAAATCTGGATCTTCAACATACAAGCTTTCGACTAGGTTAAAAAAATCATCAAGGTTTTCGTTAATAATTTGGAGCCATTTCTACATTGAATGTGTGCCCACTGTATCTTTTCCGCATAGACATACCTAATGTAAATTTATTCGAATGCGTGGGATGAGGTTTGATGAAATAAAAAGTAACCATATTAAAAATAATCTTTATATTCTCGTTTACATTACATTATTTGTTTGGGATTCGCAAAAGCAGTAATGTACCTTTTTAATTCTTTATATGGAATCTAATAAAATAACGAACAACGATGACTTAATAAAAATATCGTTTTTAAAAAAATACGGCTCAAGCTCTCACAATAAAATAAATACAGTTTGAATAAATAAAAATTCGACATTCTGCTCCTATCTTTTTCGGTAAAATGATTAGAGATACTGCTAATTTTCAACGGTCGAGAGTAAAAATTGCATGAATTAGCACATACTTTCAGCGACTGATGGTAAACATTGAGGATGCTGGTTTTTCAGCTGTAAGTATATACTAAAATCTAGTTATTTCTACTTGAAGCATATTTCGTACTGTATACAACTATGACACAATGTGACACAGAAAATTTCTCGCAAACTTGAAATAATATCAAATCAAGCTCTTTTGAACTAACAACTAAAATTTTCTATGCGAATTGTGGCAATGATGTATAAGCGTGTCGCTGAATCAAGGCTTTAATATAAAACACTTAAAAATAGATTATTTTATACACATAACTATGTTACAAAGTGGAGCAAATCGTTCGTTAAATATAAAATAGAGCAGTCAGAGCTTTAAAGTTTAGACATCTCCAGGCGGTACGACGTTAAGTGAGAAGGCTGCAAAGGTTTCACCCTTTTTGCCTATAGCCTTGGCTTGGTATTGACCAATATCGTTCGAGTTGCAATTCAGGATTTCAAAGGTGTATCTCTTTCCGTCAGCTGTGAAGTTGTATTTTGCGCTGCTTTCCTTGATCTGCTTGCCGTCTTTCAGCCAGTTAATTTGCAACGGCTCGTCTTCTGTCTCTGCTACGAATGTGGCCGATTCTCCTTCCGACACCTTGAACAAACATTGGCGTTAAGTAGGTTGACTCTACACTAGGGTTACCTTTTTTCAAACGCATACCCACTAATTTTTTTTGAACAAAGTCAAAACATTGTAAATAAAGTTTTATGCAAATAGAATCAGGGCAACCAGTGCCGAGTTGCATTGGAACATGTCAAAACTTGCATATTAAGCGCGAGATAGCCAACAAATTGCAGTGCTCGTTTGTTCTATTAGTATACGCACACGTCTAAGGAATTACGCAGTTCTAAAATGGGAATATTTTAATAGGGAACGGTTCAAAGCTTCCCTCGAATGGACAAGTACTAGCAGTTTTGTTTTATAATACCCGGGAAGTGAAATTAAGTTTCAATGGGAGCGCCATTATTTACTAGAAAGGCTAAGACTCTACCTAAGGGTTATGAAACTAGTTACCTGATACCAAGTTTGGAGAGATTTGCAAAAAATGCAAGAAAAATACAAGATGTTCCAGTATACAACCTACAGGTCAGACCTCTGGAGTAGATGTTACATCACATCAGAGCCAAACATTGATAGCTGTCAGCGTCATGACAGTTAGGCAACACGTACAGCTACAGAACGAGTGCACATCAAATGACCAACAAGTTCTAAGTTGACATCTTGTATATCACAAAAAACCTATATACAGGGTGTTAATAAACTATGTAGATAAACTTTAACCATCGAATCCTTGGTCAATTTGAAAACAAAATTTCCATATGAACATTGGTCCGCAACGGCTTTGTTTCAAGCTAGAGCATATTAGCAATAAAAGAAATGATGATATTGTTCTAAAAATTATTAAAGAATGGAACGTATTTTATTTTAATTAAGTATGCCCCGTGGTGAATAGCACATGGTTTACAGTTGTTTCCAGACCCTCCATTGTGCTTATCTATGACGTACCCGAAAACAAATTTTCTCAAATAATTCAACAGCTGTCAAATATTTGTTTTCTTGTCCGGTCATTCTAAGACTCCAAATATTTTGGTGATTGCTGATTGTCATAATGGTCCAGTTCAGTAATCAAGAAATGACAGATATGCATTTTGTTTACGGAATGGCTCTGGGTAACGCTCGACGAGCACGACGTTTGTATAGTGATCGATTTCCACAACGCCCGCTGCCTAATGTACAAACTTTCATCAACATTCAGCCTATGTAAAACATTTAGTTTCAAGAGGTCCACACATGTTGCAGGAAAACCGGCAAGTGTAAGAACCATCCAAATCGAAGAAGCTGTGCTTAATAAAATCGAAGAGGACCCTACAACAAGTACACGAAAAATTGCACACCAGCTAAATTTGAATCATGTAACGGTATGGCAACTTTTGAAAAATCAGCAACTTCATCCATATCATATACAACGTGTACAAGCGCTCTAGCCTCGAGATTTGCCTATAAGAGTTGATTTTTGCAACTGGTTACGTAAAAAAGTAACATTAAATAAAAAAATTTTAAATACTATTCACGGATGAAGCATGTTTGTTGCGAACAGCAATAATAAGTTTCCATAGTAACCATGTATGGTGTGCAGAAAATCTCTATGCCATAATTGAACATAATACGCAACACGACTTTTCCTTCAATATTTGGATTTCAATCGTTAGTGACCACTTGATTGGCCCTCATTTCCTTACAACCAGACTTAGCGGCGAAGAAGACTGAATATTTCTGGAATTTGACCTACCTGGATTAATGGAGGAAATTGCTCTTTGAGAACGACGTCGCATGTGGTACATGCATGACGGTGCTCCGCCACGCTTCAGTGTCGTTGCGCGAGAATACCCAGATAATAATTATCCAAATCGATGGATTGGAAGAGGCGGACCACAGCCATGGCCGCCTAGATCGCCTGACATTAATCCTATCGATTTCTTTTTATGGGGTCATTTGAAATCATTAGTATACAAGACTCGTGTTCAAAGCGTGGAGGACGTAAGAGTCAGAATTGTCGAGTCATGTCTGACTATACAAAATACTCCGGGTATTTTCAGGAGAGTTCGTCAGTCAATGTATACTGAACTCGAATCGAAGGTGGCCACTTTGAACATTTATTGTAAAAAAAACTATTCGATATTTTCTATTGTTGTCGTTCTATTCGAATGTTACTGTTCGAAACTATTGACATTTTAAATATTTTTTTTTCCAAAAATACAGGATAATACTAATTTCATCCACGTTCATATTGAGCCTCAGCAACTTGTAAAACATGTAAAATTTATCATAGGTTATACCAACTGTTCAATAAATACGTTTCATTATTCATAGAAATATTTGGAACATTACTCGTATTTCTTTAGTGATAGTGCTCTACTGCTCTAGCCCGAAAAGCAATGGACCCATGTTCATATGAACATTTAGGCTTTAAATTGACCAAGGATTCGATGGTTAAAGTTTGTCTACATACTTTATTAATACCCTGTAATGTAAAAATTGACACGCTTTTAAATATACGTTATACCGCTGTCGGATGTTGCAACCTGAGAACAATGGTGCCTTCCGATCGAACGGCGACATCTTCGAACAGCATTTGATTGCCGACTTTGCTGTAGACTTATCAGCGATCAAAGGCACTTCTTTTTTCTGAAGAAGCTGAATACCTATGTATACTTTATCTGAAGTCACTTGAAACACTGTGAAATACCGGGTGCGTTTTATATATCTATATTTAACACGCTCTGTTGCTGCAAAAATCGCCAAATTTCGCAGCAAATATCCCCCGTATAAGATCAAAGGCAGTTTCACCGGTCCACGTGGAGTAAAGCACGCCTATGCGTGGACATAGCCAATGAGAAAGCGTGTATTTCAGAGCTCCGAACAAGTGCAGGTGGCTACTGAAAATTGAAACAGCTTAGCCAGTGCCGTGTAGCGGTGAATAAACGTGTTTTCTTTAGTCTGTCCGTGTTTTTTCATAGATTTTATTAGTTTGTGTGTTTTTGATTTTTGAATACTCAGTTTACTTGTTGATTTAATTGTTGTGTTGATTGTTCTTGTGTGTCCTAAATATGGCTCTTTGGAGACCTTGGGAGAATGCTCCAAGCCACGAGGAGATGGTTGATGAACCTGTGTAGGCAAAATTCTTTCATAAAGATTTAGAGGAACAGACCCAAAGAGTAATCCTAAATATGTAGGACTGTCTGAAAAACGAAAATCCAGATTCCTCGCAAAATCAAATTTTAAACAGAATTTGTATCCTGACAAAAATCAGTCGGTCTACCATTTATCGGGTTATAAAAAGGGGAGATGTAGTCAACCATTCCTTCCACAGAAAGCGCATAGGGCAAAAATTAAAAAGAATAGACGTGGGTTTTCAGGAAGATATTCGTCGTATAATATACGGATTTTATAAAGAAAATTTGGTGCCCACGTTGGAAATGATACGGGATAAATTAAAAGATTATCCTGAAGATTTTTATAATTACAAATGCTTAGACTCACTGCACAGTATTGTAAAACTGTGTGGTTTTCAATACAAAAAATTAGATAAAAGAATGGTGATTATGGAGTCGTCTTGAATCGTTGAATTGCGCCAAGAATTTTTGCACAAAGTTAAAATCTATAGAGAGCAGAAAAGAAATCTGATTTACCTGGATGAAACGTGGTATGATACCCATGATGTTGTGCAGTACGGCTGGGTTGACGACAGCAACAAGTGCATTTTAAATGCACCATGCAACCGTGGAAAACGAATCATTATTCTCCATGCTGGCAGTGAAAATGGATTTATACCTAATGCCTTGCTGTTATCTGCCAAAAATATCAAAGAATCATGTGCCGACTATCATGAGGACATGACCTCCGACTTATTTGAAAAGTGGATAGAGCAGCAGTTAATACCCAACATTTCCCCAAATTCAGTGATTATTATGGACAATGCGCCATACCATTCCCGACAGAAAAACAAAATTCCGAATACAGGCACAAAAAAACAAGACATTATTGATTTTATGAAGGATAAGGGAATGGAAATACCACAAAAATCAACCAAAGCCATATTATTGGATGTTATTAAAAGACAAAAATTTGAAAAAGAGTATGTTGTTGACAATCTGCTTCAGCAAAATGGCCATGAAGTATTACGTCTACCCCCCTATTACTGCATTTTTAACCCGATTGAGTTGGTCTGGGCTGCTTTAAAAAAAAGTAAGAAAACATAATCAGACCCCTCAATTAAGTGAATCGCTATTGGCCACAATAAGAGATGCAGTATCTCATATTGCTGCCACAGACCTATGGAAGCAGTGTTCTAGGCATATTATTGAAAAAGAAAATGAATATTGTGTTTTGCCTCCTGTAAATCCCGTTGTAATTCCTCTACAAGATGACTCTAGCGACAGCTCCGAAGGCGAGGATGATATATAAATACCTATAATGTAAGTCTTTATATACCTTTTTATATACCTACCTGCTATATAAATATTTGCCTATGTCAAACGTTGGAATTCTGTAATTTTTCCATTTCTTAACTTTCAGTCAACATAAATTAAACTCCCAAAATAAGTATTTTTTATCCCAAATCAAAAAAATAAGAAGATAGTAAAATCCATTTATTGTGATATAAAAACATTATTATTATCGTTCTAAATAAATGACCGCACGCCTATGATACGTCATGAAATTACAAAGGACGCGCCGATCAAAGGTTTTTATGCTATTTCAAGTGACTTCAGATAAAGTATACATGCTAAAAGCAATTTTGTTTGCGCGGTTAAGTTTGTGATAACTTTCATCACTTAAACATAGATTATATCCATTCAACATAAATTAACAGTGCGAATTTTTCATTTTTTTTTACTTTTTGGCTGATATTTATTATTTTAAACGCAGTTGTTTTTGAAAACGAAAGTCTCAACTGTGTATCTACGAACTGGGTAAATGTATCTTACCGTAGCGGAAGTCGGGAATGTTTTGAAAACTGGACTCTTGGGCTGTTCTCCTGGAGCAACAACATTCAATGTACAACTGCTGAAACTTTCTCCTGCATTGTTGAACGCCTCGCAAGTGTAGGCTCCCGAGTCCTCCGGGAATATCTCAGCGATGACCAATTTGTAGATGTTTGCCTCGTTGGTGTATTGGAAGTCCTTGGAAGGTTTGATCTCCTTGTTGTTGTGTAGCCATACCACATCGAACTTATCAGCTCCTATGATGCGACAAGAAAGCGTTACTGGTTCTCCGTCTTTCACGAAGGCTGACTCTAGGTGGCTAACGATCTTTGGTGGTTTGTCCTCGCTTTTCTTTTTACCGTCCACGTTGTTTGTCATTGCTAAAAAGTAAATACATTAATAGCATACAGTAGGTCAACAGACGAGGGTTCTTTAAAAAATAAGGTTCCCATGTTTTTTTCAGGCACAAGGAATTTTTTATTTGAAAAAACGAATCCACTACTGGAAACGGTAATCTTCAAGCTATTCGCTTAGAAGCAGAAGCCTAAATACTGGGACACCGCGGTTGCTGAGATGATCCCAAAGAAATTTTGTTAATCCGATTTTGATTTGCCTAAGGTTCTTCCGGTCTGATTCCAAAGAAACATCTCTGGAGCAGGAAAGACTGATGCGGACAAAAGCCACCACTCCCCCGTTCTTTCTCAGATTGGAGTGCACCTTGTAATTTGGGAAGCTAAGATGGTTAATCGGTGCAGACTCTGAGTTTTTTGTCTCCGCCAACAAAAGCATGGCGGGACGATTGGATTGCAAGTAGTGATGAACAGCATCAATGTTGCTCTTAATCCCGCAGATGTTCGTGACACAAATTTTATCTTCGATGTTGTTCCCTCGAGTCCACCCTCCACCCGGACATTCCGAGAGTGGAGTGAGTTTACGTCCGGAGTTCTTAGTACTCGAGGGATCCATCATCATTAATTTCTTTGTTTTGGAAGATAACCGACTGCATAGCTTATTTGTGGAAACATGCGGACATTTATAAGACAAAGCTAGCGGGTGGTACCGCCTCGGTCAAATGGTCCTTGTCTACCACCTTCTTTTTGCGTGTTAGTGATATTAAATAGACCTAAAGTGGCCCTTTGGCAGACTTATATCGCTACCCGGCAATCGGTACTGAGGTATTACTCAACGCGTGTACAATCACTTGAACGGGAAGAAGTTGTATACTGCATACAACAACTTCCGTAACAAGCATTTTCCACGGCCCCGCTCAGTAGGGGTTGGAATCCTTGGTTTGTTGTGAGACATGAGGTTTGCGCATTGCTATGAGGCATAGATAGCCTAATTCTGGACCCAGAGACCCCAGCGCCAGAGCCCTCTTCTGTGACAGAGCCGTCCGTGTATCAAACCTGCCCACTCACTCCAGAGAGCCTCCGGCTACCGGCGTCCCACTCCTCCCTCGTTGGATACTCCACATAAAACTTGGTAACTGCTTCTTGCAACTCCTCGTCCGTCTCGAACCGTTGACCGCCTAGGTGCTCCTTCAATTTCGGAAACAGTTTGTCAGGCCTGTAAGGGGGATGGGCAGTGACCTCCCAGCCAAATCGCTCAATTCAGTCCTTCGTTTGTTGTGGGACATGAGGATGTGCATTGTCGTGATGCAGTCTTACGCTTTGGACAGTTTTCCGCTACGACGATTTTGGATTGCCGTCTCAGATTTTTCAGAAGCCTCAGGAATTTCAATCGCCTGAGGACATGTTGAATGCTTATATACGTTTCCCATATACTTCACTCAACTGGCGATGCATTTCTATGGGTGGTAACGTTTTCGCGTGCAAAAATCGGATGACCGCACGAATTTCGCACCTGGCGATGACGGTGATGAAAAACTCTAGTCGGATCCGAGGCGCTTCTTGTTGGGATTGGTGGTGGGAAACACGACGGTGTTGCTGGCAAAATTACAGCGTTGTAACCTTATTTTGAAACAACCCTCTTATTTTGTCCCTATTATTCACCTTATAATCAAAACCTTATTGGTACTTGGACTGTTACGGAGAAGTTAAAGAGACTTTGTTGATACAAGTAAAATGTTATTTAACTGTGAGACATGAGGATGCGCATTGTCGTGGTACACTCTTACGCTTTGTTGAATTTTTTCCTATGACGATTTGGAATTGCCCGTCTCAGCTTTTTCAGAAGCCTCAGGAGTTTAAACCGCCTGTTCCCGGATCGTAATTCGTCAAAAAAAAAAAAAAAAACGAAACTTAAGCCCTTGTTTTTTTATTATTGGGTTTATCATGGCATTTTAAGTAGACGTTCAAGAAAGGACCACGGAAAGAAGGTAACTAACATTAAATAAAGACAGTAGGTACGTCCATTCTCATTTTCTCTCGCAATAGTACTTACGTTTAATGGTCAGCTTGCACTTAGTCTGTACTTCTCCCATGGAGTTGGTAGCTTTGCAGACATATTCTCCTTCGTCTTCAGGATATACTTCATTGATGTGTAGTTTGGCAATTCCATTCTTGTACTTGAGATCGACTACTTCTGATGAGCTGAGGGCTTTTCCGTTCTTGCTCCACACGATTTGTGGATCTGGGTCTCCTTTTACATGTGCTGTCAATGTCAGGCTGTCACCGTCGTTAACTGTCAAGTCTGAGAGTGTCTTAGTGAATGCTGGCGGTCCCATTGATTCGTCTGGTGGCACTGAAAGTTATATTTGACAATCAAAATTACGTAAGGTCAGCAAGGGCGTACCCAGCTCAAAACGGAAAAAAATTGTTGGTGGAAGTGAATCATATCTACTCAGCTGTGCATTTTCATCTATTTGCATTTCATTGCTTTATCTATTTATCCGACACAAATTTTAAAACATATTTTATGCACTGTTACGAAAGAGGTTGATTTCTCAAACAAAAAAAATGTAATAAAAGTCCTACAGAAATTAGGTTATAAACCTAACCAATAATAGATCGAAATATGAATATCTGCATTTTGCGTTCATCGTTGTGATGTTAGAACACGCATTATTAATTTATTGTAGCAAATGTTGTATCAAACAACTGAAAAAACAAAATACCAGGAATTTTTGTTTTCTCATACTGATAAATGTAAATAAGGTTTAATCTGTATCGTGGGTGATCTGAAAGAAGAATGGTCGATTTTTGTGAAGTTAAATAAGGAATTATTTTGCGATTTTTTAGTTATTTATTAATAAAAATGGCACATGTGTACACTAATGAGGAGTTAGTGGACATTGTTTTAGCGTACGGAGAAGCAGGGCAAAATTCGCGAGCGACTTCTCGTTTGTATGCACGCCGATTTCCGAATAGACACATACCACATCACGAAACATTTAGTTCAATTGTTTTACGTGCACGTGCTAGTGGAGATTTGCGCCCCAGACGTGGAGTGGATGGGGGTCGGGTGCGCCCACAACGCGTTTTAAATGCCGAAGACGAAATTTTGGATATTGTGGAAGAAAATCCGGGAATAAGCACAAGGCAGTGTCACATGCAACAGCGTGGCGCATATTACATGAGGCCCCACGGTACCCTTATCACGTCCAAAGAGTCCAGGCGTTGCTATCTGCAGACTACCCCCAAGAGTAAGACGTTGTGAGTGGTTGTTGGAAGAAAATGCTCGAAATACCAGTTTTACAACTGATATTTTGACCACCGATGAAGCTATTTTACTGGTAATGGGGTAACTAATCTTCATAATACACACGTTTGGTCCTTTGAGAATCCTCACGCAGTGCTCCAGACACACCAACATCGTTTTTCTTTAAACGAGTGGGCAGGTATTGTCGATGAACGTCTAATCGGACCGTTCATATTGCCAGATCGGATGGATGGTCACCAGTATTTGGAATTTCTTCAGAGATTTGCTGGTCCTTTTTGAAGATGTGCCATTGGCGGTCCAAGCACAGATGTGGGTTCTGCACGATGGGACACTGCCGCTTTTTCATTTAGAAGTTTGTGATTTTTTTAATCAGGTATACCAGATATGCTGGATCGGAAGGGGTGGACCAATTGCATGGCCTCCACGGTCTCCCGATCTAAGTCCTCTAGACTTCTTTTTGTGGGAAATGAGGTATAGCGTACTCCAGTTCAGAATATTGAAGAATTGCGTGACCTAATCACAGTGGCTGCCGATAATATGAGCCTTCAGGCACAGCAGGAAGGAGGTGTATTTGAATTAGTGCGCCGAAATTGGATTAGACGCGCCCAAGCTTGCATTGCAGTCAATGGAAACAATTTTGAACATCTTTTATATGTAAGTGAACTGTATTATTTTATTATTTCGATTTCTTTAGGACTTTTATTACATTTTTTTTTTGAGAAATCAACTTCATTCGTAACAGTGCATATGTGGTTAAAATTTGTCGCATAAGTTGTGAAACACCCTGTTTAGAGTCTTGCACGATAATTTGACAATAATTCATATGGATATGGAAAACGACTAGGATTACTTTTTTACTTGTGATTAATATATGACAAATGTTTGCTATACTGTAAATTTTATATATCTTTTTTTTTTGGCGCAAATATCCTCAAAATTAAAACAGGGTGCGGTGGTGGGGAAGCAGACAATTACGACGGTGTTGCCAGATTTCGCCTAGCATCACGCGCGGAAAATTTACAGCGTTTGGAACCTGATTTTTGAAACAACTGTCGTAATATTGGTTCTTCTATAACGTGAAAAGTATCACTGGATTTTGTAGAAATTTTGAAGGACCTGTCTAATGGTACCAGTATTATGACCAAAAATCTATAACTCTTTATCTTTCTTTGTCGTTTCTGATGATTTTGAACGCAATCAAAAATTTCCTTAGAGGAGAAAATTCAGAAAGAAGTCAGACTTAGTTGACATATGTTGACAAGAGTTTATTTGAAGGATTTGAAGATTTCGAAATCCGGTAAAACTCGTTTTTTCAAATTCTAATCATCCAGTTACTTTTGTGTAACTCCAAACACAGCACTAGCAACACGAAGTGTGCAATTCGAAAAAATATTTGAAAGCGTCGCAAAACTTAGACAACTGTGTACTCTGTTGTAAAAGAAATTGTGAATAACCCTGTGCGTGAATAATCTAATTTTTGCCGAGCTTTTTACCCCTTCCCCTGGGTACGCCCCTGTCACATAGGCAAAATATATAGTCTTTGATCACTACATTTATGATAAATCGTTGGACCTCGGTTGGCCGCGTGGGTCAGAGTGTCGTGCTACTGATCAGCCGGCCGGCCGGGCCGCGAGTTCGAATCTCGCCTTCGCCATGGATGTTGTGACGTCGTGTGTTTGTCCATAATTAGAGATATACAAGATTGGATCTGTCTAATGGGACGCGCAATGTCCTAGTGCCAAAAAAAAAATGATAAATCGTAATTGGTGTTGGCGAGTGGTACAACTGTGTAGCGTTCGCGGGTTACTTACATGCAAGTTCTTTAGTAGCACTCCTAGATCTATTCGGGCTTCCTGTGGAGTCAAGCCGTCCGTATTTTCTAGCCCTCTTATCACCTTCAACGCTTAGGTTAGAAGAAGACCTCGCTAAGCTCGTGGTACTTGGGTTGTTAGACCTAGGTTGAATTGGACTAGGTGGATTCACAGGATTGGATGCAGGAACGGGTCTCTTGATAGTGACTGGTATCGGAGCAGGTTTGATAGGTTGTTCTATATACTTTCTATCTCCAGAGTGTAGCAGTTTGTTTGCTAATGCAGATTGCTCGGGTGTGCTTGTTTCGCCTTCTACTATAACCACGCAGGAGGTTTCGTCAGTGCCGTGTTTGTTGGTCGCCACGCATGTGTATTTGCCGGAGTCTGATGGTCTGCAACCGACTATCTCCATGGTTATGACGCCGTCTGAATGGGACATCGAGTATTCGTATTTGCTAAGTTCGCGTTTGTCCTTGTACCTGCAAGAAATTGGACAATTGCAGAAACACTTAAATGGAAAAAGCAAAACAGTAGGTCGCTACACCCTATTCGTAGTCCATTTACGCCCCGGCACAACAAAGATACAGTGCGGCAAAGCGGCAGCCGCCTAAGCGTTGCAATAGCTGTTAATATTCGGTGTATACATATGTGTGTTTATACGTTAGCATGTCGTCTACGGATACAGCAGATGAAACTGAGAATACCATATTTCTCCCAATGCTTCCTTAAGTCATGCTGCCTCTTCAGTGATGTCTCCTCCCCAAAAACGTGACAAGAAGGGACATTTGAATATTCAGGCAACAGAAATTGTCCTTAACGTTTATAAGTGCGAAATTTTAGAGCATCCTGAAATATGCTGATATTGAAAGACGTGTAGCGAACAAAACAGGTCCTAAGACAATTTTCAACATTGTTAAAGAATATACAAAAAAATTGCCTCCACCGCACAAGAGGGTGCATTACACGAAGCTGATGGATACAGTTGATAACTTTGAACGGAATGCCATCAGACGCAAAGTCCATCAATTTTTTGAAAACAGAAACTTCCCACCATAGACAGAGTATTGCAGGAAGTTAATAGTGATGAAGACTTACCTACTTGCAAAAGGACCTCATTCTATAGTTTACTCAAAGAACTTCAATTTGAGTATAGAAAACGGGGCAGAAATAGCATTTTGATGGACAGCCAAGAGATTATTTTATGGAGAAGAAATTATTTAAAATCAATAAAGAAATACCGCGACCAGGGCAGGAAGATTTATTACTTGGATGAAACCTGGATGAATACAGGACATACAAAACCTAAAGTATGGGCTGACTCTACAATTAAATCACCAAAACAAGCCTTTTTAGATGGCCTAAAGAATCCGTCAGGTACGTGTATTTAACCATTCGCCATTTGTTTTGTAAAAATGGTGTCAACTAGACTGAATCTATGAGCCCACACTGAAAACTTAGCTATATCTGGTAGGTTTGGAACCAACACCTGTACTCTGCTTGTATTATTAGTTTTCTTGAATAATATATGAAATAATTATTTCCAGGAAAAGGAAAACTATTTGTTTTCTGTCACATTGGTAGTGAAGATGGCTTTGTGTCCACTGCCCTAGGAGCATTTGAGTCAAAGAAAAAGGCTGTCATGTAGAAATGGACGGGAGTTCATTTGAACGATGGTTTGAAGAAAAGCCCCAAAGCTTGGCGACAATGCCGTCATTGTACTTGATAATGCTGCATACCACACTAGAAAAATTCCCACAATGTCCACAAGGAATGCAGAAATTCAACAATGGCTCCTATCAAAAGACATCAGTTTCAATGAAAATATGGGCAAAGCAGAACTTATATATCTAGTCAGGCAGCAGCAATATAAATATATCATTTTATTAATTTATTTTATTTTATTTTATTAATGAAATGGCTAAAAACTAAAAGAAAACCGTTTTAAGGCTACCCCCTTATCACAGCGGATTAAAATGATTTGGGCAAATATAAAAAACTATGTGGCTTCAAACAATGGAACATTCAAATTTTCTGATGTGAAAAATTTGTTTTATGAAGCTGTCAACAGAGTGACGGCTACGCATTGGAAAGATTGCATCCGTCACGTTCAAGGGACAATCGAAAAAAAGATGTGGGAATCTGGACAATATGATCGGTATACAAATTGAACCTGTAATAATTAATATTAACCATTCGGACGATGATTCAAGTGCTTCCAGTGAATAAAGAATTGTTTAAAGTTTGTGAACTTCTTTCTAAAAAAATGATCATTTATTTTGTAGTTGTATTTCAAGACCATTGAGGAAAATACGGACCTGTACAATCTCGCTTTTGGGCATGTTGTGTAGTAAGAAAACTACTTGAGCGTATCATGCGTGTACACAAGGTTTTTCAAGAACCAATAGAAATATTTCTAAAACAGAAAGTACATCAAAAAAATAACAAAATCGTTCATATGAATATTACCAAGATATAAATTTACATGCCATTGATGAAAATTGTTCAAATAATGCCATGGTCAGTTAGGATTGCTCTCGTATACACCACATACGAGGGTTGTCTCAAAACTGTGGTTCCTAAATTTTTTTCATCGTCGCCGTTTTTCAACGCATTTTTTTAGACGTGGAATCCACTTTTTCACTCCCCCCGCCAGCCCGCTTGGAAACTTGGTAACTGCCCCTTTCAACTCCCCGTCGGAGTTTGAGTGCTATTTCATATGGTGCACTTTTCTCCGAAGAGGTCAGTGGCGTAGAAAATATTTCCTACTAGGGGTCCAGGTACCCGAGTTTCTGCGTTCCTGGTTTGTGTTTATTGCCGATGTGCTGACTGAACGTCTAAAATCTTAACCCAGTATCTTTACCCGCTTCGTAGATTTTTTTTCATCATCTATCTCAGTAGGGGAGCATCTTTGGATCCATATTTATAGGAACTTTTTTTTTGTTATTTTTGGATGTACTTTCAACCTTAGGATTATTGGCACGCTGTATTTAAATGATTCTCTTAAAGTACCATTTTGCCAGTTTTTTACATACCATTTGACAGTTGGGAACGGTTTTCCGCTCAGGCAGCAGAGCAGTTTGCAAGTATCTCTTTCCTGCATAACACGAGGACGTAGCAAGAAGGTGAAGCTAGGCGCACATTCTTGCTCTTCTTGCCAGAACATGTACGGCAGAGGTTCGCGTCTTCGCACCACTGGTGCTTCCGGTCTGTATTCTGGAACCACCTTTGGCAATGCTGAAATAAAACAATGGAATAATAGCACTATCCACAACGAATCTTTTGATGTTGTCAAGTACCATATTGTCGGAACATCATACATGGTACATACAGGGTTTTCATTTGAAAACTTCCCATCATGGATTTATAGAAAACCACTGATTAAAAGAAAAAACGAGACACGTCAAAAGATTTGTCAAGGGGGACAACTTTTTAACCAAAAATTACTTCACCCTCTGCCACCCCTTTTCAAATGACAAGGGGTATCGAGTAATAGGTTGTTTGGAAGGTCTTCCAAAGTCCTTTATTTTGACGTTTGATTTTTTAAAATCGGTGGATTTGTTTACAAGAAAATTAGAAAAACCTTTAGTTATCTTAATTTGTTCAGATAGAAAACAAAAACACACGAAAATATCTCTTTTTATTTCAATAAATGTTCAAAATGTTGCCCATTATTGGCGAAACAATCATATAGGCGTTGTTCAATTTCCTGACGGACATTTATTGAAATAAAAAGTGATATTTTCGTTTGTTTCTGATTTCTGTCTGAACAAATTAAGATGAATAAAGATTTTTCCAATTTTCTCGAAAACAAATTTACTGATTCAAAAAATCAAACGTCAAGGTTTTTTTTTTTTATATCGAAACAGCCGCGCAGGCAGAAGCCTAAATGCCGGAACACCGCGGCTGCTATGATGATCCCAAAGAAATTTTGTTAATACGATTTTTCAACTGCCTAAGGTTAGTAGAACTGGGAAAAGCTTCCTCCCGTAGATTGTTCCACAATCTAGACACCCTCGGGACAAAGGAGCGGTCGTATCGGCCAGTTCTGGATGTACGAAGTTTGACACGGTTAGGATGGGATGCCGAAGTCAGGCGGGTCTGTCTGGCAGGCGCATCGCGCGGCGGCATCATGGAAGAGAGCTCTGAGGAGCAAAGCCCGTTGGTGTAGCGATAGAAAAGAGCTAGATCGCCGACGGCCCGCCGGTGCGAAAGAGTCCCGAGACTGTCTGTTAGAGAAGAGTCATCGATCAGTCGGACCGCCCTCCTCTGGACAGCATCGAGCATGGACAATGTAGTCGGGGCGGCAGCACCCCAAATGTGTGAGCAATACTCGAGGCTAGGCCTTATCTGGGCCTTGTATAGAGTGAGAAGGTCATGCGGAGAAAAGTACTTCTTAGCCCTAAACAAATAGCCTAGCTTTTTCCCAGCAGCTGCAGCTATTGAAGAGATGTGTTCGTGCCAGATCAGGTCCTCGGTGATCTGGACTCCGACCAGCCGAAATGAATGGCTCTTTGGTAGAACTCGACCGTCCATCGAAACTGTATGAGCGCTAGGACGCTTTTTGTTCGTCAAGGTACAGTACTGTGTTTTGGAAGCATTGAACTGTACAAGATTGTTGCGTCCCCAAGCAGTGATAGCCTCCAGGTCTCTTGTCAGAGAAGAAGTCGTCGCTAGTCTTCTTTTTTCCAGCTCAGCGGCAGAGATCGGCTTGTCACTCTGAATTCCTGCATGTAGAGTGCTGTCATCAGCGAAGCTGTGGATTGGGTTGATCGTGCAGGAAAGGAGGTCGTTGATATGTAAGAGAAACAGTGTTGGAGCCAAGACCGATCCCTGGGGAACACCCGCGTTGACGTTGTGGGATGAAGAGGAGAATCCGTCAATTACGACGGATATCTTGCGGCCAGAGATAAAGTCAGCCACCCATCTGCAAAGCTTTTCTGGGAGGCCGTAGGATGGAAGTTTGCTTAAGAGGGCAGCGTGCCACAGCTGATCGAACGCTTTCGTGATGTCAAGAGCAACGACATGAGCCTCACCATGAGACTGGATGAGTTTACTCCACAGTTGCGTGACGTAAGCTAGGAGGTCCCCTGTGGATCGTTGGTGCCGGAAACCGTACTGCCTGTCGCTAATCAAGCTGTGACGTTCGAGGTAGTCCAGAAGCTCGCGATTTATGCACCTCTCCATCACTTTACTTATAACAGAAAGCAGAGCTATAGGCCTGTAGTTGTAAGGGTCGGTTTTAGATCCTTTTTTTGGGATGGGCTATACATGAGAAAATTTCCAATTTTCTGGGAAGGTGCCGGATTCATAAGATATCTGGAAGAGCCGCGAAAGAACTGGAGCAAGCTCCGCTGCACATCTCTTCAGTACATTGGCAGGAATCAAGTCCGGACCAGAAGTTTTGTTGATGTCGAGCGACAAGAGCACTCGTCTTACGGTCTTGTGCCTGAATGTTACTTCCCGCATAGTGTGGGGAACCCTTTGAATTGACGGCACTTGGGCGTTGGTGGGGACGTCCATGGTGGAGTTGGCAGCAAAGATCTTGGCTAGCACTTCCGCCTTGGCCTTTGAGTCGAATACAATAGTTCCATCCTGACACGTAAGTGGTGGAAGGCTACTGTGTGAGAAGTTCTTTTCAATCTGCTTGGCCAGCGTCCAGAAAGACCGACTGCCATTGCGCTGCGACATTACCCTGTGCCTAACTTTTATATCATGCTGGTTTTTGGCATTGCGAACCGCTTCGTTATATTTGTTTCTGGACTCGACGTCGGCTTGTCTGTTCTCTACAGTGGGGTTTTGTAAGTAGGTTCTGTGGGCCTTGATCTTCTGCTGGCGAGCAGTGTCACACGATTTGTTGAACCAGCCGTTGGACCCTGGTTTAGGAACTTTCACTGTGTGAGGGATGTATTCCTCCATTCCGACGTGGATAATTTCAGTTATTGAAGAACAGACAGTCGACGCATCTGCGTCAGTGAAACAGACATCTCTATAAGGAAAGCTAGAGAAGAAGTCTCTGAGCCCCTCCCAGTCGGCATGTCCGTAATGCCAAGTTTTGCGGCCTGTGCGAGTTTCTGCTGCCACAGCGGCTTCTGACCGAAACCTAACCTCCACAACACCGTGATCTGAATTACCCAGGGGGGACAGGACAGCAGTGCTGTAAGGGGCAGGATGCGTGGTCAGAAAGAGATCTAGCAGGCTACTGGCGTGTGACGAGACGCGGGGGAAAAAAGTAGGGCTCGTCACCAGCTGGGTCAGCCCTTGAGTAAGAGCGAACGCTTCGACTGCACGACCTGCTGCATCGGTCTTATTTGAGCCCAACCAAAGCTCATTATGGGCATTGAAATCACCGAGAAGAACTACCTCTGAAGCGGGGTGATTGATGTTCAGGAAGTCGATCTGGACGGCGAGGTATTCGAGTAGGTCATCCCAGTTATGGTTCGAGGGAGAGCGATAAAGGCAGCAAATAAATTTGGGTAATGTTTTGGAGTTGAGGCGAAGCCACAGAATGTCCTTCCGGTCTGATTCCAAAGAAAGATCCCTGGAGCAGGAAAGACTGCTGCGGACAAAAGCCACAACTCCCCCGTTCTTTCTCAGATTGGAGTGCACCTCGTAGTTTGGGAAGTTGAGATGGTTAATCGGTGCAGTCTCTGAGATTTTTGTCTCCGCCAAGAAAAGCACGGCGGGACGATTGGATTGCAGGTAGTGATGAACAGCATCAATGTTGCTGTTGATCCCGCAGATGTTCGAAAAACAAATTTTATCTTCGATGTTGTTCCCTCGAGCCCACCCTCCACCCGGACATTCCGAGAGTGGAGTGAGTTTACGTCCGGAGTTTTTAGTGCTCGAGGGATCCATCATCATTAATTTCTGTGTTTTGGTAGATAACCGACTGCATAGCTTAGGTGTGGTAACATGCGGACATTTATAAGACACCCTGGGAAAAGCTAGCGGGTGGTACTGCCTCGGTCGACTGGTCCTTGTCTACCACCTTCTTTTTACGTGTTAGTGATGTTAAATAGACCTAAAGTGGCCCGTTGGCGGACTTGTACCGCCACCCGGCAATCGGTACTGAGGTATTCCTTAACGCGTGCACAATCACTTGGACGGGAAGAAGTTGTATACTGGATACAACAACTTCCGGAACAAGCATTTGCCACGGCCCTCGCTCAGTAGGGGCAAAGGTAAAGGACTCGAAAGACCTTCCAAACAAGCTATCATTCGATACATCTTGTCATTTAAAATTTTTAAGGGAATGACCGTGGGGGGCCGAGGGTGAAAGGAGGTGAAGTAGTTTTTGGTTAAAAAGTTGCCCCCCTTGACAAATCTTTTGACGTGTCTTGGAGTTTTTTCCTTTAATCAGTAGTTTTCCATAAATCCGTGGTGGGAATTTTCCAAATGAACACCCTGTATATTATAAATGATATGTAAACAAATTATGTAAATATAGAATCATTGGAAAATATGCCGCTCTGTACAGGGTGACTCATAACTACGCGGCAACACAAATATGCACTTTCTCAAATGGAATATCTTATATACTTAAGTATATTCTAAAACGCATCCACAAAGCAAGACGTTTGATATAGCATAGGGCTTGGATCAATACTTCTGGAGCAACGTGAGATGTTGACTTAACTTTGACAGCTTGCACTTTTGCAGTCGCAAAATGATCTTTATAACGGGTGCGCCATCTTTTATGTCGGTATTGAAACATCGAATGATTTTTATATTTACCAACCGAGTGATTTGGTCATGAATTGCTTTACACCGAAACCACGCGCCGAAATAGTCACAATGTAGGTAAATTGAAAATCCTCCTTCAGATGTGTTAACAAAAGGTGCATATAAAACCATCATTGGGCTATTTTCTTCAATGAAAACGAAAGAGTCGATGGAAATCGATATCGGTGGACGTTGGCTAATTATGTCTGCCCACAAATGCGTGAAAAAGGTCTTAATAGTTACTGGTTTCAAGAAGACGGTGCGCCATGCCACACTGCAAATAAAACAATCCAGTTTCTGCAACGAAATTCCCTGGACGTCTGATGTCAAAAAGAGGTGACATTGACAGGCCACCCAGGTCTCCAGATCTGACCCCACCGGACTTCTTCTTGTGGGGTTATTTGAAAAGTCAACGCCAGCAAGCCGCAGACCACTGAAGAACTCAAGGCAAATATACCACCAGAGGTGCTCGAAAAAGTAATGGAAAATGCAGCAAAACGGGCACATTTTGTTTTGGCCAATAAAGGTGGCCACTTGATAGATGTTGTGTTCAAAAACTAGTCCCAATAAATTGTAAAGGACCATATTTAATAAAAATAACCGATATATGGAAATCAGTTTTTCGTTTTCAAAGTTATTTCATGTTTAAATACCGACATAAAAGATGGCGCACCTTGTATATCATAGTTTCTTTGTGCATCGTCTATACAGGGTTTTTATAAACTCAAAATGTACCCTTTCACAAAAAATTCAAATGGAACACGCTGTATGTTTTGACGATTTGGAATGGCCCTTCTCACAAGCTTTACTTTAATGTAAATTTTTTGGCGGTTAAACTGCTAAATGTTATTGCAGTTGGGGGTTAAACTGCGAAATGTTATTGCACTTTATCAGAAATACAACTCAAATTGGATAAATATCACACGTTTCGAGATTCCTTCGTTTCCACGAATCATGTAGTATTTATTTATTTTGAATTCTAATTTCTAGAAAACTACAAATACCTTAAGTAAGTTACCCGCCAAGAAATTTAATATCAAAATAAAGTTCATAAGAAGGATAATCCAAAACTATAAAACGTATTGGGTGTAGCATTTGAATTTTTTTGCGAAAAATATATCCTGCGTATATTGACACCCTGTATAGATAATGCACAAAATTTTAAAAATTGTTTGAATATCGAAAAATGATTGGATATCAGACGAAAAGTCTGTATCTGCAGAGTGACTGACCTACAAGCTGTCGAAGTTAAATGCTTTTTCGGACAAAACTTCTCGTAGTCCAAAAATAGTGATCCAAACCCAATAGTGCTCTATATCAGACTTCCCCATTTGACGGCATTTTAGAATATACTAAGATATACATGGTATTCCATTTAAAAAACTGTTCGTTTGTGTTTTTTCACGTAGTTATGAATCACCATGTAAAGAGCGGCATATTTTCCAAACAAGGAGCGTACAGTAGTAATTTTTGTAAACAACTTTTTAGATATCTTTTAAAATAATAGAGCTATCGACCGATCACACAATAAAAATACTAACCATTTTCTACGATGATATCATTTATACTGCAGCTTTGAGAAAGCTACTTTCTGATTTACAAATTGTGTTCTTAAGGTGTATGGGCAGCTCCAACCGTCAAGATGTACAAAGTTTCACAAGTAAACATGCTGAATAAATGTGATGCATTTATACTCGCTTAGTGTCAGGGGGGCCGGTCATCGGTGAGAGATAACTTTTTGTGAAAGTGTACCTGTCCCTGAAGAGCGGAGTAGCAAATTTTCATAATTATTCACACAATCATGCCAAATAAGCAAAGCCCCATTCTCAGAGGGTGCCCCCACGCCCTGCGGGTGCAGGTGCTAAACGGTGTTTTGCTCCGTATTTTTGGTGGAGACATTGATAGTAGCATGGGCAAGAAACCTGCTTTTGAATATATGGTGAATGTGCTGTGCATTTTGGGCGGACATCTATAGTCGAAATCACGAAAGATGACGATTACGTCATCATTTTAGTCTGTAGTATAGACAAACGACAGCGATTTGTGAATATTTTTAATGAAGTTTCAGATATGTTAGACAGAGACAGACATGATTTTATTATCTAAACAAACTGTATTGCTAATTTGCATGTATCCGACAAAGATAGACGATGTTTTCAAGTTGCATGATCATATTTGAAAGATGAATAGTTAGGTTATGTTAAAGCAGGTTAGGTTGTTTTCGAATAATAATTTGGTCTTTGGTGTTCCTGTCTTGAGGTATTCTAACTGTAGTTTTTTTTCAAAACAAAACCTCCCCACTTAAATTATTATTAAGGTATCACTCAAAACCATGAAGTAAAATGAAAATAAAAATAATCTGTGAAATAACCTAACTTCGCAAAATCATAGTATAGGTTTGTTGTTATTATGTTCCTGACATCGTGATTTTATCATAGACTTACGTCCATTGATTACATTGACTATAGAGATGTATACGGCTTCTAGAATAAGGAGTGCATTCACAACTTTTTAAACGCCAGTTTCTTGTACCCTCCGAGTAGCGGTTGTGTTTAAAAACTAGAAGAGAGATGATTCATAGCATATTATACAGGGTTATCCAAATTAAGTGTCCACCATTGATAACTTTGTTATTAGTAAAAATACAAAGTTGTTTAAATTAGCAAACTAGTAGCATTTTTAACGCTGGTAAAAATGAGAAATAAAAAAAAAACAATTGAGAGTCGTTATTTTGATTTTTTTCAGTAAATAACATTTTTTTAAATGGAAACCCCTGTATATTATATTTTTTTCTGTTAAAGCATCAAATTTTAAACAAAAAAGTTCATAATGACTTTTCCGCTAAAGTCAAAAATAAGGTCAAAATAACGATAAATATTTTTAATTATTTGCAGTATTATAATATTAAGACGGCTATGAAAACAACATGGCGTTCGCGATTGACAGCATTAAGATAAGCGACAAATTGTTAAACTGGACATACTCGCAACTAGAAGGCTTTGGAAAACAATGATAAAATCAAATAATGTCAAACATTAGTGTAAATACTTGTTTATAAGCTTTATTGTGTCATTAATTTAAAGAAAAATGTTCTCCCATGAAGAAAAGTGTGATATGTTAGAATGCTATTTAGTGTGCAGAAAATCCTCCTTGAGTGAATTATATCCCGCTCGCATTCAACCGTATGAACGATATTTTCTGAGACTTTATCGAAAATTTAGGGGCAACGAAAATGTTTTTGCTAAAACAAGGGCAAAAAAAGAATTCATAATAAGCGAGGCCACGGAAATTGCAGTTATTGGATATTTTGAAGCTTATCGTGAGAATTCAATAGCAGATATTCTCAAGGACTCTAATTTCAGTTATGGTACTGTTCAAAGGATTTTAAAAAAATACAAATTTATTCCGTATAAGTACCAGTTCAAACGCTTTTGGCAGGGGATCCAGAGAGAAGACTTGTTTTTTGCCATTGGTATCTTAGCTTCTGTCGCCAAAATGTAAATAACTTTCGTTACCTTTTATGGACAGATGAATCAAATTTTTCAAATTCTGGAATGTTTAATAGAAAAAAACCACCATTATTGGTCAAGAGAAAATCTTTTGTTAGTACATCCAAGAGGCCCACAAGTCCGTTTCAGTTTCAACGTTTGGTGCGGTATAATTGGTTCAAAAATTATTGGCCCGTTCTTTTATGAGGGAACCCTAACTGGTGAAAGATATGTGGAATTTATGTCATAAATTCTGACTAATTTCTTAGACGAATTGGATCTTATAAGTAGACATCATCTGCATTTTCAGCAAGATGGCGCACCTGCCCACAACTCCAGAGGTACTAATGATTTTCTAAGTACTACTTTTAATGATCAGTGGATAGGAACAAAGGGCCCAATACAGTGGCCTCCCAGATCACCAGATCTAAACCCACTTGATTACTTCTTGTGGGGTTACTTAAAGAACCAAATTTACAAGCGAAGGTACGATAACCTTGACGCGTTAAAGACTGCAGTTAGGGAAAAGATAACCCAGATAGATGGTAGGACCATACTTAAGACAGTTCGAGCAGTTGAAAAACGTGCCCAAAAATGTATTGAAGAACAAGGTGTTGTTTTCGAGCATCTTCTTTAAAAAAATTGTTATTGTATTTTGTAAGATTATAAGTTGATGTTGAAAATAAAGTTTGTCGATACAATTTAATTGTTTCAGATTGGAGGCCATAACTTCAACAATTTGTAACCTAGGAGAAAAGTTATTGTAAGCTTTTTTGTTTAAAATTTGATGCTTTAACAGAAAAAAATATAATATACAGGGGTTTCCATTTAAAAAAATGTTATTTTACTGAAAAAAATCAAAATAACGACTCTCAATTGTTTTTTTTTATTTCTCATTTTTACCAGCGTTTAAAATGCTACTAGTTTGCTAATTCAAACAACTTTGTATTTTCACTAATAACAAAGTTACTAATGGTGGACACTTAATTTGGATAACCCTGTATAGCACAGTAACGGCAACTTGTCAGGTTACATTCGTTACTTTCAATACAATATTTGTCAAGTTTCCGAATTTCGAGTTCGTTATCAATTTGGCGCTAAGGTTAGCGGGTAGTCCCAAGCGATTCTATTTTTACCCCAAATAACATTGTGGCAAATAGCGCCATCTGTTGGGCGAGTCTCCTACTCGCCAGAGCTTAATGGCCGATCTCTGCATTTACGCGAACCACGACTGCACAAGTCGCTTGGCGGCGTCTGTGAGAAACGTGCCAGTGGATCGCCTTCTAGATCGACGCGAAGTGACCTCCAATATTCTAGATGTCGCTTTGTGGTTCACCCGACCTTTCTCGAAGCAGCAATTGGGGCTATATATAACTCGGCGGCCGGGAGAAGGGGCAGAGGGTACTGAATACGATAGAGTAGCAGAGCGACATAAGAATTAGTCAGACATAAATAGTGGTGTACATAAATGTTATATCAAGTTAAATAAATTAGTGCATTTCTTTTCTGTGGAATCCAGCGTTTTAATTCACACCCAAAAGAACCCAGAAAAATGCTACAATATAATAATAGTAAAATTATTACCGGACGTACCTACGATATTATGAAAATGTTTCAAACATTCTCATCTTTTTGTATTATATTCACATTCAGCATTTGTATTGAACCTTGCACATGTTCTGTATTATTTTACGAGTTTCTCAAAGTTGAAGCAAAAATCGTGTAAACAAAATTTCAAGCTTAAAAATCTGATAAACAAAGATTTTCTGCAAACCCTTACGTTGTACATTGAGGAAGACAACTTCTTCTCTAGAACCATAATTGTTCTCGGCCCTGATGATATATTCTCCACGGTCTTGCAGTCTGGCTCTGTTAATGACGAAATAATAGTCATCTCCTGCATATCTCTTCATGTACTTGACACTCTGCCTTAGTTCAACGTTGTTGTGGTACCAGGATAAGGTCGGAGTTGTAACGCCTATCACTCTGCAGTAGAATTTGACACTTTGTCCCTCGTAACAGAAGGCGCTTTGTGGTTTTATGACGAATCTTGGAGCAGCTTGTCTTCGATCTAAAACAAAACAATAAATACAGTGGAATCCACTTATAATGAACTTGCTTATAATGGAAACCCGTATATAATGGACACAATTTAAGGTCCTATAAATAATTGCATGTAAAATCCTCAGATATTATAGACTCGCTTAAAATAGACCCTCGCTTATAGTGGACTATTTTAATCCATTACATGCGAGCTATTTTGGTATTTCCCCGAACCAGATTTAGCTGATGCAATTGTTTACGGGGGTTTGGCTTCGCAGTTTGCATTCGAACTTGGCCACTAGTGTTATACTGTATTTATTAGAGTTATAAACATGTCGAAAAGTGCGAAACGTGCATTCACTTTACACGAAAGGTTCACAATAATTAGTGAGCTTGAGCAGGGTTCATCTCAAGCAAATATATGTGCTCGTATGGCTATAACAAAATCCAATATGTCAAGTATTTGCAAAAACCGTGACAAAATGAAAAATGACTGGAAATCAAATAGTCAAAAGAAAAAAATGCTGCTATCGCTGCATCCCCAAGTCGATGATTTGCTGTTTAAATGGTTTCAACAAAAGCTTGCTAATAATATTCCAATAAGTGGACCTATGCTACAAATAAAGGCTGAAGAATTTGGGAAGGTGATTGAAGAATGATTCAAATGTAGTTCCGGTTGGGTAGACAGGTTTAAGAAAAGACATAACATTGTTTTTGGAAAAATGTGTGGTGAGTCAGCTTCAGTTGACAAGAACGTTACCAATGACTGGATTTCTCAAGTTTGGCCCCTAATATCCAGTGATTATTCAGATAATAACATATTCAATGCAGATGAAACCGGGATAGTTTATAGAATGCTACCACATAAAACTCATAAATTCAAAGGTGAAACGTGCAATGGAGGGAAACTATCAAAAAAGCCAATAACTGTTATGATTTGTGCTAATGCTTCTGGTACTGAAAACGGAAACTATTGATAATAGGTGAGTGAATAAATAGAAATTCATGTCCTAATTTTTTTGATATTCAATGGCAGTGCTGCAAAGAATTTATGACCTTTTTTATTTCAGGGAAATTTAAGAATCCCAGCTGTTTCATAAATGTTAAAACCATTCCCGTCGATTATGTTGGAAATAATAAAGCTTGGATAACTTATCAATTTTTGAAGAATATTTAAAAAAGTGGGACGCTGAACTTGTTAAGAAAAATCGTAAAATTTTGGCTCTTGGTCGATAACTTCCCCGCTCATCCAAATATTTCACCTAATAACATCAACCTTCCACCAATGTAACATCAGTTCTGCAACCAATGGACCAGGGCGTCATTTGGAGCCTTAAACAAATGTATCGGAAACATATGTTGATGAAAATTATGGAGCTTCAAGACATTATTAAAGCTGTCACCATTTTAGATGCTATGAATTTGCTTACTATTGCATGAGATTTGGTTACTCCAGAAACGATTCGTAATTGTTTTCGTCATGCTGGTTTAGTGAACAACATGACTGAAATAGTCGACGATTTTAATCCAGAAGATGAAATTCCATTAAGTGATTTACTGAAAATTAATAGTTTACTGACTATAGACACATTTAATGAGTATGTAAATGTTGACAATAATTTAATAGCAACACAGGAATTGTCAGACTCCAATTTGGTTATTGAAGGATCCGTTGATAACGAACAGGAAGACGAACTAGAAAACACGTTGAAGAAGAGCTTCCAGTGACAACTAAGGAGGCATTAGACTGCGTGAAAAAGTTGCAACTTTATTTTCAGCAAGAAAACAAGTACAGTCACACTTACCAAATTAAATAAAATTCAACTTGCAGTTCTAAATAATTATATAAAAAACAATCTTTTCAAATGAACATTACTAGCTTTTTTATCAAATAATTTACGGTTTTTACACATACCTACACAGATGTGTGTGTAACAGATTCTGAAAAGATGCAAATTTCAAAATTACGTATAACTTTTTTGTATGTATCTTTATTTATGTAATATATGTTAAACAAACACATTTTAAGCCTTTAATATGTTACTTCCACTGCTTTTTTCATTAAAAAAGTGTTTCTTTTAAGATGGTCATCCGTCTATAATAGACTATTTGTCACAGTCCCGCCGAGTCCATTATAAGCGGTTGCAATGTACCTCGAAATGTACTAGCCGAGAGAAATCGAGTATTAACTATGTTTTTTAGGTTTATTGGGTCAGGTGATTGGAAACAAATAGCACTCTGGCTATTATTGCAAGTTTAATCAAATTGGAATAAACAAAGGTACAAAATATACTAAGTGACATATAAATCCGAACACCCAGTTTAAATGGCTTTATTTTAATAAAAGTTGGTGAATGTATTTATCTTACTGTAAATAACAAGTGAAAAAATTTTCAGCCTTATCAGTTGGACATTCCGGTTTTTATACTGCTTTTTTTTTAATTCACTAACGCTCTAAAAATGAATATTTCAGACGCAGTAAAGAATCAACGTTGTCGGATTTTGGTTCTTGACATCCTTTACGATCGGTTACGATGCCTAGAGTACGGAGACCTGTACGATTTCGTCAACTTAGTGAGTTTGATAGGGGCCGTATAGTGGGACTTCGGGAAGCTGGACTTTCTTTTCGGGCAATTGCAGTTAGAGTGCAAAGAAGTGTAGACACTGTGGTTAGGTGTTGTCAGGCATGGCTTCGAGAAGGCCGTACGCAAAGAGCAAGGGGCACTGGACGCCGCCGTAGAACAACAGACCGTGAAGATCGCCGCCTAAAATTATTGGCCTTAAGGGACCGTTTCTCCACTACCAGGTCCATTGCAAATGAATGGTTTGCAGAACACGGAAGACCTATTGGCATGCGAAGTGTTTACCGACGAATGAGAAGCTTTGGCTTGTTTTCATACCGGCCACACTGGGTCCTCCCTTTAACTCGAGAACACCGACGTAATCGCCTTGAGTGGTGCAGACAACGGTCACTCTGGGATCAGGAATGGAACAGTATTGTCTTTAGTGACGAGTCTCGATTTTGTTTAGGCATGCACGATGGTCGTGCCAGGGTTAGAAGGCGACGTGGTGAAAGGAGGAATCCACAGTTTTTTGTTGAAAGACATGTTCATCACACTGTTGGAGTTATGGTTTGGGGTACTATAGCTTATGGTTCCAGGTCACCTTTAATCTTCATCAAAGGTAACATGAACGCGCAGCGTTATATCCACGAAGTTCTAGAACCCCATCTTTTACCCTATCTTGACACCCTGGCAGATCCAACTTTCCAACAAGATAATGCCCGACCACATGTTGCAATAGTCACAATAGACTTCTTTCAACATAATGAAGTCACATTGTTACCATGGCCACCAAGATCTCCCGACTTATCCCCAATTGAGCACGTGTGGGATATGATGGGTAGGAGATTGCTCAATTTGCAACGTCCTCCTCCGACTCTAGAAGCACTTCGAGAGGAGTTGGTGGTTGCCTGGAATGAGATACCACAGGATGACATTGACCACCTGATCAGAAGCATGCCTAGGCGCGTTGGAGAATGCGTAGCACATCAGGGTGCATCCACACATTATTAAAGGTCAAAGGGCTTTAAAGCAGTGCAATCATTTTGAAATTTTTATCATTTACCTATTATGCTTCATTAAATACTTATACAAAATTTTATTAAAATAAAACCATTTAAACTGGGTGTTCGGATTTATATGTCACTTAGTATACTTGCATTCACTGAAAATTATGTGGACAATATGGAATTTTCAAAACTGTCTATCCACGAAATTGAAATTTTGGAAAAAATAAATTATTTTTCACTATCTCCGGAAATTCTAATTTTAATTTTATCAGTTATTAAATTTCGCAACTTCGTCCACATTTAGCCGAGTTCTCTTCCGAGATTCTAATTGACAAAGTCGAAGTTCAAATACTGGATACAAAATTTCGCACTTTTTGAGGGGTCCGAGTTTCAATCATTATTAGATCTGCTATCCTATGAGAATCAGTTATTACTTTTTTATTTGATCTATTTTGAAGGTTTACATTTTGTTTTGGTACTTCCTGATAAACTTGAAGCATAGTATTTCGAGGGTTGTCCCAAAAATATTGTTCCCACAATTTTCTCAGGCACAAGAAATTCTTTATTTGAAAAAACGGATTTACCATTGGAAACTTTGATCTTTCAGCTAGTTTTCCAACATAATCGCAATTTTTTATTCTCATTTTTTGAGATGTGGAATCCACACCTGCCTCAAGGAAGTTTGCCTCCAGCCCGCTTAGAAACTTGGTAACTGCTCTTTGTAACTCCTCGTCCGTCTCGAACCGTTAAGCGCCTAGGTGCTCCTCCAATTTCAGAAACGCTATGTCAGGGCTGTAAGGGGGATGGCCAAATCGCTCGATTCAGTCCTTTGTTTGTTGTGGGACATGAGGATGCGCATTGTCGTGGTGAAGTCTTACGCTATGGAGAGCTTTCCCCTAGATTTTGAATTGCCCGTCTCAGCTTTTTCAGAACCCTCAGGAATTTCAACCGCCTGTTCCCGGATCGTGATTTGGCAACCTTCGAGCAAGATTTGCTCAATCTTCGCCATAACTTCCTCGGAGATTGACGGCATTCCCCTTCGTTATTCATTGTGGATGACCATGCGACCGTCCAAAGAATCTCTTTACCATTTGAGGACATGTTGAATGCTTATAGTCGTTCCCCTTATACTTCACTCAACTGACGATGCATTTCTATGGGTGGTAACGTTTTTGCGTGCAAAAATCGGAAGACCGCACGAATTTCGCACCTGGCTATCAAAAACTCCATTGCGCATGGCTGTTGGGCCCGTACTGAGCATCGCAAATAGGCGCTTCTTGTTGGGATCGCTGGTGGGAAACACGACGGTGCAGCCAGATTTCGCCTAACACCACGCGCGGCAATATTACAGCGGATCTATATTTTTGGAACAACCCTCGTATTTTGTCCACATTATTCACCTTACTAGCGTATACTAGACTTTTTTTAAGTAAAAGCGTTCATTTATTTTTATTCTATCCCATAACACTGATCAACAGCCAAAAATATCCTAAATAAAATCAACAAAATATTACTATTTTTAATGTGCTAAAACCGGAATGAAACTTATTTTTTCAATATTAGTTCAAGTTTTAGAGATACGGTAATTATATGTGTTCCTGCTGTGACAGTGTTAATATACTGTAATTCGCAAGAATGCACGTGCTACATTTTTATATTCGGCAAGGAAAGATGATGTAATCGGCATGATTGTGTTACGTTATACATACGTGTACATTATATTGTTTTATATTAGCCATTTTTTCCTCAGTTGGCTGACAGCGTTCATGCAAGATGTCTCGAAAGTGTGTAAACAATCCAGATCAGTTTTGTTACGTGTGTGGTGATGTGACTTTTGCGTCTCAGAGACGGTCTATTACTCCACTAATAACAAAGGCATATCAGCTTTATTTCGGCTGTAAACTAGGTGATCAAGACAAACAGTGGGCACCCCACATCTGCTGTAATACATGTGCTTCAAGTCTGAGGAGCTGGTTAAATGGCAAAAAACGGTCTATGCGCTTTGCTGTCCCAATGGTTTGGAGAGAGCCTACAAATCATATTAATGATTGTTACTTTTGCATGGTACCTTGTGTTGAACAAGCCACAGGTATGTCCAAGAAAAAAAAATCGGTTATTAACTACCCAAACATACCATCTGCGATGAGACCTGTGCCTCACAGTAACGAAAATTCCTATTCCAAAACCCCCAGAATCCTACACTTGCGAATCAGAAAACGAATCAGATCATGGCCATCGAGTGATTCGTCAGGAAGAAGATATGCCATCAACGTCAAGAGATCCTGATTTTATACCGAGCACGTCAGTGCCACCCACCGCACAAAATAACACAGTCAGAATTAAATGATCTTGTAAGAGATTTAGAACTTCCAAAATGTAAGGCAGAGTTACTTGGATCAAGACTGCAGCAGTGGAACTTGTTAGAAGACGATGTTTCGGTATGTGTTTTTCGTAAACGCCACAAAGACTTAGAAGCATTTTTCAATATGGAGAATAACTTGGTTTTCTGCAATAACATTAGCGGCTTACTGGCGGCTTTAAATATAAACTATAACCCAGAAGAATGGAGATTGTTTATAGACAGTTCAACATTGAGTTTAAAGGCAGTGTTATTGCATATTGGAAATATTTTACCATCTCTTCCTGTAGGGTATGCAGTTCACATGAAAGAATCATATGACAATATGAAGTACCTATTGACATGCATAAAATACGATGAGCACCAATGGCATATTTGTGGCGATTTGAAAGTTGTTGCACTTTTACTTGGGCTGCAGCTAGGCTACACAAAGTTTTGCTGTTTTTTGTGTGAATGGGACAGTCGGGCAAAGGCACTTCATTACACCAGAAAAAACTGGCCTGTTCGTCAATTCCTAGAGCCAGGTCAAAAAAATGTACAGCATATGCCATTGGTAGATTCGAAAAAAATTTTATTACCACCACTGCATATCAAGTTGGGCCTAATGAAAAACTTTGTCAAGGCATTAGATAGAGATGGGTCAGCTTTTCAATACCTGAGTCAGAAATTTCCAAGACTAAGTGAGGCAAGGTTAAAGAAGGTATTTTTGTTGGGTCACAGATTCGAAATATTTTGAAAGATACACAGTTTGAAAACACTTCAACAGGTATTGAAAAAACTGCTTGGAATGATTTCCGTCTGGTGGTCACTAATTTCTTGGGAAATAGAAAAGCTGACAACTATAAAACCCTTGTCAAAAATATGCTGTCATCGTATCAAAAGATGGGCTGTAATATGTCTCTTAACATACATTTCCTACACTCACACCTGCACTTTTTTCCTGACAATTGCGGAGCCGTAAGTGATGAGCACGGCGAACGTTTTCATCAGGATATTTCAACAATGGAAAAAAGGTACCAGGGAAAGTGGAATCCTTCCATGCTTGCAGACTACTGATGGACTCTTGTTAGAGATGCTCCAGAAATGATCCATAAAAGAACAGCAAAAAGACAGCGCATATAGTGATTCTTATAAGTATATGAATCTTGTTACTTTTTTTAATATATGCTTAAAAATAAAAAGTTTTTTTTCTAAACCGCAACTATTTTCTTTATTTCATTGTCATTTTTGGATTCAGCGCCCCAAAATTAACAAAGAAGTGCACTTTTCCCACAAGATACAATTAAAAAACTAAAATTTGTTGTCCAGTGTAATTAAAACCTAAATAGTACCTGGACTGTTATGAAGCTAAAGAGACTTTGTTGAAACAAGTAAAATGTGAACTTTCACGAACTAGTCTTTGTTTTGTCCCAGCAATTGACGAAACAGCTGGACTTGGAATGAGTGACTTCTGCAACATGAGATAAACTTACCGAAGTACGAGTCATATATCTTGTACTTTTCTATTAGCAGCTTCCTCAGTGAAGAGTATTCTGAAATTCTGCCTAATGGTAGAGCGAATGATTCCCAAGCATCATACTTGCTACGAATCTTGTCTCGCATTCTAAGGTACTTGGATTGTTCTATTTCTTTCGTCCTGTGGCTGTGGTCTCCAGTCAGCCATGAATGTACAAGGCATTCCTGAGCAGTCATACGCTTCCTGAAAATGGTGGTGTTTTGAAGAAGGCTTGAAATGAGTTAAAATGTTTAGTTCAACACAAATTGAGAAGCAAACGCTTTAACTAGCTTTGTTTTGAGCTGGATCATACAATTTTCTTGGAACCGCATGAATTCGCATACTTATTGTGTCAAAATCATACTCTGAAAGTCGAGATTGCAACGTTCGCACTACGGACTACGCTGTTGAAATGAATGACATCAATTTCGAGCAACTGCTATCAGGTTTCAGACTTTAACAATGTGCAACGGAAACTCTTAATGAACTTCAGCAGGCCTGCGGAGATAGTGTTTTGTCAAGAGCCCAGGTTTATCGGAAGTTTGTGGCATTTTCAGAATGAAAAAGAAACACGAAGTGGAGGGCTTTCATCTTTAAGGACCGATGAAAATATCGACAGAATTCGGGATCTTGTGCATTCATATCATCGGTTGAAGTCAGAATGATCTGGGAAGAGTTAAATTTGACTCACACCATCGTTCATCAGATCAAGAACAACTGGGTGCGGCATCACGATAATGCTCGTTGTCACACAGCAATGTCAGTAAACGAGTTTTTCGTCAGTAAAAACGTCCCTGTGGATCCTCAGCTTCCTTATTTGCCAGACTTGAGTCCTTCTGAATTTTCTCCGTCGAAGACATTCAAATGGCTATAACCGAGCAGCTGAAAGCTATTCCAGTATCGGAGTTCCAGCGCTGCTATGAGAAGTGGAAGAAGCATCTCCAACGTTATGTGACTTCAGAAGGAAGCTATTTTGAGGGTAACAATATAAAATTGTGATTACGTTCGAATAAAAAAATTAAAACATCAGTCTCGTTACTTAATTTACAGACCTAGTACTGTCTATGAGCCAGAAATGGTATCAGTACCACAGTCCCAGACTAAGCAATATAAACAGCTAGTCCAAGCCACTGGTAGCTAGTTCACAGTATCAGTTTTGCACACACTGCAATCTGACATCAGAAATCGCAATTTGACATGAGGAATTGCAGTCGGTAGTTACATTTGCAATTACATATTAGGGAAGCTGGAATACTTACTCTTTGGTCTTTATTAATAGTCTACGGATAAAGTCTTTGCCCTCTTCAGAGATATGTGCGAATGCCTCTTCATCAAAGTCCCAATCACAAGCTTTGACGTTCTTCAATGTTTCAATATCGTTTTCACCAGCAAATGGTGACAGGCCGCTGAGGAGTACGTAGGCCAACACACCAACAGCCCACATGTCTGTGTAAAAACCAACTGGCTCTCTCTCGACAATTTCTGGAGCTGCAAATTCAGCCGTACCAGTGGAGATTTTGACTACTTCATTGGGATCCAACTTGGTGGCCAAACCAAAATCGATCAATTTGATATTAGTACTTCTCTTTGTCTGGCACATGATGTTCTCTGGCTTGATGTCCAGGTGGATGATGTTCCTTTCATGCATGTGTTTGATGCCTTCGCATATTTGTCTCATGTAGTTGATCACTTCAGCTTCTGACATTTGGTAGCCTTCCGCGGTAATACGTTCAAAGAGTTCACCTCCAGAGAGGAATTCATAGATGAGCACCATTTCGTCATCATCTTCAAAAGCGTCGTGGAGGTTGATCAGTTTTGGATGGTGAAGTTGATTCATGATGTCTATCTCCTTCTTGATTAGTTCTTTCTCCATTGCGTGGGATACTGGGATGAATTTCGCAGCGAATATGTTGCCTGTCTTTCGTTCACGGCATCTTAAAAAAAATATAAAGGTCAGTCAATATATAATTGAAGCACGTCACCATATTGTTGACTAAAGCACTTGAATTCACTCACTGTTGGTCAAAGTCAGTGTAGAATTGCAATGTAGCTTCTGATAGGTGATCCAATATGGGAACAATGATACGAGGGCGGTTCAATAAGTACCCGTGCTTGACGACAGAATGCGTTCCTGAGGGAAGGTAATGTTATCATCGTGTGCTGCCATCTATCAAACGACAGCACAACAAATTTAAGACTGATTGATAAGTTAGTTTGGATTTGGCAGCCATTCGAGTAACACGTGTTTCGTGATTTTCGCTCGGATGGAAAAAGAGCAGTATCGTTCGGTAACTCGCTTTTTGTTTTTGGGTGGGGAAAAATGCGAGAAGTTAAAAGCAAAGTTGGATGATGTTTATGGGGACACTTCGCCATCTATGAGCACAGTTAGATATTGGTTCAACGAATTTAAACGTGGGCGAAAATCGGTTTTGACCAGGATCGACCACGACGCCAGGCAGACGTGGTTACCGAGAAAATCATTCAAAAAGTCCACGACATGATTCTCGCTGATCGACGAACGAAAGTGCGCGAAGTAGCAGAGGCCGTAAGTGTGTCGACCGGAACGGCAATCAATGTTTTACATGATAAGTTGGCTATGAAAAATTGTCGGCCCGATGGGTGCCGCGATTGCTCAGCTGTTAACTTCTAAGCAGTGTTTGGAGCAATTTAAGTGAAATCCGTCGATGAAACCTGGATTCATCATTACACACCAGAGACTAAGGGACAATCAAAACAATGGATTTTTCCCGGTGAATCTGCTCCAAAGAAGGCGAAGACGGTCCCATCGGCCAGAAAGGTCATGGCGACAATTTTTTGAGATGCGAACGGCGTATACCTCGTGGATTTTTTAGAAAAAGGAAGGACGATCACTGGAGAATACTATAGTGAGTTACTGGACCGCTTCGACAAAAAATTGAAGGAGACACGGCCACATTTGACGAAAAACAAGGTGCTATTTCACCTCGATAACGCACCAGCACATTCATCCGGAGTTGTCGCCGCCAAACTGCATGAATTGCCTTATGAAGTGCTGCCGCACGCCGCGTATTCACCGATCTGCCCCCCTGCGACTTTTTCTTGTTCGCTGACATGAAGAAATGGCTCGCGGGGAAAAAATTTAGCTCAAACGATAAAGTCATCGCCGAGACAGAGGTGTATTTTGGAGAGTTCGAAAAATCATATTTTTTTGGTAAGAAAAGTGTATCTTTCTAAAAGGGCATTGTTGAAAAATAAAAAGATTTTTTTTGGAAAAAATGGTGTCTTCATTTCTAACACGGGGACCTATTGAACCGCCCTCGTATATGGATCAGAATAGACAAGAATAGTCTAGAACTAGCATCTAATATGGCTTAACATATAATCTCCTCGGATATTGAAAGGAAAATCAGATTTAAACAATGTCAAGGCATTTATACCAAATCCAGTAAAAAAGGGAACATCAGATTCACTTTAGGGTTGAACAGGAAACATCTCAAAGCTCTAGTTGAACTAAATTCATGTTATTGTAGACTAAGTCAGCATATGAGAAATTTGCGGAATGCAGATTATGATTGGAAATCTTAGATGTAAGATATGGTCGGTATATATTTCGTAGTATCTGTGTAACTTTTGGAGTCCCGGGGGCTTCCCACTAAGGTCCGCTGTTATATTATATATTTATTAAAGATGTCGTGAGTTTAGTACGCAGTGAGAGACTTTTATTTGCGGATGATGTTGAGATTTTCAGAATCATTGGGAAGAAACATGATGCTGAATTGCTGTAGAGAGACTTAGACCATATTTCTCGTTGGTGTGTAGTGAATTTTAAATGATGCGAAATCTTTCAAAATGACATTTAGTCGATCTCGTTCACCTATTACTTATTCTTATAGCATTAACGGTAGATCTTTACAAACTACAGATCAGATCAAGGATTTGGGCGTTAATTTTGACTCAAAATTATCATTTAACGAACATATTAAAAAAACAATCAACTGTGCATACGAGTATGAGGTGTTAGGTTTTACAAATCGCCACTGTGTTTATCTGTCACTTTTTTCTTTTAAAAATTTGCACTTTTTTATTTCGTTACTTGAGTATTGTCTAGTCGCCAAGTGATAACTTACAGATCAACCAATTAGAGCGTCTGCAATTTTTTTTTGAGAATCTGTGCATATAAAATGGGTTTCATCGGGGAGGAGTATCGTTATACTCTTCTCTACATGAATATGACTTCTCTTGAGCGACGTAGGTTGGAATTTGACTTACTTTTCTTGCGCATAATTATCAATGTTCACATTGATTGTACCCAACTGTTAGGAAAAATTTCATCAAACAAATTATGGTGTACATGAACCCATAACTCGTCTTCTTAGATTAGGTAATAGTTATCTACATTACCTGTGTACTACCCCAAATGCGCCAGTGCCAATTTCTTCAAGGATATCGTAATCATCGTAAACAGATCTAGTCTTGATTTCAACGGGCTGCGGGACATACTTAGAGTAAATGTCGAATACATAGCTGTCATAATCTTTGACAGGTTCCTTGTGAGATTCTCTAATCTTCTTTCCAGTTTCGTCAACTTCGTATTTCCTCTTCTGTACCTCTTTCTTGACAGTATCCTTCATAGTAATGAGATTACTAACATCTGAAGGATCTGATCTGCCATATATGTTCTCAGCCATGATTCTGAAGTCGTATTGCTTTCCTGGTGTGAGTCCGCTCACGGCCATTGTGGTCAATCTGGTGCTGCCAACTCTGATCCAGGAAGATAAAGGATGTTCTCTTCTTTCGACGATATAGTTGGTGATATTGCTTCCTCCATCCCAAACTGGTGCTTTCCAGGACAACGCCAAAGAGTCATGGCCGATATTGTCAGCTGCTGGGAACCTTGGTGGATCTGGACGATCAGCGATCTGGATCTTGATGATAGCGGTGTCTTGACCCAACTCGTTCTCTGCAGTGATCCTGTATGGGCCACTGTCCAGTTTGCTGGCATCTCGGATAGTCAAAATCGCATGTCGGTCTTTGACTTCCACGTGGTAGTGGCCACCTGACTCGATGGTTTCACCCTCTCTTACCCAGCTGATTCTTGGTCTCGGGAAACCGGTGAAGGGTATCTTGATTACCACGTTCTCGCCCTTGTCAAAGTAAGCAGAATCACGGAATCGGGGAGGAATGTTCAGTTTTGGTGCAGCTGAAAGAAACGGGAGATCGTGAATACAGGAATACCATTCATAGGAAGTATATTATTACTATTACTGCTACTGTTTCATTGTTTGTAAGTATGCCACTACGCAAGGTGTTCTGAAAATTGGGACATCAATTTTCAGAATAAACTGCTTTTGGTATAACGAAGCTAATGTGTGGTGAAATAGCAGTGACAAATTAAAAATATATTGAATTGATTGTATTGCTACCAAAATTGGTCAGTTGGGAACGTGAGCCCAACATGCCTTATAATACGTTTTGTGGGTCGCTGAAACCAAATCCGGGGCTACTCAGTCTGGAAATGCCTCGTTTTCGGGATACTGGCAAGAATTTAACTTTGTTAACAAACGACTAATAAAAAATATCTGTTTCGCGTCGATTATCTAGATGGAAGCTTTTTTTTAGGTAAATCGGATGCGAAGATTTCGATTCACGTGTAGCCCCGGCTAAATAGTTTTCTGACATTTTTTCACCCCAAATATAGTAAAAATGGATTTTTTAGCACCTTACAGTCGCAAAAACGCATAGTTTTCCAATTTTTCGCTAAATAATCAGATCTACATGTTGAACGGAATCAGATACATGTTAAACGACTTTCGATTCTGTTTTAGCGACCAAAAATACGTAGAATAAAGATCATTTGAACAGCATTTAAAGTATTTTAATGTACACATGTTATATGCGCGTTATCTAGGTTAACCTAGATTATAAACAAAGCGCATTTGCAAAACCGAAATAGGCACATTGCTAGAGCCATAACCTAGTTAACGATCAAGATACTATTGATACTCCGCGAGTGTACTCAGAGCGTCGCCGTCGTCCTCGATGTTTCTTTTCATCACAGCAGCATATGTTTGTTTATATCGTGAACAGCCGTCTAGTTGAATACAATTGAAGGCCTAGTAAACAAACTCATGTTTTTGATTCGAACAGCGAAAACTTCAAGCAGTGTGTATAAACAAAACATGTGACAGTACAGTATATTCGGGGCTGTTTAGGTCTTTTACTGGACGATGAGCACTGCCCTATAAGCGACTTTTGTACGAGATGAACGAATTTATGCGGCGTGGGATGAAAACGCCGCTGAATGCACTCGCGAAGCATCTTAAAGACATTCATCGTAAACTAAAATCAAATCGACAAGATCGTTATTGCTATAGCCCACTTTACCTCCACAGCAGCAGATCCTGATGTCGTATCTTTTCACCTAATAACTTGGTTGCCTTGGTATATGTCTTACGAGGGGAATTTGCTTTTTTTACAAGAACTATACGCTGGGTAAAGAATTGTCCTAACTTTGGTAGCACGATGTGTGAACAGAATAACGACCGAACTAGCGACAAGTCAGGTCTTAACATCTTAATGGCCATTTTTATTTTAATCGAAAATACTTACTCATGATGAGGAGTTCAGCTCTGGTAGATTTGACTCCAGCCTTGTTCACAGCCCTGCAGACATACTCATCTGCGTCCTCTCCAAAGACATCATGGATAACTAGATGGTGGACTTCTCCTTCACTATAAATATGGTATCTTGATCCGTTGGTAATTTCTCTGGCTCCCTTGTACCACGTGATATGCGGTTTAGGATTACCAGTTATGGTACATTCGAATTTGGCGTTGTGGTTTTGAATACATTGAGCATTCTTCAGAGGTTTCACTATCTCCGGTGGTGTGGCAGCCAAAGGATCCTTGATCTCCACAGAGGTTGAGTTTGAAGATGGCTCTGAGATACCAGCGATGTTCTGGGCGAATACTCTGAATTCGTATTGCCTTCCTTCTATTAAGTTAGATACATTGATTTGTGTTGGAAGGCAGAGAGATACGTTAACGCGTTGCCAGGTTTGACTGCCTACTTCACGTTTGTCTATCCAGTATCCTGGAAAATAAATAGATATTTTATTTAAGTTCATGATAAAGATACTACAAGATCTGATCAGTATGTAGTCCCAAGAGCGGGTTCAGAAGTCAAGTTTGTTGATTATAGTTTGGAAAACAACGGTGGATTTAAAGACAAGATGGATGTAACATGATTCCTTAAGCTTGCGTGTACAAGAGGGGATCTCGATATATTCGTGATGACCTACCTTGTACGCGGGATCCGCCATCATTTTCAGGTTTGGTCCATTCAAGGTTGACGAAATCTCCTCCAACTTGAGTGACCTTTGGAATGCCAGGGGGGCCTGGTGGGTCAAATGGTGCTTTGGCCTTTACTGGGTTCACGCCTTCTAGCGGTGGTCCCATGCCATTATCGTTCACAGCCATCACTCTGAATAGGTACTCTTGCCCTTCGGTTAGTCCTTGAACTGTGAAATTAGTATCCTTACAGGTGCTGGATACAGTTATCCAGTGTGTTCCAGTGACGTCCTTCCGTTCTATGACGTAATGTGTGATCCTTAGTCCACCATCGTAGCTTGGAGGCTTCCAGCTCAATGTGCATGTATGTTTTGTGATATCGGTTGTCTCCAAGGGTCCGTTTGGAGGCCCAGGTAGACCGGTGATGTATACGTCAAAGCTACCGGAGGCGCTGCCGCTGTCATTTTTGACAGTTAGGTTATAGTTTCCAGCATCTGATTTGTTTACTTCTCTGATAAATATGATTATATAGTCATCGAATACTGTGAATCTAATATGGGTAGAATCATCAATCTTCTGGCCGTTACGTGTAAGAATTACGTCCAGAGGTTGGTCTCCGGAATAGTAGATCTTGATCTTACTGTTGTCTCCTTCTGCCAAGTAGAGGTCTCCAGGCATCTTCTCGATCCTTGGAGGTGCTGAAAATTTCAATGTAAATGTTAGCGAGGATGCTATTCTATAAGAAAACAGTCAAGAGCATTGCACGTCCTCTTCAGGAAGTCCTCAGTGATGGATCATCTGCCACCACAAACTATTGGTGCTGGTATGACCCGGTGATGTTTCCCTTACATTAGCCATAAAAGGCCGAAATGGGGTTTTCATATTGAGACGATAGCTGTCCCATGTTCTAGAGATGCTTCCTTAGATGACGGTGCCCAGTTACATTGCATATGGCAAAGCAAAGTTGTTGTCTGCAGCCAGACCCAGATATATCATCGCACATGTTTTTAGAATATTTATGGGTGCCAAAATTTTGGTAAATTCTTTGTTAAAGCTTATAATAAATGAAAATAACTCACTTCCAATCTTAAGTCTTGCAGTGGTAGTGACAGCTCCCAGTGTGTTGCTCGCCTCGCATGTGTAGTCTCCATCATCAATATCCAAAAGATCTGAGATGTGCAAGAAGGCAGTACCTCCCTTTTGTTCAGTCCTGAACCTTCCGCCGATCTTGATCTCTCTTCCATTCTTGATCCATCTGAACGAAGGCTCCGGTTTGCCTGAAGCCTCACATTCCAGGGTTACTGATTTGCCAAGAGGCGCAGACGTGTTGTTGAGCCTCCTGATCCATTCTGGTTTCTCTCCACCAAGTACCTCACATACCTTGGAAAAAAAACGGTCATGTCACCATAAAGTAAAAATCTGAACATCGGAAGCTTGTTTTGTTTATACAAAAAATGATGGGATTTGAGAAACAGAAAAAAGTGGCTTAAGAGTTACATAAGGTCATGCGTACCTTGACAGGAGCAGTACAGTTGCTAGGCTCGCTCTTTCCAGCAGAATTGATGGCATATATCCTGAACTCATATTCGCTTCTGTCGACCAAGTTGAGTACCGTAAAGTTAGTGTCAGTGACATTGTAATCGTTGCACTTGGTCCAAAGTGGTGACCCAATCTCCCTCTTTTCGATGATGTAGCCGGTGATCCTAGACCCACCGTCGTTGGTTGGAGGTTGCCAGGTGAGATCCACGTAACCTTTGCCTACATTGACCACCTTAGGGTTCTGAGGTGCCGAAGGTACGTTGAATTTGCCCTTTAGCTTGAATTTGGACGAAGAGGCAGATGGTTTGCTGAATCCTGCTGCATTCTTGGCACGTACTCTGAATTCATACTCATGACCAGTCATCATGTTAAACAGGTCAAAGTGTGTGTCTTTGATCAGGTAGTCGCTGGCACTGACCCAATGAGTGTCATGAGCGACGTCACGGTATTCTAGTTTGTATCCTTGGATTCTAGAACCTCCATCGTTGTTGGGTCTGTCCCATGAAAGGTAGATGGTAGAAGAGTCCCAGTCTGTAACCCTTGGTGCTCCTGGAGCATCTGGTACTGTGAATGGATACTTCGCGATAACAGGTTCTGTGGTTTCTAGAGGCTCGCTAATGCCATACTGATTCTCAGCACGAACTCTGAAGCTGTACTTTCTGTTGGGTTCCAAACTCATCACATCGTAGTGCGGATTGCGGACGAAACTGCTTACTTTGACCCAGATACCGTTCGTATCAAGCTTCTCAACAATATAGTTTGTGATTGGAGAACCTCCGTCATCAAGAGGTGGTCTCCATGCCAGTGAGCAATTGTCAGGTGTGACGTCAGATACATCCAAAGGTCCTTGAGGTGGCAAAGGCTTGTCAACTACGAGCACTCTGCAAGACGCTGAATCTGATCCTACAGTGTTTGTCAACTTAATGGTGTAGCTGCCAGTATCTGATCTCTTCGCAGACTTATTTATGAAAATCGAAGAGATATCGTTAGTTTCCATCTTGATTCTGTCACCAGAGATAACCTCGTCTCCATTAATGGTCCAGGATGCCTTAGGTTTAGGTGTGGCCACATAAGGAACAGTGATCTTGAGCTCTTCTCCAGCAATAACGATCATGTCACGAATGCTCAAGTCTGAAGTGATCTTGGGGGCGCAAGGTGGAGCTCTAGCGCAGATGGCATCTGAAGATGAACTCCAGGGACCTTGCCCAGCAGCGTTCAGAGCAGCTACCCGGAATTCGTACTCATGGTTCTCTATCAAGTTGATTACCTGAAATATAAGACATATCGTTAGTCAAGAACAATGGGTAAGATCCTATGGAAAGTGATCATTGTCTCTTCTATGTGAAACAAAATCTTGTTTGACTTTAGAACACGACACGTGAAGTGATGGCAATCAACATTGCCTGTTTTTACTAGTGAATAGTACTAGCGTTGCTCTTACCTGTAGAGTAGTATCAGGAACCAAAGCATGCGAAGCCTTGGTCCACTTATCCTCGGTGATGAGTCGTTTTTCGACGACATAGCCGGTGATTGGAGATCCTCCATCGTGTCTTGGTTTTGTCCAGGTGATGGTAATAGAATCTTCTGTTGTTTCAACGCCTCTAGGAGCTCCAGGTGCACCTGGTGGGTCAAACGGATACCTAGCTCTAATTGGTTCTGACGTCATTGCGGGTTCTGATTGGCCATGTTGGTTCTCGGCGATGACTCTGAAGTCGTACTCTTTGCCTAACGTTAGGTTACGGATTCTCACAAACGGAACCGTGACATAGCTGCTGACTTTCGACCAAGTTCCAGATTTGGATTCTTTCTTTTCCACAATGTAGTTGGTGATCGGTGCTCCACCGTCGTCTTTTGGGGGACGCCAGTACAAGGTGAGAGCATCTCCAGCAAATTCATCAGCTCTTAGGTCCTCTGGCTTACCAGGTCTATCCAGAACTCTTACGTTGATAGTGGCTGTATCGAAACCAGACGGGTTCTTCAGTTGAAGCCTGTACTGACCAGTATCTGACCTCTTAGAGTTCTTTACGATGATGCTGGCGTAGTCAGGAGCCAGTTGTGGGAATACTCTATTGTCAGATTCATCGAGAATCTTGTCATTGGCGAACCAACTAGCTGTTGGTTGTGGAAAACCTACGTACGGAACGTGAATACTGAAGTCTTCTCCAGCTCTTACTGTTATGTCCCGTACACCTCCCAAGTCCATGCAAGGTTTGTTGGGTTGTTCTTCTATCTTAATAGGATTTGTTGGTTTGCTAGGTTCAGAGTTGCCTACATCGTTCACCGCGATTAGTCTAAACTGGTACTCTTCACCCTCTTTCAAGTTAGGCACAGTGTAGACAGTATCAGTGATCGGAGCGGTATTGATATCCACCCATTTGTCAGAGTCTTTTGGACGTTTCTGTAGAATATAACCTCTGATTTTGGAGCCGCCATCATTTCTAGGTGACCTCCAGGAAAGTGTGACACTGTCTTTGGTGATGCGGTCTGGTTTTGGTGGTTCGGGGGCATCAGGCTTGAATCTCTGGTATTGGGCGATGATCGGTTCAGTTGGTTCACTAGGCTCACCAGGACCTAAAATTATAATATAGTATATAATAATTGCTACTATATACTGCATGTCTGGAAATTGCCGGAACCGCCTGTCAATTTGTGAACTAAGCCTTCCGATTGATTAGAGTTTTCCCCAGCTATACAATGGTGATCTTAGAGTGGACCTTGACAAAGGTCATTTGAAGGTCAATTCGATTTTTGAATGCAATTTTTGACTCCGTAAATGAAAAGAGCGGAAATTTCTATGTTCAAATATGTCTGTGTGATCCTCAGAGAAATAGATTTCACTGTTCTTTCGGGATTTTTCCGTGGCTACAAAAATCAACTTGACCTTTTCATGACCTTGGAGCTTATAGGTTAAGGTCAGATCCAAGGTCGCCATTGGATATCCGGGGGAAAATCATAAAAATAATGTCTCGGTAGTTTCCTTATACTACTACTGGTTTCCAAGTTGTATCTCTGTACCTGGGTTTGACCTTGACGATGACCTCATCAGGCCGAAATTCAAAAATGGGGGGTTCCATTTAAAAAAAATCGAGTTGACCTTCAAATGACCTTAAAGACCAACGTGTCCTTGGATTTAGGTCACCATTAGGTAGCTGGGGAAAACTCCTATGAATCGCGGGGTCTAGTTTTTCCATTCAATCCACAAATTATCGTGGGGTTCCCTTTATACTTGACTCGACTTTGATATTACTGTAACTAACCTGCTTCGTTGACTGCAGTAACTCTGAATTCATACTTGTTGCCCTCCCTGAGGTCCTGGACAGTGTACTGAGTATTTGGAGTAGGGTAGTTGTTCACTCTTATCCATTCGCCACCGCGTTCCCTCTTTTCGACGTAGTAACCTGTGATTGGCTTGCCACCAGTGCTTGCCGGAGGCTTCCATTTCAACGAACAAGATGAGGGTGTATAGCCAACAACGTCTGGTTTGCTTGGAGCACCGGGAGGATCGAATGGACTCTTGGCCACCACCGGTTTGCCTACCAGTGGTTCAGATACACCTGTAAAGGGAAATTATGGTGTGATATAGATAGATACAATCAGCAAGCTATAATTGCAAATATTTTCTGATTCTGAACCGAACAAATGACCCAGTTGAGTGGATATCTTACCATATATATTTTCGGCGCGAACTCTGAAAACGTATTTCTTGCCCTCAGTGAGTCCTCGAGCAGTGAACGAAGGCTTGGGGCAATATCCTGGACATGGCCTCCAACTGTCAGTGCCATACTCGCTGACTTCGACGATATAAGATGTGATTTCACCACCACCATCGTCTAACGGTGGGTTCCAGGATAGCGAGATGGTGTCCTGTGTGGTCGCGGTGTACTGTAAGGGTCCTTGAGGCATTCCTGGTTTGTCCACGACGATAACTTCGATGTCAGCCTCGTCAGTACCGTATTCGTTAGTTGCGTGCACGGTGTAAGTACCGGAATCGTCTCGGTTTGATACTTCCACACGTAGTCTGGTGTTTTCACTTGTTGTCTCAGTCTACAAAATATGGTATTTTGTTATCTTGATTTCTCATCGTATTATAATTGTAGTCATAGAAAGAAACTAATCCGCCACTGAGTATAAAATCACGGCCACCCACTTTGAACTCTGAATGACAGCATTTTGATTCAAAAGCTTGAGTACTTAGGCTTCAACAACACTTACTTAGCACTGTTACCATCGTATCTATTTGAAAGGAAACAAACAGTATGTTTTTTATAATGCTTATGTCTCAACCACTGGTGTTCCACAGGGTTCGAATTTGGAACCATTGTTTATATTATTCGTTAAAGTCTTGTGTGAATCTTCGGATTGTTCTGAATTGATGTTCTAACTAATCTAATAGATTGTCCCACAATACTTTCACAATGTTTCTAGTGCCATGACTAAGATCTAAATATAATGTTCGTTTTTTATGCCAAATAGCTCAAACAGACTTACTGTCGAAAGTTACTGTTAATATAATTTGTGTGAATGCTAATAAAGTAGCTGACGCTTGCGATATATTTTTTTGTAGCTTAGGCGAATTGAAGTGCAAACTGCGTGCTCATTTTTAAAAAATGCTTATTATTATTAGGTTCGGGAAGCCGTGTGTTCAAGACCTTTCGGAGGCAGAATTTTTTCTATTTTTCCAGCTATTGCGTACATGCACAATCTCTAAAATTCATTTATAACAGAAAAAAGTAATGAGATGCTTACGTATACTCTGTTGGATTCGGGAATGCTGATTTTGTTCTTGTTCCATGTGACTTTTGGTGCCGGAGCTCCAGACATTGGAATGTTTATGTTGATTGGCTCACCAGCACGTACCTTGATCTTGCGGCCAATGATACCATCGAGCCACAATTTCGGTTTTTCTGAAAATGTGATGTGATGATTAGGTTGGAGCTTTTGATAACAGTCTTTGCCTAAACAGTATGGGGAACGCATTTCGGCTAATTCAAAATATATGGTATGTTGTGAAATACTTCAGGACTAGTTTCCGAGATGCAGAGTCGGCAAGTTGGGCAGCTAGAGCACCGCGGCTGCGATGAGGCTTCTAAAGAAGCTTTGTTAATCCGATTTTTGAACTGCCTAAGATTAGTAGAACTGGGAGTCTCCTCTTTTAGACTGTTCCACAATCTCGATACCCTAGGAACAAAGGAGCGGTCATATCACCCAGTTCTCAATGTACAAAGTTCGACACAGTTAGGATGGGAGGCCGAAGTCAGGCGGATCCGTCTGGCAGACACATCACGCGGCCGCATCATGGAGGAGAAGAGCCCATTGGCGCAGCGGTAGAAGAGAGCTAGGTCGCCGACGGCCCACCGGTGGGAAAGAGTCCCGAGACTTTCTGTTAAAGAAGAGTCAAAAAGATTAGCCGAAAGCCATTCTCCATAGAGTTCTGTATAGAGTTAAGGATGCACAAAGCATATCCACCTTTCATTGGTTTAGCAGTGAATACACTAGATGCGTCGCTAGGCTTTCCAGGACCAGCAGCGTTAACAGCCAGTACCCTATATTCGTATTGATGTCCTTCCTGAACGCGGTCATCGTAGTAGTCGGTGCCTCTGTTTGGCTCCTTGTTGAGCTTGATCCATCTTCCTGTAGCCATGTCACGACGTTCGATGTCATAGCCAATAATTTGCGAGCCTCCATTACTTATTGGAGGAGACCATTTGATCTTGATGTGGTCTTTGTCACTGTCGACCAGCTCTGGCTTGCCGGGCTTACCAGGAACGTCTGAAAAATATAAGTAAATGAATGAGAACCGCACCCATAACATTGCAAAATGATAGCGATCTCTATTGTCACGCACAATTTGACTAATGATTGCTACTACGTACTAACTATGATGGTTGTCTCAAAAATATAGGTTCCCACATTTTTTTCAGGTACAAGGAATTTTTTATTAAAAAAAAATGAATTTACAATTGGAAGTGTTGATCTTTAAGCTATTTTTCTACATATTTGCCATTTCCCGGATCGTGATTCGCCGATCTTCAAGCAAGATTTGTTCCATGTCCATGCGGCTGTCAAAGAACTCTCTTCACCGTTTGAGGAGATGTTGAATGCTTATACACTTTTCCTATATATTTCACTCAAATGGCGATGAATTTCTATGGGTGTAAAAATCGGATGACCGCACGAATTTCGCATCTGGCAGCGACCTGCAGGCCGGTACTGAGCATCGCCAGTAGGCGCTTCTTGTTGGATTCGTTAGTGGGGTAGCCGATAAACACGATGGCGTTGCCAGATTACGCCTAGCATCACGCGCGGCAAAGTTAGAGCGTTGAGAACCTCATCTTTGAGACAACCCTCGTAGTAGCTGTGTGTGTTGCCTAAACGTCATGTACGTGCTGTCGGTGTAATGTGTTTGACTTTATTGTAATATCTAAATGTTAAGTTTTCTACTTATAACCGGTAGAAAATGCCGTAGTTCACAGTTGTACGATTCCTCCATAGGTGTTATTTAGTTCTTAGTGCGAATGAGCGATTATTGTTTTACATGATACGTGTATTGATTTTTGTATGTGAATTTTCTAAATAATTGCAAAAATCACCGTTTCTGAATTGAACCAGATTCAGAAGACTTTGGAATCGGCATTAGTGGCTATAAACGTGGTGAAGTTAGTCTTATAATAGGCCTACCGTATTGGTTCTTCGCAATGATTGGTTTTTCTGTCTCCAGTGGATCAGAGCGACCTTGCATATTTTCAGCAAAGACGCGGAATTCATATTTGGTTCCTTCTATCAATCTAGGTACAACAGCGTGGTTGTATTTTGGATTGACGTAGTTGACAGCTGGTACCCAGCCACCACCGTGAGTCAGATCCCTCTTCTCTATCACATATCCACTAAAAAATAAATAATCAATTAACCTAGAATTTTGATTCTTGTGTACGTTAAAAAAGGCTGCCAGCGTAACCGAAACATTAACAAAGTAAGATTCTCGTGATATTTTCGCTCATAAATGACGATACTTACGTAATTTCACTGCCACCGTTATCCTTAGGCGGTTTCCAAGAAAGTGTGACACTTTGGGCTGTAATCTCTTCGTATTCGATTGGCTTCTGTGGTGGTCCAGGACGATCTAAAAAATAAATGTTACCATTGTAAATGTCATTTGATATACGAATCATAAATGGCTCTTAAGTGTTGAAAACCCTTAGGCAGCAGCAGTGGCGTAGTGGTAGACGCCTAATCAGTCGCCGTGCGCTGCGCGGGTTCGAATCCCGTCCCAAGAGAATTTTTCTCTTGGCTATTGATGTTGTGATTGTCCGTAGATGGTAGATGGTTTCTGACTGTCGAACGCGGAGGTACCACCCGGCGGATCTCGTAGGCTGGGCCAGAATGTGTGCATGCTGCATGCACACGTGTTCCCTCGCTAGAGTCGATGTGGCGTCCCCCCTTTCCCCTGTATCCTCCTATAGCCTCACGGTACCCATGGGTGTTTAGGCCTTAGGCCTCAGTGGTAAAGAAAAACGAGAAGAGCATGCATGTGACAAAATGAGAGGAGATGAGACAGTTAAGTTCTTCGCAACTGTCCTTAGTTGATTCTGGGAGAGCGTTGGCTTTCTATGGCTAATGCAATGAATATTCCGTTGGGTCATATTTCCAACTTCTTCTTCTGTGGTAACATTGACCAACACGTATTATGATTTTGCTATGATATTGACTAACTCCCCAGTACAAAACAGAATAACTGCACTCACCTAATACTGTAATTTGGAATGATCCTTCATCTATACCAGAGCTGTTCTTAAGCAGCAAGTGGTAAGTGTTGCTGTCAGATCGTCTGGCGTTTACGGTATGGATTGTGGTGTGGTATCCAATGGATGTAACAGTCGTACGTTCATCAGCGGTCAAAGGCACGTTATTTCCAACAGTCCAAATGACCTCGGGACATGGTTCTCCAATGAAGTCGATGTCCACGTGCAGGATGAGACCAGCCTTGATTCGGATATCGTTGAGCGGAGTTTTGATCTTAGGTGCCACTGGAAAAAATAATTAGGTCATTACAGAGCTAGTAATCGAGCCAAAATGACTTCTTTGTTCACAGTGTTTTATGTATGCTTTGTAGGATATAGTTTGGACTATTCCTAGACACAGTTTTATGTTGATGTGGATAATAAAGTTGAAAAATACTTACAGAATCTTGCTTTCGCAGTAACCATATCAGATGGCTCAGATGGTTCGCTCTGTCCAGCAGCATTCGTAGCAATAATCCTGAATTCGTAGTCCTGTCCTTCTGTTAGATCAGGAACTCTAGCCGTCGTCTTGCCAGCTGGCACATGAGCAGCATTGGTCCAATAGGGACTTCCTTTCTCCTTCTTCTGGATAATGTACCCGGTGACAGGAGTACCTCCATCACTCTTGGGCGAGGTCCATTGTAGGTCCACGTGGTCTTTGTCCCAATCTGTGACCTGAGGTTTACCGGGTGCGCTAGGTTCGTCAAACTCATTTTTGGCGATTATGCTTCTAGGTGTCTCCAACGGCTCAGATTCACCTACAGCATTTACGGCCTTGACTCGGAAGTAATACTCTTTGCGGTGGATTAGTCTCTGAATGTCATGGGAGCAAATAGTAGACATACCTGGAACATAATTGCTTGTTAGCCTTTCAAGGTCAGAAGTGTCGGTCAAAAAAGTCATCAGGTTGATTCTGCATCAGTTAGTTTATAAAGAAATATTTTCCGCACAATTAAGCCCATCTGAGGGAAACTAAGCTACGGTAATGTCTAACAAATGAGTTAAATGGATCAAGTCAGCCAAACAGGCCTATACAATTGGTCCATAGTCCCCAACCGTTTGATTTTTTCGTTGCCCTACTGAAAACCACACCAGTCTCCCATGCCATAAGCGGCAGCCGTGATACTATATTATTTCAAATTCAGAAAGCTAGCGATGCAGTCAAGAGCAGACAGTGTTTGGTGCATGACGGCGGCGGTTTAACTGCGATACATGACGCATCTGTAAATGTTTCTCTAAGTCTTAATTCCAAATGTACGGGTAATCTATGATGAGAAATATATAACAATAGGTTCTTAGAATTACCGCGGCTGGAATCCTATAAATGTACTGACCGCAAAAATTGAGATATACCCTCCCCCAATTCCTACAACCTCCATTTTTTTCCGTAAATGATCAGGAGTCTCTGAAACGTCAAAAAAGGAAGATTGAGCCGTTTTTGTATCCCTTGTTTCCTGCCCCCAGCTCCTCTGCCACTGGACCGATTTTCAAAAACCATAAAGCTTTTTCGTCCTTGGCGTATTAGTATAGTAACCTTTTATGAGAGTTTTATAAAAACTCTAGCGGTAGTTGCCAATATTTCCGGATGCAATAGGATGTGGGCTTCTGTAGCAAAGTTTGGAAGTGATCCTTACCAGCGTCTGACCAGGTGCCACGTGACACGTCCATTTTCTCGATGACGTAATGTAGAATTGGTGAACCGCCATCATCCAATGGTGGCTTCCAGGCGAGTCTGGCACTTTCCTTGGTGACAGAGCTGACGTCTAGTGGCGGTTGTGGTGGTGCCGGTTTGTCAAGGACTGTTACTTGGGCTGAGGCGCTGAAGCTGCCAAGGTCATTTGTCAAGGTCAATGTGTATCTACCAGCATCTGATCTCAGAGCGGATGTTATGTCAAAGGAAACCTTGTTGTTGTAGACGGCCATGTCTATTCTATCGCTGGATAGTATTTCCTTGCCATTTAGGGTCCATTTTGCTGTAGGCTTTGGTGATGCCTCTATCGGAAGGTTCCAGCCAAACCTCTGGCCTACCTTCACGGTTATGTCCTCCAACAGGCTCTTATCAAAGGTTGGAGCCAAGAATCTTGGTTTGGCGATGACAGGGATAGATGCCTCGCTAGGTTCACTATGTCCTCCCTTGTTCACAGCGATTACTCTAAATTCGTATTCCTCTCCTTCTACTAAGTTCGGTACGGTAGCCTTGGTTGTGTTTCCAGGCACTTCGCAAGCTCTTTCCCAAGTTCCATGCCTTGGCCTTTTTTCGATGATGTATTCGGTGATGGGTGCTCCTCCGTCCTTCTTTGGAGGAGTCCATTCCAGGTCCACGTGATCTCTGTCCCAATCTGTTGGTACCGGTACTCCAGGCCTGTCCGGCTTTGTGAATGGATCCTTAGCTGTGATGCTGCAATGAAAACACGACTTTAGGCTTGAATATTGACGTAAGTTATCGGTTGTGATGGAATGTGTCTAGAAAATGAAAGTTTTTGATCTTAGGGGACAAAAGTGTGGATAGTAGCTTCTAAATATGAAATCATGAAAGATCAAATCTTGCTATCCCAAGATCTCTGACAAAACATTTTGAAAGATACTTGAGACGATTACTCACCTATCAGTGGTTGTAAGGGGCAGAGATTCGCCTTCCTTGTTGTGAGCTTTCACTCTGAATTGGTAGTCATGACCTTCACTCAAATGGTCTACTCTCATGGAAGTACCCACTGCTTCTCCACATGGTACCCAACGCATATTGGCTGTATCAAGTTTCTCCACTGTGTAGTGTGTGATTTCTGAGCCACCATTATCCTTTGGTGGTTTCCAGTGTAGGGTCATGGAGTTCTTGGTCACGTTATCGGTCCTGAGTGGGCCTTCAGGTGGAGTAGGTACATCTAAAACTGTGACTTTAACTGTGGCCTCGTCTTTTCCATTGCTATTTTTAGCTGTTAGAGTATATATTCCACTATCTGATCGTTTGGCATCCACGATTTTCAAAGTGGTCTTGTAGTCTTCATTTACAATCTTAACGCGCTCGTTGTTGAAAAGAACGTCCTCCTTGTGTTTCCATTCTTTGGACGGTGGAGGTTCTCCAATGATCGGGACGTTGTAGTCGATCGAAGCTCCAACTTTGACCTTGAGGTCCATGAAGTAGTTTCGGTCGATCTTGGGCGCAACTAAAGAAAGAAGAATCATTAGCAACAAAGTCAGACATTCGCTGAATTCTGTAGTAAGGTGAGGTTAGATAGATTTCCCTCATGGGAGCCATGAAACAAGAACTTGAGTTTGGAAGATACACATCTAACAATACTTACGGTTTTTGGGTCTGGCAACGTGAATCTTGGATTCATCGCTAGGCTCTCCAGGTCCAGCCTTGTTGACAGCACGAATTCTGAATTCGTACGGAGTGCCTTCTATGAGGTCGTTAACCTTTCCTCTAGGTACATCACCTTCAACTTCTGCGCATTTCTCCCAGTTGGGATTGAACTTATCTCTCTTCTCAATGATGTAGCCCGTGATAGGAGATCCACCATCGCTCTCTGGTTTGTCCCACTTGAGCTCCACGAAGTCCTTGTCGTAGTCGATTATCTCTGGTGCACTCGTTTTGCCAGGTTCGTCGAATGGATTCTTCGCCACAATAGCTTGTGAAGTAGTGAGTGGTTCAGATTTGCCTTGTCTGTTGACAGCACGTACTCTGAATTTGTATTTGTGGCCTGGAACAAGTCCATCCACAGCAAGCGAGGTTTCTGGACCATCTGTTTCACCAGCTGGCACCCAGCGACCAGATGCTTCATCCATTTTCTCCACAATGTATCTGCAGTTAAAAACAATATATTTATTAACGTCAAAATGAGGCAAATAAGACACTTCTGGAAGGAATCAAGATCCTTTCTTTAGAAATGCATTAAAAAAGGGAGGTATAAGCAACTAATGTTCTTATTTGTACCTTTCAACGGGTTGTCCTCCATCGTCTGCTGGTGGTCTCCAGCTGAGCTTGCATCCGTTGGCATGGACGTCAGATACTTTGAGTGGCCCTCCTGGAGGACTTGGTACGTCCAAGACGATGATTTCTACTTCAGCGATGTCTTTGCCATTATCATTTTCTGCTGTAACAGTGTATGTTCCAGCATCTTCTCTTGTGGCGTTGCGCACGCTTATCTTTGTGTTGTATTCTCCATGCTGTACCTTAACATTGGCGCCGCTCTTGATTTCCTTGCTTTTCAAGAGCCACTTTGTGGTTGGCATTGGTTCTCCGGTTACCTAAAAGAATTTTTTTTCAAACAACTATCTAGATAAAAGAACCAGCTTTGTATATCATAGCAAAAACCTAGAGACAATACAGAGACAACGTCATTGGAAGAAAGCTGAACGCCAAATAATTTGAAGGGTTCTTAGGTACCTTAACGTCAAATGCAAAATTCTGTCCTGCACGAATGCGGACTTCAATAAGATTCGTTCTGTCGATCTTTGGTGCTTGGTTACGAGGCTTAGCGATAATCGTTGGTGTTTCGTTGCTGGCTTCACCAGGTCCCGCGGCATTTACTGCTCGTACTCTGAACTGGTAGGGTTGTCCTTCGATGAGGTCCGGTACTGTAGCCTTGAGCTGGTCAGATGGTACTTCCAGAGCTTTCTCCCAGTCACCAAACTTGTCTTTCTTCTCGATAATATATCCTTCAAACAACGAACATGAGTTAAAGAATGGCATACAAGTATGCTAGCTACTCGTTGGTCTAAAGTGCAATATACGTGTTGGCCCACCCGATATTGATGGATGAAGAAGCATCATATTGGTATTTTGCTTTGACCAGTTATGGTTAAGGTATAACGATCTTGAGAGAATACTTTATAACAAATATTATACCTGTAATTGGTGATCCACCATCTTCCTTGGGCGGCGTCCAAGCAAGGTCAACATGGTCTTTGTCCCAGTCTGTGGCCTTGAGGTGTCCTGGTGGGCCAGGTTCATCGAATGGATTCTTGGCCACAATTGTTGTTTCAGTCTCTAGTGGTTGGGATTCTCCTTCTGCATTTACTGCAGCTACTCGGAACTTGTATTCATGTCCAGGGGTCAGACCAGTGACTTCAAAGTCTATGAAAATAAGATCAGAGTTAAACTTATGGAGGTTTCGAAGAATTTATGTGAACTTACTGGGCTCTGTAGATCTACCGCAAGGCACCCAACATCCAGTCTCTGGGTCCATTTTCTCCACTTGATAGTACTCGATGGGAGTGCCACCATCATCCTTAGGTCTCTTCCATTTGAGCTTGCATCCTTCTTTGTGGACGTCAGATACCTGCAAGGGACCTTGAGGTGGCGTAGGCTTATCAGTGACAGTGACATTGATTATATGTGTGTCTTTTCCTGAGCTGTTAGAAGCTGTGACTTTGTATTCTCCAGTGTCATCTCTGTTGACTGGACGGATGGCGATCTTGGTGTTGTAATCGACGTTGTCTATAGTGGTACGATGGTCGTTTTTGAGAGTACTGCCATTGAACCGCCATTCGACAGTCGGTGGAGGTTCTCCAATGATGTTAGCCTCAAACTTGAGTGGTGATCCAGCTGATACTGTCACATCATGGAGGTATCTTCTATCGATCTTTGGTGCCAAGAATCTTGGCTTAGCTGTGAACGGTTTGCAAGGATCAGATGCCGGTCCTTTGCCAGCGGCGTTGACTGGTATGACTCTGAACTCGTAGACGTTGCCTTCAACCAATCCAGTGACTGTAGCCATCGGTGTTGGTGATGTGGTTTCTAGGGCTTTCTCCCACATTGGAGAATACTTATCTTTCTTTTCAACGATGTAGCCGGTGATCGGGGATCCACCATCTGATACTGGTTCTGGCCATTTGAGGTCGACGTGGTTTGCAGACCAGTCGGTTGGTTCTGGTGTCCCAGGCTTGCCAGGCGTTGCTGTAAATTAATTATATTATTAAATAATTGAATAATGCTAAGTGACAACAGACAGGAATACGGCAAGCCACGACCTACCGCATTATATGTTTTGATCATCCAGCAACGGGTGCTTGATACACTTCGTCATGGGTCACCGCAGCTAAGTGGTCAAAACATTATTTTTTATTATATTTTGTGCGCTTACCCCATTCTATAATCATAATCGAAACGAAATAATGTTTGTAACATTAGACACACAGCAATATAATACCGTTTTATTCATCAATTGATTCCAGTCAATGTGGATTCTTGTCAGATCGCCAACGGTTCTATTTTTCGCGTAACAAAATATAATTTAAAAATATATACGTAGAAACATTATCGTCCCGCGAGGGAATTTGAAGGGTTGAAATTAGTATTGAAAATAATTTTTCTTTTTCTTTGCAGATGCATAAGAGAGATTTTATTGTAGGGAAGCATAAAAGTTATCTATTACTATGCCATACAAATTAACTTTTTCTTGATGAAGCTGCAGCTTTCAAGACTTATTGTATGCCACGTGTCGTGGATTACAGTAACCAATAGAGCAGTCTTGAATTCTACATTAGTTGGTGTAGTTTCTCTGCGGGTATTGTATAAAACCCTCTTAGTTCTGGATAGGTTCCCAAAGAGCGCTTCGCAGTCTCAAAGGCCAATAAAAGCAGACTTTGTTCCTCTACTACAATGGGTGAGGTGTTCATTAAGAGCAGTTCTAGATTTTTTCGGGATAAATTCTTCATTCATAACCATGTTCTAATTTTCCTTATACCGTTGTCTTACCCATTTTTTTACTAGGTTTGACTGATGATTATACTTACAGTAAGGATCCTTGGCGACAATAGTTCCCATGGTCTCCAAAGGTTCAGATTCTCCTTCCTTGTTGACAGCTTTCACTCTGAACTTATATTCGTGTCCAGGTATCAGTCCATCAACCTTCATCTCAGGTACTGCTCCACTAGTCTTACCGACTGGCAACCAAAGTCCCGTTTCTGTGTCGTACTTTTCGACCACGTAGTTGTCGATGGGCTCTCCACCATCGTCTTTTGGTCGCTTCCATTTCAATGTGCAGCCATCTTTGCAGATATCGGATACTTCTAGAGGACCTTCTGGTTGTCCTGGCTTTGCTAGAATAACAAGAGGTCATTGAGATCAAGTGGAAAGACCAATGATAGAGTTAGCTCTAAATAGGTAACCTAGCTTATACCAAGCCACAGTTTTAACTCGCCACAAGAACGACTTACTACTCAGCAGCTCTATTGTTTTCAGAACATCGGAATTCCCAACTTTATCTAGATTCCTAAATAAAGATGAATAAAGGGATATTCATTGCAATTAGGGCATTCCAAGATAGCGGCCAGGCGTAAAAAGAGGCTGCACCAATGTCCAAGTCCAAAAGCTCTTTCAACTACAACTCGCAACGATTGAAGAAAACCAAGCCATATGAGCTTGGATAATGTGCGAAGTAGATCATGTGCGCAAGTAGCATTACTTATGTTAGGGTAACTTACAAACAACTGTGATTTCAATCTCCGCTTGGTCCTGTCCAAACTTGTTTGTAGCAACAATCTTGTACACTCCAGTATCCTTTCGTTCGGGTTTGTCGTTAAAGAATTTGGAGTTGTAAGGTACATCTTCGACGCGTTTGTGAGAAGTCTGGAAAAGCATTTTTCCATCTTGGTACCAAGCCACGTCTGGAGCTGGTTCGCCAATAATCTTCACGTCAATGTAGATGGGTTCGCCTTCTTTCACCGTCAGGTTGCGAAGGTTACGTCTATCTATCTTCGGAGCCACTGTGAGAAAATAGATGCAACATTAGCGACGATTAATGAAATTGATCCGACATGTCAGACAGTCAAGTTATTAGAAGTAACGTTTTCCTTGAGCAATATGTAGCCTCGCATAACCTAGATGACTTTTGGAGGAAAGGTATTAATCTAAGATCAAAGCATGTAGGTTCCATTACGTTCCGAAGCGGTTTGGACAGAGACGTGTATCATTTCGCTACTTCATCACCATGAGAGTAGAGAAATGACCTAGCGAAATAGGCTAGAAATTTCTAGAAATAGCTGTACAACCAAAACATATGGGAATACCTGATATATGTATATATAATTCTATACTTACATCGTCTGGGCTTCGTAATGACAGACTTAGAAGCTTGACTTGGCTCACCAGGCCCAGCGTCATTGACAGCTCTAACTCTGAATTCGTATTCTACCCCCTCATCGAGGTCACCTACAGTGGCACTCGTATCGTGAGGTCCTGTTTCTCCTGCTTTGATCCATTTTGGACTTCCCTTTTCTTTTTTCTCAATAACGTATCCAGTGATTGGAGATCCACCGTCATTCGTAGGTGGAGTCCATCTTAAGTCAACGCGATCCTTGTCCCAATCAGTGACCTCGGGAGTGCCAGGTGGACCAGGCTCATCTATAAAGGTAATTTATATTAGTAAAATCATACTCCTTGGAAACACATACATTCTTGGCCATCCTTGGGTACTAACCAAATGGATTCTTAGCAATAATGGTCTGTTCAGCCTCCAGAGGTTCAGACTCTCCTTCAGCATTGACAGCTGCTACTCGGAACTTGTACTCATGACCGGGTTCTAGATTATTCAGTTCGATCTTGGGTTCTCTAGACCGACCAGCTTGCACCCATCTTCCCGTTTCTGTGTCAAACTTCTCCACTTGATAGTACTCTATTGGTACGCCTCCATCGTCTTGTGGTGGGTTCCATTTTAGAGTGCAGCCCTCCTTGTGAACATCGCTGATCTTGAGAGGGCCTTCAGGTTTCGATGGTTTGTCCAGGACTTTTATTTCGATGCTGGCTTCATCTCTGCCAGAGTCGTTTTCTGCCTTCAGCGTCAATGTCCCTGAAATGGAATAAATTGAGTGAATCTCTAAATTTAGGCGCAATTGAAGTCTAAGATGCAAGGATCAAGTACACACGTGGGGCTCTAATATGAGCTCTCTCGCCTGACGGAGTTATCAAGAGATACTACGCCATTTTGGGAAGTGTTAACTTAAAACCAATTACTCTATTGACCTTCTGACTCTTTACACAGGCAGACCTAAGGCTGGCTCGGGACCAGCAAGGCTGCCTCTGATCTCGCCCTCGCCAGTGAGAATGCCATATCGTATATTCCGAAGTGCCCCAGTGCTTAAATAAGCGAGACTGCATGGCACGCCGCTATCTTGCCAGCACTTAGTGCCCATTCCATTCCTGAATACGGGATTCATTCGCAAATTTTCCGCCTAGAGTATGGCCCACAAGAGACAGTGAAAGTTTTGATCTGGGAGCAATAAGAGAAAGTTTGGGTATACGTTTTTTACCTGAGTGTTCTCGCTTGGCTACTCCAATGACCAATTTGGTTCTGTAGTCTTCTAGATCCACAGTGATGTCATCGCGTTTTTCAATACGAGCCTTGTTAAGGAACCATGTTTTAGTCGGTGGAGGTTCACCTGATACCTTGACGTCCAATCTGATGTGTTGACCTGCTCTGACTGTGAGGTCTTTGAGGTTAGTTCTGTCGATCTTTGGTGGAACGAATCTATCTTTAGCTGTGATAGTTTCAGATGGCGGCGAAGGTTTGCTCTCTCCACCTTTGTTCACTGCTTTTACGCGGAACTGGTACTTTTGGCCTTCCTGCAAGTCGGGTACCCTAGCTTCTGTTTTGTTTCCGGGTACTTCAACGGCCTTCTGCCATTTGCCTGTGATAGGGTCTTTCTTTTCAATGATATATTTTTCAATAGGTGCTCCACCATCGTTCTTGGGAGCCTGCCACTTGAGGTCCGCATGATCCTTGTTCCAGTCTTTGAGCTCAGGCTTGCTGGGCGATTCCGGCTCGGTATAAGGATTCTTGGCTGTCGTTGGAACATCGGTAACCAAAGGCTCTGATTCACCTTCAGAATTCAAAGCTTTGACTCTAAATTGATAGTCTTTGCCTTCGTTCAGTCCAGTCACATCAGCTTCAGGTGTTTTGACAGTTGTCACAGGAACCCATCTACCAGTTTCAACATCCATACGTTCAACAAGGTATCCTGTAATTGGTTCTCCGCCGTCGTCTTCAGGAGCATCCCATTTCAGCTTGCATCCTTCAGCGGTAACATCAGATACCTTCAAAGGCCCCTTTGGTTTGGATGGTTTGCCTATAACTGATATCTCGACTTCAACGGTATCAATGCCAGAATCGTTCTTGGCTGTTACGACGTATACTCCAGTGTCACTTCTTTGCACCTGAAACATCAAAACAATGAGTCTACTTAGTAGGTCGCATGAAGCATTAGCGACAATATACTGCGTGTTTTTAAGAAAGTAGATAATAGAGACCAATTGGATTGGTTACAGTAGGTATATTGCTCAATAGGTGAACACTCTAGATAGATGCATGCAGAAGAACTACATAATATCTCTGAGGTTATCATCTATTTTTACCTTTTGTAGCACAAAACTGGTGTGATAGTCTTCATTGTCAATCTTTAGCCTGTCGGTGTTCTTGAGAGGCTGTTCTTTGAGGGTCCAAGTGACAACCGGTGGAGGTTCACCCTTAACGTCAGCTTCTAATCTTAACAGCTGACCTGTACGCATAACCCTTTTCTGCAGATTCTTTCTGTCGATCTTTGGTGCCACTGTAAAAAACGGATTGTCATTAGCCGTTACGTGTAACGATGCATAAGACACTGTCAGTTGTAGAAATTCCCTTCACACGCACAACTAATACTTACAGTGTCTAGGTTTAGCGATAACTGGCTTAGACGGGTCACTTGGTTCGCTGGGTCCAGCTTTGTTGACGGCAACGATCCTGAATTCATATTCGTGACCTTCCTCGACGTTTTCAACTCTTCCGTTGGTTCTGTCTCCAGGTACTGTAGCAGCATCTACCCAGCTCCTGCCAGCTTTGTCGTGCATTTGGATGATATACTTCTCAATTGGAGCTCCTCCATCTGATACTGGAGGCTTCCAAGCCAGCTCCACAAAGTCTTTGTCCCAGTCTCTGAGGTCTGGACGGCCTGGTTTGCCGGGCTCATCTAAAAACAGAGTGATAGATGCATTACAGTAATTCGTATGATAATAGACATCATGGCATACTATATTACTACTTTTTCCTTTATATTTGTCACCCGACACAAACCAAACTGGATCACTCCAGGTATATTATGAAGGACATTCAGTTAGACTTTTAGTTGTAATATACTGATGACATTGATGAGACTTACCAAATGGATTTTTGGCAATGATGGATTTTTCAGTCTCAAGAGGTTCAGATTCCCCTTCTTTGTTCACAGCCTTAACTCTGAATTTGTATGGTTTGCCTTCTTGTAAGCCAGTGATGTTAGCCTCAGGTTCGGTGCTTCTACCACAGGGTATCCATTGTCCAGTCAGGGGATCTAGTTTCTCGATTTCGTAGTGGTCAACGGGGCTACCACCATCGTCATCTGGCTTCTTCCATTTCAGCTTGCAACCATGTTTGGTGACGTCGCTTACTTCAAGAGGTCCTTTTGGTGAGCCAGGCTTGGCGAGGACCTGGATCTCAATATCAGCTTGGTCTTCACCAACTTCGTTCTTGGCTATGATCGTGTATTTGCCAGAGTGCAGCCTCTTAGCCTTCAAAATGAAGAATTTAGTGTTATAGTCTACGTTATCTATGCGCACTTCTTCGGTTGACTGTAGTTCTTTGCCTTCGAATAGCCAAGTGACTTTCGGTGGAGGTTCGCCCTGGATGTTAACATCCAGGTTGATGGAAAGACCCGTCTTCACCTGCATTGGTTTTAGGTTCGTTCTGTCGATCAGGGGTTTCACTGAAATAGGGAGGTCATTAGTTGAAGTCTTCGCTATTGGTGTATACGCAGTGATTTTATAGGTTATAGATAATATTGACTTGACTATAGTCAAGAGTGTACGATACCTTACGCCGCTCTCGTTCATTTTAGTATTTGTTATTGGGATCTTCGAAAATACCCTTTAATGAACTATAATTTGAATCGCTGCGTATATTATTTCCTTATTATTTACTAAACACGGGTATATGAAACGAAAAATATGACAGAAATAACAAAAAACTAACACGGAAATGTCAACATAATAGTAAACAAAAATGGACATAGAAACGATATAACGTCGATGAAACATTGAAATATTAATCTTGAAAAATACTATCTGAAAAAATAAAAATAGTCTGTTAAAAAATATTATTTATCGTAGTCTATGTTACAGAATGTTGCCAGGAAAATATAAGGGCAGATGCAGCAAGTAAAAATATGAACACAGTTCAGAATAACATGGGTACGGAAATTTTATTTTCATAAATTCTCCGTCCTTGTAAAATTGTACGCCACTGGGTTTTGCTAAAATAAGTATCGTGTCTCAAAGCCTATTTGTTGTATTCTGTTCCAAAAGTATAAATATTTTTTCTTAATATTGGTTAAAAATGAAAGCTAGATTGTTATTTTTTATTGAGATATAGGTCCAGTTTCACTTTTAAAAAGGATACATCTGGCTAAAGTAATACTCAAGACGTAATTTTTAAGTAGAATCAATCTGCCATTAAAATGCTGTTACGTTTATTTAGAAAACAATTTTGTGAAAATGTGACGTGCACTATTAAAGACAGGAGAAGTGTAAACACTTTATATGTATGTAAACGTAGCACTTCCGGACCTATGTTCATTTTCCCTAATCTTCACCTGTTGAATATGCCCTTAAAACTTTCTGACATCATTCTGTGTAAAAATAATTTCTACTTACGGAATCTGGCTTTAGCTGTATGCCAGTTGGTTTGTTCAGAAGGTTCTGACTGCCCAGCCTTATTTAAAGCTCTGATTCTGAATTTGTATTGGTTACCCTCCTCTAAATTCTTGACAGTTCCTTGACACGTTGGTCCAACTTCTGCAACCTTAACAAACTGTCCTCCAAACTTGTCCATTGCCTCAATGACGTAACCAGTGATGGGTGCTCCCCCATCTCTGACTGGTTTTTCCCATTTCAGTTTGACAGAATGTTCATCCCAGTCAACGATTTCTGGAAGGCCTGGTGGTGCTGCCACATCGTATGGATTCTTAGCTAATATAGCTGTGTCTGTTTCTAACGGTTCAGATTCTCCTTCTTCATTCACGGCTTTTACCCTGAAGTGGTATTTCTTATTGGGTTCCAAGCCACTGATCTCAAGGTCAGTCTTGTCAGCATCGACGAAACCCGCAGGGACCCATCTGCCTGTTCCTACGTCTTGTTTCTCCACGACGTAGCCCGTGATGGGCAGTCCTCCATCGTCTTTTGGTTTATCCCATTTCAGTTTGCAGCCTTCTTTGTGAACATCAGTGACTTCTAGGGGACCCTCAGGCTTTCCAGGTTTGTCAAGGATAATTACATCTACGGTTGCTTCAGTCGAAACCAGAATCGTTTTCTGCTCTTAGTGTGTAGGTACCAGTGTGTTTGCGTGTTGTGTCTGTCATTGTAAGTTTGGTGTTGTAATCCACGTCTTCTATCTTGATGTTACCGCCAACTTCAAGGGGCTTGTGAGCAAAGCTCCAAGTGCATTTCGGTGGAGGTTCACCTTTAACGTCAACGTCGAACTTCACAAGTTGACCTGCGCGGACTTTGACGGTGTGGAGCTTCTCACGATTGATCAGTGGACGTACTAGAAACAAATAGACAATTGATTATACTGGAAAGTATCAAACACCTAAACCCGATCTTACTATAGACCGGCGGGAATCAAAATTTGCGCCTTTGGCATAAATTGGACCAATGAGAAGGCGTCTTAGTAGTAGCGAAGTATTGAATCTAATTAATTTCGTCGATTTTTTGTAAAATGTCAAACTAGAGAAAAAATATACGATTTTTTTAAAATGGGCTCCTAATTCTCATAATGAATCATGAAATACTTCATAAAGGGTTGTCCAATAGGGACGCAGGAAAGTAAACGTCAATTTGACATAGACGCCATCTTTGTTTTTTGTCACCGACATGTCATTTTGTTAGTTGAATGTTTACCATTGACCGCTATGGAGTCGTATTCGATTGAAGACCGCATTAAAGTTATTCAAGAGCACTACAAAAATGGTGCAAAAATAAAAAACACGTTTCGCGCGCTTCGTGAACATTTCGGTCGTAACAACCGCCCAAACGAAACAACCATCGGTCGTCTGGTGCGTAAATTCGAGGCAACAGGTTCTGTGGCAAATCTGCCAGGCTCTGGCCGGCCAAGGAGCGTTCGCACACCGGAAAATATTGCTGTTGTGAAGGAGAGTGTGAGAGACGATCCGAAACAATCAACATCGCGTCGATCCCAAGAATAGGGCATTTCGAGAACCAGTTTACTCCGCATTCTCCACAAGGATTTGAATGTACACGCCTACAAGATCCAATTGACGAAAGAGCTGCGTCGGGCCGACCATTTTTCGCGCCGAACGTTCTCAGATTGGCTTCTTGAACACCGCCAAATTGATGCCAATTTTTCATGAAAAAACATGTTCAGCGACGAAGCGCATTTCACTTTGAATGGGACGGTAAACAAGCAAAACTGCCGCATCTGGGCGAACGAAAATCCCCGTGAGTATCAAGAGCAGCCGATGCATCCTCAAAAAGTGACTGTGTGGTGTGCATTGTGGTCAAAAGGCATCATCGGACCTTACTTTTCCGAAAATGCGGCCGGGGACGCCGTTACCGTCAATTCTGAGCGATATGACGTGATGATAGAGGACTATTTTTTGCCGCAACTTGAAGGAATGGATATGGACGATGTTTATTTCCAACAAGACGGTGCAACATGCCACACAACCAACGTCAATATCCATCGATTGCAGTCCTTCTTCGGTGGTCGCGTGATTTCGCGCAGAGGAAATGTGCCTTGGCCACCAAGATCGTGCGATTTGACTCCCTTGGACTTCTTTTTATGGGGATATTTGAAAAGAAAAGTCTACGTCAACAAACCAGCCACCCTCCAAGAACTCAAAAACAACATCATTGCCGAGATAAATGCCATAGAACCGACCATGTTGCAAAATGTCATTGAAAATTTCGACCATCGCGTGGACGTGTGTAAATCCAGTCATGGTGAACATTTGAGCGATATTATTTTTCATACATAAATGGTATAAATGAACCTTCAAAATAAAGTACTCAACTTGATTTGAATATCAATCTTTCTTGTTTTAATATGCGTTTACTTTCCTGCGTTCGTTTTGGACAGCCCCATATATTACATGATTCAGCTACAGAAACCCATTTTTCATTTGTGTCTGGACGCAATAGTTGACGCAAATTCCACCAATTAAGAAGAAGAATTTGTGTATTCGAAACATGGATGAATCCTGATACAAAAGATTGACATGATGCAGTTACTGAACAATCAATTGAAAATAACTTTGTCTCACTGTGGCTGTACAAAATTCTGCATAATTAACTACTCGAAGACATAAATACAATTATGGAGTGCTTCTTCTTTAACAAACATCGAGTAAATTTACTTGAAACTCCAAAGTATTTCCCTGGTCGCGGTTCGATTTAAAAACACAAAATTTTCAATCTTTTCCTCAGCATCCGTAATCTAATATCACATCGACAGGTATGTTATTGCTATATGAATGTATTATTTTCTGCTTTTTCCAAATCCGTTTTATAAACAAAGAACCTTTTCACCTAATGCTTTGCTGTGAGGCACGGCCGGAATTGATATCGCAGATCTTCTCGGAAAGTAATAACTCGATTCTCTTAGGACTGTTACTGAGCAAATTTGCTTATTTACAAAAACTATAAAGGAGAGTCCCAGCCTCAAAAAACCGTGTACATTTTAATTTTGTATTCCGACGTGCCAGAGCATTTCTATTGCCTTAATTTTGCTAAAAACGGCATTACTTACAGTGTCTGGGTTTGGCAACATGTTGCCCAGTAGGGTCTGAAGGTTCACCTGGGCCTGCCTTATTGACAGCCCGAACGCGGAACTGGTAGGTGTTACCTTCCTTCAAGCCTGGCACTTGGGCATCACAGTCTGGTGTCTAGAAACAAAATATTCGTTTTTATTACCCCTGTTCAAGACGTAATCAGAACGATGTTTTTATGGGGCTTAAAATATTGCCGACAAGACAGTGTCTTTTTCCAAGATGTAGACATCACTAGTGATAACATTTTTATGTGATTATACTTGCTAATTATTTGTACTTACATTCGTAGTGAGAATCTCATCCCAAGTGGTAGAGAACTTCTCTTTCTTCTCAATAACGTATCCAGTGATTGGAGCACCCCCAGTTGTCTTAGGTGCTGTCCATTTCAAGTCGACGCGATCAGCGTCCCAGTCAGTAATATCTGGTGTACCAGGCTTTCCAGGAATATCATATGGATTCTTGGCAATGATCGAGCCATCACTTTCCAAAGGTTCTGACTCTCCTTCATCATTGACAGCTTTCACTCGGAACTCGTACTCGTGTCCTTCCTGTAAACCTTTAACATCCATTTCGGTATCGTTAGTTCTGCCTACAGGCACCCAACGGCCTGTCTGCTTGTCAAGTTTCTCGACAACGTAGCCGGTGATGGGTTTTCCACCATCGTCTTCTGGTTTCTGCCATTTGAGCTTGCAGCCTCCCTTGGTGACGTCAGATACTTTCAGTGGTCCCTTTGGTTTAGATGGAGAAGCTAACGCAAGAAATATTTTTTGTATTAGTACTCCAATATGTTTTGTAATGAAAGAATGAAAGTTGGGCTGTCTTATTTTATTGTTAAAAATTCCTTAAGATCATTGGTATATGGTGACACAGATAGTGATAGCAAGCCACAGATATTTCTCATGGAAATGGTGGGCTTGCCAAATATTGGACCAGTTGATTGAAACAGTGGAAGATTTTGCTTGAAATAAAGCACAATGTAAGGTGAATAATCAGGTACCTCAGGTAAAGACTGAACTACCTCAACAAGAAGTAAACTTAGTAGTTCGCAGGTATTTGGTACTTTCATACACTCCGTTTCAAATCAGTTTCAAGTAATACCTAGATAGTTTGCTATTTTATTCAACTTATCCATTGTTAGGTAATGAAAATACTCACCTAATACTGTGACTTCAACCTCAGCCTCATCCGATCCATGTTCATTAACAGCCTTAATTTTGTATACACCTGTATGCTTCCGGACGGAATTGGTAATATTCAGTTTCGTGTTATACTCTACATTGATGATCTCAATAACACCTTCAGACTTGACTTCCTGATCAGCATGGAACCAAGTACAGGTAGGAGCTGGTTCACCCTTGACGTCGACGTCGTACTTGATGGGCTTGCCAGCGCGGACAATAATTGGCTTCAAGTTCGTTCTGTCGATCCTTGGCTTCACTAGATTGGATAGACGTTATTCGTACATGGCTTGCATTGGGTTTATGGAAAACCTTGGGTTAAGGATTGAAGACATTTTCCTTGGAAATTTATCTGCTGTCAAATACTGCTGAACCTTTCACAATTTACGTTTACAGGACATGACTAGACTTCACCTTTCATGCAAACAATTTACACAGAGGACAAATACAATCTGTCTTCAAACCTGCGGAAGTATACAGACTACCAATATTAAGGTCACTACTCGATAAAACCGAGTTTTTACATTGCGTAATCCTTTGGCAAGAGTTACCTCTTTGCCGAGACTGCTCGACGCTGAAAAATCATCTGAACTTAAACCTGAGCAGTCAAGATAACTTTTATAGAATATAGATTTTGAAGCAGATCTGTTGATCAAAACTCGGATCAATTAATTAAATCGATCACTATCGATTTACTTGGAAATGCGTAGCGGAAGAATCATACAATTTCATAAAATATCCGAATAATAAACGTCCTTTCATTCTAGAACAACTTAGGTACTCATATTTCATCTTATCATCTCGAAACTTGTTTTTTCGCATTTTCGGTGTCTGTGACAAGGGTCACCTGTTTGTTTTGATATCTCTGATTTTCCTCAGCTTGTGTTTGCCGCAATCTTACTAGGGCGATGAGGCTTACTTGAGCAATAATTTTTAACTTTATAACCGCGGCCTAGCAAATTAAATTTTGAGTTCTGCTCAACAGATTACACGATTTAGTTTCAACAGATCGTAGAGACTTAAAATTGTTTCATAACCTCAAACAGGTAACAGGACATTCTGCGGAAGCTGCTGTAAGGTTTTGCCGAGAGTGATTTTGATTTGTGTAGTCTGTATACCTTGATCGCCAGGAGCTCTATACTTACGCGCCCTATGCTTGATGATCTGCATTGCTGAAGCATCTGACGGTTTGCCGGGTCCAGCCTTGTTCACTGCTATTACCCTGAACTGGTACTCGCCACGTTCCTTAAGATCTTCTACTCTGGCTTCCAGAGCATCTCCAGGTACTTCGGTAGCTTTCTCCCAGTCAGGCTTGAATTTGTCTTTTTTCTCGATAATGTATTTCTCGATTGGAGCACCACCGTCATTTGCTGGTGGGGTCCATTTCAGGTTCACGCCCTTGTTGTCGTAGTCGGTAATTTCAGGAGTGCCTGGCTTACCGGGTTCGTCTTCAAATAAATGACATTATTAGCAGATGAAATAATACCATAGCACAAGTTTGTTGTGACCTGGTCTAGTTCTTTTCAGTTGGGAGGAGGGCGGGTGCTTACTGAGGACGTTCTAGATCCTAGGAAGACGATATACGAGACAATCCAAGAAGACCAGAAATTACGGGAAAATTCAAAAGATAATCGAAAGAGGCTTCAAGGATTTTCAAAGCAATCCAAGTGGGTGACATGAAGGACTATAAATATTGTTTAGCATTCAAACGAGTCACTAGTTAAGTCCATTTGCAGATAGCTGCTACGAGCTAGCGCTGCGTGTAGTATGGATTTTCTAGTGTGCTAGATGCCATTCGAACGAATGGCCTTGAAAATTTTGGAAACCTTCAGATTGATTGACAGACGTTAAGTTTGTGCGAGAGAAACTCATCAACGGATCTAAGCCATTAGCAGTCAGGTAGCAACTGAATGTAATCACTGTCTTGAGTGTCAGATGAGTTGAGTAATGAGAAATGCTCATTCCATAATCAAGAGGCAAAAAGCACATATAGTATAAATGACTGCTAAATTCATTAAGCACTTGTGATTATACGAAAAAATCTTAAGTCTGAATCTTGAATGTGGACCGCATTACCTACAAATGAAAACATGTTGCCAACTTACCGAAGGGATTCTTGGCCAATGTGGGACGTTCCGATACCAGAGGGTCAGAGTCACCCTCACTGTTGACAGCTGTTACTCTGAATTTATACTCTGATCCAGGGTTCAAACCCGTCACCTCGAATTCACCGGTACCATCTGGTGAAAGTCTGTCAGCTGGAACTCGTCCACAACGGACCCATTTTCCAGTAGCTGTGTCCATTTTCTCAATCTCGTACTCCTTGACAGGTGAACCGCCATCATCTTCGGGTTTCTTCCAGCTGAGTTTGGCTTTCTCTGCAGTGACGTCAGTAACTTTAAGTGGTCCTTTTGGAGAGCCAGGTTTGCTGAGTACCGTCAACTCTACCGTTTCTGTGTCTTTGCCGTTGATATTCTCGATGGTTAGAGTGTATTTCCCTGTATCTTTTCTTTCTGCGTTGATCAGAGTGAAGTCTGTATGGTAGTCTTGGTTCTCGATTTTGATGCGTTCTGTGTTGGTCAAAGGAATGTTGTCTCTCCAGATCCATTTTACTGACGGCGGAGGTTCGCCAATGAAGTCCACAGACCATTTGTGGGTACGACCAGCTTTGATTGTGATCGATTTGAAGGTTTCGCGGTCAATTCTTGGTTTTACTGTAAATTAACGTTGGTTTTGAGTTTTGAGGTGCAATTTCAGATGCAATGCACCTCAGCTGTTCAGTATCCCCTCTTAACGATCAATAGAAGGAGGTAGAGATATAGAAAATGGAATTTTAGTTATTTATATCCAGATACTGACATCCTTAATAAATTATGTAGACAAACTTTAACCATCGAATCCTTGGTCAATTTGAAGATGAAATTTCCATATGAACATGGGTGCGCAACGGATTTGTTTTCAAGCTAGAGCATATTAGCACTAAAAGAAATGATGATATTGTTCTAAAAAATAAAAAAGAATGGAACATATTTTATTTTAATTAAGCATGCCCTGTGGTGAATATCACATGATTTACAGTTGTTTTCAGACCTCCCTGTATGTAGATACGGATAATGTTATCCAGTATTTTTTGAAAAAATAGCATGACATTGATTTGTTTTGATCGTAGTACTTTTAATATTTAAGCATTGTGCTTATCTAGACACCTATGTCGCACCCGAAGACTAACTATACAAAATTTATCATAGGTTATACCAACTGTTCAATAAATACGTTTCATTATTCATAGAAATATTTGGAACATTACTCGTATTTCTTTAATGACAGTGCTCTAGCTCGAAAAAAAAGCCGTTACGGACCCATGTTTATATGAACATTTGATTTTCAAATTGACCAAGGATTCGATGGTTATTAACACGCCTGTATAAGGTAGTTTGAAAGAATTATCGTTCCTTGGGGCCTCCTTATTGTGAGGACGCTTTATTTGTCCGTAGGTGAGCTGTCAATTGATAAAGAAAGCACAATTTTCCAATTAGAGACCCTTTTAATACCTCAGGTTGATGCTTCATGTTTTCTACAAGTATAGATTTAAGAACCCAAATGAGTAGACACCTACGAAGTGTAGTGACATAAGTTAACGACTATGGGTCTAAAGGAGGCGTCAAATCGAACAAGGCTGTCTTCTTCTACGAGAAAGAAACTAAGATGTCCGGGCTATCAGTTTGTTAGATTATACGTCAGATTGGAAATGTGATTTGGAAAAAATAAGAGGTTGACACCAATCAGCTGAAGTGCTTATGGATGTAGTCTGATCTTCGGTATCATCATATGGATGTGTCCTACTTCTAGTATCTATATAAGATGCCGAAACGTCACAATTCCAGAATATATACATTCAATATACAACAAATATACTATGCCAAAAATACTATTATAAAAAGTGAATGTTAAAGCACACGGCACACACTAAAGTTTTAACTTAGTTCTAATTCACTAGAATGACCAATACTTTTTACCTTAAGCGGCCTAAAGCTTAAAAAATCGAGCTAGTGTAAAAATGTGATATTTATTTTGTATTCATGGTATTAGTAAAGTGAAATCCACTGCACTTGCAAAATCAAGGCATCGTTTGAGCATAAAGGTCTTTGAAAGATGCTCTCTCTAGTAACAGCTATTATGAGTCTTGATTCATTCCATTGGTTAAGTTATATGAAATATCGTACGTATTCTCAGATTTTTTACTTGTATGTTTATTGGAAATGCCTTGATTTCTTGGCGCAGTTCTGTAAGGTATAAATGATGTTAGTGGAGTCACACAAAGAATTCTTACAGTTCCTGTGCTTGCAGAGATGGTTGCCTGTTGGCTCAGACGGAACACTAGCTCCGGCTTTGTTGTGAGCCCTAACACGAAATTGGTATACCATATTTTCTTTGAGCCCAGGTACTACTACCTGGGGTGTAGAATCTTCGGTCTTGGCTACTTGGGTCCAATCTGCAGCGAACTTATCCTTCATTTCTACAGTATAGTGTGTAATAGGACGTCCGCCATCGCTTTCTGGTTTCTTCCATTCTAAAGTGACACTCTTGTTGTCGTAATCCAGGATCTCTGGAGTACCTGGTTTGCCAGGTTCATCGTACGGGTTCTTAGCAGTGATGAAATCGTCTGTCTCCAGTGGTTCTGATTCACCCTCCTTATTCTTTGCTCTTACTCTGAACTTGTATTGTTTCTTGGGTGTCAGGTTCTTGAAGGTAAACTTGTGTTCGTTGGCTCCTACTTCACCAGCAGGGATCCATCTACCTGTATCTATATCCATTCTCTCGAGGACGTATCCAGTCAGTTCAGTGCCACCTACGTCTTCAGGTGTCTGCCAGGCTACGGTCACGTGATCTGCTCTGATCTCTTCTGCCACTAGAGGTCCTTTAGGTGGCGTAGGCTTGTCCAGGACAATAACATCAGCAATTCCTTCGCAAGTACCAGAGCTGTTGGTTAGTACTAGTTTGTACTTGCCGCTATCTGCTCTTGTACATCTGCGTACAGTAATGATCGTATTCTTTTCGAACTTTTCGATTGTGATTCTCTCTTCCATGTCTTGTTTAAGTTCATTCTTGTTGAGGAACCATTGCACTTCTGGTTCTGGTTCACCTCCGTATCTGATGTCGTACTTGACGACTTGTCCTTTTTTTATTATGATGCTCTTCAGGTCATCGCCGATGATGTAAGGTTTGACAAATCTACATTTAGCTATGATCGGCTTCGTAGGGTCGCTAGGTTCACCAGGTCCGGCCTTGTTGATAGCCCTTACCCTGAACTCGTACTGGCTGTTCTCTTTTAGCTTCGGTACGGTTGCTTTGAGTTGATCTCCAGGCACTTCAATGCCTTTTTGCCACTCTTTGCCGAATTTTTCTTTGAATTCGACAACGTACCCTGTTATTGGAGCACCACCATCGCTATCTGGTTTGACCCATGTCAAATCAGCATGGTCCTTATCCCAATCAACAACTTGTACGTCCTTAGGTTTGCTTGCCTCATCTGAAAGTGGTACGCGGTTATATGGTTGATAGTACCCTACATCTAACACATGCTCTGCCTCTTTGTAGATATATACCTTATACATCAGGTATGTGTGGATCAAAGACCGAATACACAAACTTTAATAACCATTGCTGTTTTCTGATGTCTTTATGTATCTTTTTTATCTCTTATACTGCGAGTTTGCTTACCTGATATCTGTCAACAATATTGAATTTTTCTCAAATAGTACTTACCATGTCCTCTTATCTACAATACTTTGGAGTAAACAAAATAAAAAGGACATATAAATGATAGAGACAGGACAGGTGAGACAGATACAGTATACAGTTTTTCAAAACTACTAAAAGGGACTACGAGTACTTTCATATAGATATTCTAGACATGTATATCCACTGCTTACTTGTGAGAGCATGCGTAGACATTACACAATAGAAAAGAAAAAGTTTAAACAGATATATTGTTGATATGTTTACACAGTATTTGTCAGACAAAAAACATAATTTTTCCAATTTGGTGGATTTGAAAATGCCGTTACATACTGTGAAGCTTATTTGTAATAACCAATAATGTTAAAAACTTGATGCTCTCTAAACTTTTCTGACAAATACCGTTAAGTTGTTTCAAAAAGTATAGTCCAATATTCAAATCATACGGTTGTTTTGCTGGGCATACTATCGAAGATCGTTTTAAAAATTATAGCGTATCTGTAATCCTGATCAAACTTAATTGTTTGGGTAAATCAGGTGCATAGATAGGTTCGATAGATCGATAAGAAGCTTCAAATAGAACGCTTTAGAATTTCCTGATGCCAAGCGCTAAAAAATACGTAACACTGCCTTTAGCTCTGCGCGTCAATGTCAGAGCCTGTCTTCTAACAAATAAATGGTTTTCCATTAAGGACTTGACAACTTTTTTTTTTAAATAAAACGCAAACCATTTGAGATATCTTGAAAATTTTATTATTGTATTGAAGTATACTCAAAACATCACACATGTCCACCACGGGCACGTTCGCAGTGATCGATTCGTTGAACCCAATTTTTAATGACTCGGCCACACATTTCGACAGAAACTGCCGCCATCTCTCGTTCAATATTGGCTCTGAGCTCCCTTAACGACACCGGCTTGTTGGCATACACCAATGATTTTATGTAGCCCCACAAAAAATACTCTAGAGGTGTTAAATCACACGATTTAGGCGGCCATTCGACAGGACGATTTCTCGATATAGCACGTTCACCGAATTTGATTTCAATATGTCGATTGTTTCACCCGCTGTGTGGCTTGTGGCACCGTCTTGTTGAAACCACATATCATTAATATCTAGCCCATCCAATTGACCAAAAGAAATAACGCTTTGACTGTAACGTGACGGTCATTTTCATTAACGAAAAAAAAAACGGCCAAATGACAACACCGGCATGATACAGTTATTTTTTGTCGATAAGGTGGTGTTTCTGTTTGCGCCTCATCACTGAAGATGATTTTGCGATGAACTTGGTCATTTTCTTGTAACATTTCTAGAGCCCAACTCGAGAACGTACGTCGGTTCATATCGTCGGCTTTCTCACCAAGTGTCCTAACCAACGTTTAGTAAGTTTTACAGGAGAGCAAGAAAACGAAATCGGCGTGTTGGTGATTGAGCATTGTATGCAAAGTTTAGATATTTCCGAATTGAAAATTTCACTGTATCATACCATATTCATTGTCAATCATATGCTGTTTCAATACTTGCGGTAGCTTATTAGGTTACTTTGTAAAAACATATTTTTATTAAAGTTATTGTTATTATACTTTTGTATTTTTCAAGTAATCGTTGGTCTGCTTACAGCAGAATTCATGTAAAGAAGGTCAGATCGACCTTTGAATTTTAGCTTTTCTCTAAAAAATGTCCCTCAATGTCCATGACTAAAATTGATGTAGATTATGACACAACTATTAGCTGATGAGCTGAAGAACACAACTCGAATCGTCAAAGCAATTTTTATTGAAATAAAAACTAAAAGAAAAGCAACTAACTTAAACATTATCTTTTGACATATTACAATCTAATGTTGATGTATTATGATACACAAAAAAAGGCAAAATTATGAAAAATTCATTCCGTTTCATGGGGCAAATTTCTAAAATAGTTTTGGAATTCTGGTAAGCGTACAACGGGTGTTGGATTTTCACATAAGGAAATTAAATCGGAGTACTTCTTTTTTGTTTTTGTTGTTATTTTTACGTTGTTCTAGCTTAATATCATTTATATTATTACTATTTTTCATCAGTCTTTGTAACTCAATACTGTCATAACTAGACTTGACAAATATTTTGGTGAGTATGTCTTTTCTTACCATAAGCCCCATTTAGTATTTTGCCCTTTATCAGTTTGCCGTGTGGACAACATTCTTAAATCTTTTGAAAGTTTCTTGCAGTCAAAACGTGTATTGGGATTGCTAAACCATGTTGACGTTTTCTGGCTAATCGAAAAACCGGATAGAGTTGTCAAGGTTCACAAAGATTTCCAGCTCCCTTTATCGCAGTATGAATTGCACTGAGGGCAGAGTCTCCCTCACTTTAATCAGTATTCGACCACCGGGGTGCGTATACTAACAAGGATTATTGCACACTATGAGACCGATCTTCAGTTTGGTCTCTTCGTGGGAATTATATATTTACCTCTGCAGATAAGATACCCAGGGGTTAATGGTGTGTTGCCTACACTAATATATAATATAAATTTTTGGCATTTTGTCAGTTAGGACACTTCGAGAGAAAGGCGACAATATGATCGAACAGCTGTAGTTCTTGTGTTAACTTGATCTTATAAAGGTGCAGGCCAAGATCTCTTCGCAAAATTCACTATAGTGCGGTCTGAGCGATGCTCAATTCTTGAGAATGCCGTGGTATGGACGTGTTCCGTTCGTTTGCGATGGAAGCTTGAACGGCAGCAATATTCTCGGCACTTCGACCAAATTGTTGTCTCACTAGCACGGCAATATGTGGTCTCAATTTTTTTTACTAGACTATGAATTGCTTGTCTACTGGGAGGAGAATTACGACCAAAAATTGGCGTTAACGCCCCTGAAGTTGCAGTCACCGACGCGGAATTTCGGTAGTAAATTTTAATTGTTTGTAAGCGTTGTTCGTTCGTGTACTTCACCATGATGAAAATGCTTTTTTACTGAATGTTTTGACATTGACAGTTCGGTAATTTATTTAAAGGTGCGTTCACAGTGAAAGTTCAAAGTTCAAAGTCCCTATTGGAAACCCGATATTAGCGAGAGTATCTACTGTGTAGGAGATCTGCATTCAAAGATATGGTGAATGCTGACTGTATTTTCGATGGAGACTTTAATATCAGTTTAGACAAGAAACCGCATACCCGATATGTTGTGTGCGCTGCAACATGTTGATGCTGAAGGCTGGAAGGATAATCCCTGCTTTTGTCACTCATTGTATTCGATGTGCTGTGTTGGAAAACTTAGGAGAGTCGAAGTTGGTTTGGTGGGCGGCAATATTGTGTTGTATATCTATACAGGGTGTCCGCAAAGTTCAGAAACAACTACCCTTGAAATAACAAAGGTAATGTGTAGTGAAACGAGGGCGACCAAGTAAAAAAAAAATAAAGGAAAAAGTACTCACTCTCCAGTTGACGAGAAGGGCTAAGTACGTCTCTGCCTGAAATCGAAAGTTATTGACCCCATTACGCGTGAACGTAGATTCGTCTGTCACCAATATGCACTTCAAAAAGTCCGGATTATTGTCATGTTGATGCAACAACCACTCACAAAACCGCACTCTTGCTGGAAAATCGTCAGGTTGAAGGGCTTGTACACGTTGGACGTTTGCCACACTTTAGTTTTTGATACTTGCACGTCTCTAGCCACGTCTCTAGTGCTTGTTGAGGGATTCTCGTCTACGCGATTCAGTAGTTCTTCCTCAACTTGCACCATTCGTGGTTGTCTAGGCCTCCCACTGTGCCTACCTCGAAATTCCTCCAAATGGCCCGTATCCCTGACTCTCTGGACCAGGTACACAAATCTGCGGGGCCTTGGATGATGTCGTATAGGGAAACGATCTGCATACACTCGCGACGATTCTGTGTCATTTTGAAGACATTCGCCATAAATTAACAACATATCAACGAGTTCATTACTGGTGTATGAGTGTGCCATTATTATTTTTTTTTTGAAACGCAATCGATTATACGGGTTCGTTACCTCTATACGCGTGACACTTTACCGTCGGTTGAAGGTTGCATACTGACCTGACACACTGACCCCGACCCCCGACCCAGTTCTGTCGTCGGGTTCAGCTAGTAGCCGGTACCAGTTTGGGACATCGCGGCGGGTGGCGGCTACAGGACGGTATTCAGATATTTTGATGTTGCAGAGCCCTTTATATAGGTTCCCTTAAGACATTGCTGTATATGGTACTAAGAAAAATTGCTTCAAGATCTACACGTCGTGTAAAGGAAAACCTCAACTTTGCGGACACCCTGTATATACGTATGTAAATACTGACTGTACTTTTTGAAACACCTAGAATATATAGGTCCATGTTTAACGGATTTACCCCAAGGATCCTTGGCCAATACTGGTTTGGCGAACAAAGCCGGTTCACTGGAACCTAAAGCATTGACAGCACGAATTCTGAATTTGTATTCTTTCTTAGCCGTAAGACCTTCAACTTTAAAGTTTGTTGGTTGTCCAGCTTTCACTTCTACAACATTTTCCCATCCAGCTGAAAGGGAAAAGAATATGTAAGGTGATTCAAAAAAGAATGGTTTATTCCTAGAGAATAAAAGACATTTAAACCTACAATGTCGCTTAACCTAAGATACAAGGTGTTCCTGCTCCACCGACGCACAGTGGTCTAGAATATTAAAAAAGCTGACAAAGTAAAATGAACTAATAAATGGAAACGGACAAATGGAGCACTTTAGCATAGATGTAAATCAAGTCCAATCGAGTCTACGTCCAGGGAATATTGGGACACCCTGTATTTATTCTCGATTTCAATATTATAATTTCTACAGCCTGTATCTTGTTGAGGGACGGTTTTAGGACCCCTGTTCATAGGAACTTTCGTACCTTTGAGGCTGATATCTTGTCGTTCCACTACGTAGTGCAACAGAGGAGAACCACCATCATCTGTGGGTGCTTTCCAAGAAACTTTGCAGTTGGTTGCAAAAATTTCAGTAACATCAACATCTTGTGGTGGTGAAGGTACATCTTGCATGATTATCTTTACATCTTTCACATCCTCGCCCTGGGCATTGGATAATTTGATCTGGTATGGTCCTGTGAGGTTCCTGGCAGGCTTCTTGATCTTGAAGGTCACTTTGTCATCCGATATGACCACGTCCACGTCTTTCAGAGGCAAAACTTTGCCGTCTTTCATCAGCTTGGCTTCTAGAGGTGATTGCCTGGTGCCTTCAACTGCAAAAAGATATTTTTACTAAAGCGTGTATCAATAAGAACGCAATATTTGAATTTAGCGCCATTTTGTCATAATGATTTTGACATGACAGATCGATAGTATTCAGGCGGGAGTTTATGAAAATGAATCATTTCACAATAGAACAGCGTATCCTAATTGTTAAAAATTATTATCAAAGTGGTGAAAGTTTAATTGTCACGATTCGAAAAGTATAGCTAAACGAGAAAGCACGACATGTGTTCAAAAATGTTACCACAAATTTTATTAAAAGAGTGCGCATGTGCCAGCGGAGCCGTGGCAGCCATTTACCTGATGTGTTGTTTCATACATAACTACAAAGTGTATATATATATATATATATACACCATAATCCAATAAATATTCCAGTTGTTTGTTACGAAATATCATGTTTAATGGAACCTTGAAATATTGCGTCCTTACTGAAGCACCCTTTATATTTACAAGAATCTACATGTGAGATGTGTGTGAAATTGCCCAAAAAAGTATACCGAGCAAAAAATTAGGATCTGCATTACTGACTCTCAAATACCGTATTGCCTTTTGACAAACAAAAGTAATGCTACAGCTGGTAAAATCCCTATTCTAGAAGGTCTGTAAATTAAGTGAGACTGGCAACACTGGAGGCGCCGGGCTTGAAGGGGAGACAGGGGAACATGTGATCTGCCTTTAGCACAAGTTTGAGCTTGCTCGAGTCATTTGGTGGTCCGTCGCATTTTTTTGTGAAACAGTTTTTTCTATTGTGTTCTAAAAATGAGTACTTAACAACAATTTTGAACAACAGTGTGCTATCAGCTTCCTTGCTTCAGACTTGGGCACAGTGTAAAAGAAACTATTGCTAAACTTCAGCAGGCCAACATTTTCAAGATACTGAAAATTTTGAAAAATTAATAATTTAGAAAATTATGGAAGTTTTGAAAATTATGAAATTTTGAAAACCTGAAAATGATAATTTTGAAAAATTTTAAAATGCCCAACATCATGTAAACCTGTTACAACCAATGCAAATGTTAATTTTGAAAAATTTCGATTTTGCACGATTATCGAAATAAGCAAATGTTTCATGGTGTTTAAAATTTGAAAAATTGAGAATTTTGGCGATTTCAAGTATTTTTTGAAATTATGAAAACTGAAAATTATGAAAGATTTCTGAAATTTTTGAAAATCTCGGTAGTTTTGTAAATTTTCAAAATGTAGAATCGTACAGATTCTGAACATTTTGAGAACCTGTTAGAACCTTCTGTGGAATGTAAGTGTAAAGTACTCGTTCTTCAAAGAATCGTTATTGTTTGTTTAAAATCTAAGGGACGTCTATAAATATGACCCTTAGTGACACGTCCTTTTTATCAGGTATGTCAACTGGGAGATAAGTCAGTGAAGCACTTGCTTAGCGCGTGCCCAGCTGTCCCAATACAAGAATATTTTCTGAGATTATTAGCCTTCTATACATATAAAGGATGCTATGCTGGGTGGTATCACCACCTTCTTTAATACTTTAGAATGACTGAACATCCAGGTCTTGGAGGACGTACAATACAATACAAATCTAGGTGCTGTGATGTTGACTCAAACTAAAGATATTACTTAGATTATGAACTTACTTTTGTAAGGCACTTCCAGGATGATAGGCTTGCTAGCTGGTGCTTCAAACGTAGATGGGAAGTCAATAATAGGCTGACTTTCACCCTTCTTTACTGACAATTTCATGGTTGATTCTAGCTTTCCTGACTCACATTTGATTTCACCGTCGTGCTCCATCTTTAAATTATTGAATATCAGTTGATGTTTGCCACCTCCAAGATTCTTGATTTCTATATCTTCGGAAGGCTCTATCTTTTGGCCATTAAAGAACCATTCTGCCGGAGCAGTTTGGTCCTGGAGTTCAATATCCAAGACTAGTTTTTCTCTTTCTACACCAACCGTGTCTTTGAGCTTCTTGTTGAAACGGTTCAAATAGTTCACTATTATCTCAGCTTCTGTTTTATCTGCATTGCTGACACAAGAATACATGCCTGCATCGGTAACTTTGGCATCTTTGATGACCAGCTTACGTTTACGTCCATCTTTGCTTATGACAAGCCTCTTGTCTCCAGTTATCTCTTGGTCTCCCTTGAACCATTTGACATCCCCTTCTGCATCGTTCAATTCACAGAGTAGAGTGACGTTCTCTTTCTCTACATGCTGCTGGTGTTTGAGTACCTTGACGAACTTGTAAGGATATTCCACAATGCTCACTTTGGTCACAGTTTTCTCGGTCTGTTTCTCAAGTTTGCAGGTGTATTCACCAGCATCATCAAAATCAGCAGATCTGATGCACAATCGGCAATTGCCATTGATGTCTTTGGATATGCTGTATCTATCACCATCTTCAAGCTTGGCATCTCCTTTGTACCAACCAACAATGGCCAGGCTGCTGCTTACTGTACAAGACAGCTCAACTTCGTGTTTGGTATATCCATCGTACTTCTTCTTCAGTGGTTTGGTGAAAGTGTAAGATGGATCTGGTTCTTCCACTGTTAGGAAGGCTGTGCTATGCACTCCTCCGATCTCGATTGTATATTTGCCTGTATCCTCTACCTTTGGATTGCTGATGATCAGTTGGTACATGTCACCTTCTTGCTTGAATTTGTATTTTGAGCCAGGGAACAGTTCCTGAAAATGGGAGTCAAATATTACAATATTGCTTCAAATTTAAAAATTCTAATGAATAATTGCAAGTCCAATCACCGTCTGATTAGATATCATGCATATGGGGCGCAGTGAATATATTTTTACTTGTTACTTACATCTTTTCTAAACAGCCACTTAGGTTTGCAGTTTGTCTTTGAAAAGTTGGCCTCAAAAATGACCTTTTTGTCTTTGCCTTCCTTTGCGAACTTATCTACCAGTGGCTTCAGGAAGGATTCTGGTTTCTAGAAAAAATACATCGACATAAATAACCCTTTAATAAAAGACTGACTCAAATTGGCAGTGCTGCAAAAAATATTTACAGGTGTATATACAATTCGACATATTATATAAAAAGATAATGTACAGAACCTGTCAAAAAATTGGCAGGAAAAATGTCGATATCGGTGGCAAAAAGTCCGACTCAGCAACATCAATATATACAACAGATATCGGACGGTGGACATTGCACAACATATACATTGACGGAGAGTTATATTTATGGTGATGTTATAAGTGCTGCTCGAATTCAGTTAAAATGTTCTTGACGTGTATACTCTTGACTTTTTTGGTACACCAGGCATCACGTCAAATCAAGAGCTAAAGGCATTATGAGGAATTTGAAGAAAGCTGTCTTTGTTCGTGATTGACTCATAATAAAGAATGGACGCTGTATTGAATCTTTACTGCAAAATGATCGTGTAAAGATATGTACAGGGTGAGTTTTTAGTGTGTAATCGGTCGCTACTATCGTTATTTTAAATTTATATAAAAACAGTCAATTACGAAAATTTTAGGCAACTTAAGCTTCTCACAAGTTGATTCGTAACTGTGAATAAAAACACGCAGTGTTGACAGTTTATAAATTAGTTAGTCAGTTTTGCAGATAGAATAATAAAATTTTAGTCAGAATGAGCTTCATATCCCGTAGCTTTTTGTCATTTAAGTGTTTTTTTTAATTTTATTTGCATCATCTATACATTGTGCTCATAAACAAAAATGCATTTTTACACATGCATATTTTTATGGTTTTGAGATATATCCCTTTTATTTGCTTTATTTTGGTATAACATTTTTGGGGGTTAGATTTCTAAATTGTGGAGCGTGGAATTCAAATTAAATAAATTCATGATTCGTGCAAAAGACATTTCAAGTAGATGTACATATCCTGTTTCAAATTACCCCTCACCCTCTAAGAACCATCTTTTTTCTGGGAAACCGTAAATTACAACAAATATTTAGTCATCTAACACCAATATGTTGAGATAAAGGTTAAGCTTCTGAAAGGGATAACCCAAAACCATAAAAATTACAGGGGGCATCAGTCTTTACGATGCACAAAATTTAAGCAGCGGTTATATGACAAGAAACTGTTGGATATGACGAAAAGTAAGTATTACTCTGCAAAATTGAGTCTCTTACAAACTAATTCCCCTAAAATCCTTCCAGAATATACTAAAATATACAGGGTGTTCCATTAACAAAATGAATGTGTTGCCATGTCGATATGAATCACCCTGTAGAGAACGGTATATCTATCTATCTATCTACCTAAATAAGGAGCGTATCGTTGCCTATAATTGATACAAAACTCCATCAACCGATTACACACTATAACGAATGTCAACAAGGTGAATAGATGGAAAGCATGAAAATTTGAAACTCTTCATGTTTTTGAATTGTTTCTTAAAGTGCTTTTAGGCTAAAATTTATTAATTCAGCTTATGTCTTGAGTTTCACCGCATACAGGTATTTCATATAAAGGTAGACGACATTATTTTATACATATTTTCAATCAACCTATTTAGCGAAAAGTCCTCGGTAAAATTTAATTTTTTTTTATATCAAGAACATTTTAAGAACTACCATAATGCAGCTGCTTCAAATTTATTCAGGCTATTGGTGTTTTCAAGACTTTGTATACTATATCAACTGTATTACTTTTTTCTCAGGAATCAAGTGGTAAACTACTCTTTGACTTGGCTATAATTGAAATTTAAATTTCATAAAATACCTTGTAATTAACTGGATTCATGTTGAAGGGTTATAATAGTAAACTGTGTTTCTTTAGATCCAAAATCCAGATAATTATAGGGAATGTTATATAAAAAAGGGTTATTAGACGGAGAATTATAAATTTCATGTTTTCATCAAAGTTGTGACGTGCCAATTTTGGAATGACGGACATAAAATTTGTTTATAATCTGAGCTGTAACATGCTTCGTAAAAGTTCATGTTTCTTTTTTGGAGCTTTTTGTTTATTTTCTTATAATAGACCTGAATAAACTTCGCAATGTGTGAACGTATGCATTGTGCGTGCAGACATCGACAGTAAAAACATTTATAGTGAAATGTATTTGTATTCATCCAACCTCCTTTCTTTCAATCGGATGTAAAATTGGCCAGTCTGGAATTAACTCAGCCAAAGAAGGCCTTCTCGAAGGTGTGTTGCTCTATAAAGACAAAACTCACGATGAAGCTCGACCCACTCACGATAAACTTTTTCAACGCGACGGTTTTTACGTACTAAATATTTTTTTTATACCAATGCGTATATAGAGTGTTCCGTACTTAAATTGATATATTGCTAGGTATGAGTGTTGTCTCAAAAATAACGTTCCCAACATGCAGCAATGGTTGCCAGATGCAAAATTCGTGCGGTCATCTGATTCTTGCACGCAACAACGTTAACATCCAATTCTAATTGAAAATAACAGATCTACCAGGATCGCGAATTCTAAAATCACATGTAAATGCATTGTACCAGGCACAGAGCTCAGCAAATTTCATCCAGTATACCACTGGTATATTTGCTATAGTAGCTCAAATGTAGCGGATCGGGATAGTGCGTCGCGTTAATTTATGATTCAGATAACTTAGTTCAAAATTTGTGGATTATTTTTGCCCTCATTTATTTTGTATTACAACTCCGCAATACTGGAATTTGTCCAAAATCCGATGTTTTACATTTGTTTTTATGGGTAACAATATACATTCATCCATCTGATTCTAATTACAAGCAACGAAACTACTAGAATTGCTCAAAAAACTGAAATTTACGATTGTAAAATTGCTCAGCAGCCGTGGTGCCCGAGACTACTTCCAACATCAAACGTAAAAAGACTATTTTGCAGAGATAAGTTTTGCATATAGAAACATAGTAGGCCGGGCGGATCGAACGTCAGTACTGAATCTTAACCTCACTCTTTAGTAAAGGTAAATTCAAAGTTTCACAACAATACGTGCAGTGTTCTTACTACAGTGAATTTTTAAGTGTCACCAAGTCATTAGAAAAATTGAACTCAACCGATAACGTTTTCGCGCCATAATTTATTACAACTTTCAGAGACAATTATCGCAACAAGAATGCCTTGCTGAGTTACTGTCTGTTTTCGGCAACGAAGCGCCACATCAGTCGACAATTTCCCGTTGGTGTGGAGGATTCAAACGTGAACGGGTGAGTCTTAGCGACGATCCCAGGGTGGGTGCACCAAAAACGGCAGTCACCCAGGAAAACGTCGATGCTGTGCGCAAACTCATCATTGAAGATAGACATGTGACATAATGTGAGATTGAGGCGTCCTTGAAGATCTCAAAGACCTCAATTCAAAAAAATTTACATGAAGAATTAGGAGTAAGAAAATTATTTTTTCGTTGGATACCCCACCTGTTGACTGAAGAGCAGAAAGCAGCCAGGGTTAATTGGTGTCAAAAAACGCTTGACTGTTTCAATTCCGGAAACACAAAAAATGTGTACAGCATTGCTGGTGGTGATGAATCGTGGATTTACTGTTATCAACCAGAAAATAAACGACAGTCGGCTGTTTGGGTGTTCCAAGGTGAAGAAAAGCCAACAAAAGTCATCCGTTCTCGAAGTGTTTCGAAAAAGATGGTTGCGACATTTGTGTCAAAAGCGGGTCATATTGCAACAATTCCTCTTAATGAGCAAAGAACTGTTACTGCGGATTGGTATACCACCATTTGTTTGCCAAAGTTATCACCGAGCAACGAAAAATCAACCCCGAAAGAAGAATCATCCTCCACCAAGACAATGCAAGCTCGCACACAGCCCAAAAAACAAGGCAGTATTTAACGGAAGAAAACGTGGAATTATTGCACCATCCTCCATATAGTCCCGATCTAAGTCCTAACGATTTCTTTACTTTCTCGAAAATTAAAAACAGACTGCGTGGTCAAAGGTTCCAGTCACCAGAAGAAGCAGTTGACGCATTAAAATATGCCGTTTTGGATTTGCCAGCAAACGAGTGGAATAAGTGCTTCGAAAATTGGTTCGAGCGCATGCAGATGTATATTAATCTTCGTGGAAAATACTTCGAAAAACAATAAAGCCATTTAAAACTACATACCGTGTTGTTTTATTTCCACATGCAAAACTTAAAAGACATCCCTCGTATTCCTTTGAGGTGTCGGCCGCTCTGGTTTTTATGAGTTTTCAAGTAACATTGGAAATACTATACTTTAGGGTGCCATCTACCGCTATCCAGTTTTACTTCTGTAATATACGGCTTTGTCATTCTCGGTGCGTCAATACATAATTTGCTACGGAAATCTCACGGTAACCACTAATAATGCCCAGGTTTCCTGGAGAGGGAATTCTCCGGCCCCGCTAGAGGCTATTGACGAAATATTTCGCTGCCATTTTTATGTGCGTCGACGTACAATGTATGAATTTCCACAAATATTTTTTAATATTTGGCTTCTCTTTTGGTTAAAGATGAGTTTTTAAGCCTACTCGTATAGGTATGATATTTTTTTTAATAAATATGCTACTGTAATAAAAATATTATTTATTTCAAATATTCTAAGAGAACAAATATTTTATTCAAACAATAGTTATTTTTATACTCCAACTACCACGAAGGCCTAAGGCTTAAACACCCATTGGGTACCGTGGGGCTATAGGGTGGTACAGGGGAAAGGGGGAACGCCACACGGACTCTGGCGAGGGAACATGTGTGCATGCAACATTCTGGCTCCGCCTACGAGATCCGCCGGGTGGTACCTCCGTGTTCGACAGTCAGAGACCATCTACCACCTACGGACAATCACAACATCCATAGCCAAGAGAAAAGTTTCTCCTGGGACGGGATTCGAACCCGCACAGCGCACGGCGTCTAATCAGGAGACCGAAGAGTCTACTACTGCGGCCACCGCCGCTACCTATTCAAATGCCATGTTCAAATTTTGTAATAATGGGTGCAAGATGGAATATATATATATATATATATGTATATTCATAGTTAATTGCCTTAACTGTTAGGAGAAAATATCCTTGAATTTCTTTGGGTAGACGGCAAAGTATTGCAAAAGTACACTCTTGTAACTTAAACTCAAGCTTTCGAAGATCTATGTCTTCATCGTCTGGAGTAAGTCGACGGGATTGTTGCTGAAATTGTTTTTAACCAACCGTGAAGGACTTAATCGAACGATTTGTCTGGGAAGTCATTGCCCATCCTCCTTACAGTCCTGAAATAGCGTTTCCGAAATAGAAGGAGCACTTAGGCGGTCCACGGTTCGCGAGAAACGGTGAATAATTTTTTAAATAAAAAATTCCTTGTGCCTCAAAAAATTTGGGAACCCTATTTTTGAAACAACCCTCGTCGTATGGACCGAGATTTTTTCATATATGAAAATAAAAATGTTGTAGACTAGAAGTTTTTACTAGATCTAGTTTTGAATACGCGTTCAAATGTTTCCCGATATATCAAATACTGTCTTATAGACACTGTTAGTGAAACAACCGAAGTACTATCATAGATCCAGCTTATGTGAGCTGAGTTTTCAGGACCCATGTTTATGTGAGCTGTTTTCATAATTTCACATGGTAAATCTGCTCTTAAATTTTGCTGGCAATTTTTCTTTGAAAAACTACTAAATCCAGTTTGGAATACGCCTGCAAAGGTGTCCCGATATACCGAATATTGAAGGACATTGTTATTGAAGGAACCGATATACTATCGCAGATCCAGCTTATGAGAAATGGAAAATGCGATTTCACTGAAAAGGGATCTTACTTCCACCATAACACTGTAATAAATACCAATATTTCGAGAATTAAATTTCTGAAAGTGCGACATAACTTTTTGGAATGTGATAAAGGAAAATTAAGTTGCTAACCTTTTCCACTTTCTTGAGAGCAGGCAGAGGTTTCTCAGTTTCTTTGAGATCACCCCAATCGGGATCTCCTTTATCTTTATCCCATTTGGCATACTTTCTCTTCATTAGCATGGATCTGAAGTCCACACCTCCAGCACCTGTAAAAGATTGTCTTATTAGTCACATACATTTTGTATTATTTGCTGTCGTTTAGGTCTTCGAAAAATGGTACTTGATTTGATTATTAAGGATTAGGTTTGGAAATACCCATTTTTTAAACGTCTCAGTATAAATCTAATTCCTAACCTATCCTGGTAGTAGCGAATATGATGGTAGTTAATGTTGCTAAATATAATTTTAAATTTACATTTTTGGAAAAAGGTACCTACCAGCAACGAATAGCGTCATTTCGGCGCTATCTTCTCCGTGGACATTAGAAACAACTACTCTGTATGTACCTTCATCATTTGGCTTCACTTTCCTTATACAGAGCGTTATGAGATTTGTGTCACCGTCTGTTACGTATTTGAATCTACCACCTTCTATTATTTCTGTCATACCCTGTTAAAAAAAAAATAGAGAACTGTGAAAAGGCGTTATCTTCCATTTTTGAAAGAGAGATGTATCTCTACTATGGTTATACTCCGTTCCAGTCAATGTTACTTTTTGACTTAGGGACGTATCGTCAGTCTTTCCTACAATTGTAGGACGCTTTTATGGCCTTCTTGATTTTCATAGTTTTCTACGGTCCCGGAGGAGAGAAAATAGAGAACTGTGAAAAGGCGTTATCTTCCATTTTTGAAAGAGAGATGTATCTCTACTATGGTTATACTCCGTTCCAGTCAATGTTACTTTTTGACTTAGGGCCGTATCGTCAGTCTTTCCTACAATTGTAGGACGCTTTTATGGCCTCCTTGATTTTCATAGTTTTCTACGGTCCCAGAGGAGAGAAAATAGAGAACTGTGAAAAGGCGTTATCTTCCATTTTTGAAAGAGAGATGTATCTCTGCTATGGTTATACTCCGTTCCTGTCAATGTTACTTTTTGACTTAGAGCCGTATCGTCAGTCTTTCATACAATTGTAGGACGCTTTTATGGCCTCCTTGATTTTCATAGTTTTCTACGGTCCCGGAGGAGAGAAAATAGAGAACTGTGAAAAGGCGTTATCCTCCATTTTTGAAAGAGAGATGTATCTCTACTATGGTTATACTCCGTTCCAGTCAATGTTACTTTTTGACTTAGGGCCGTATCGTCAGTCTTTCCTACAATTGTAGGACGCTTTGATCCTTGATTTTCATAGTTTTCTACGGTCCGGAGAGAAATAGAGAAGAAAAGCGTTATCTTATTTTGAAGAGAGATTATCTCTAAATATCAATGTTACTTTTGACTTAGGCCGGATCAGCTTCAAAATTGGCGCTTTTATGGCCTCCTTGATTTTCTAGTTTTCTACTGTTCCGGAGTAGAGAAAATACGATGAAAATCAGGAGATCATACGGCGTCCCTACATTGTGGTAACAACTGGACGAACGGCCCTTATTGTTCAGACTGAGGAGATAGTTTATCTACTTCACAAAAACTGTAGATGACAACTTTAGTCTTCTGGAGGTAAGAAGATGTAACTCACCTTGTAGAATTTGAACGTTGGTGGTGGATCACCTTCAACCTGGATGGTAATGTAAGCAGTTTGATCTGGAATTGATTGTGAATGTTAATCATTAGCTGTTAAGGGACAACCTTTTGTCATTTCTTTGTCTAGGTATGTAATGTGCTATTCGTTTGGAAATGTACCTTCCACTGATGAGTAATTTTCCTGTACATCGATGATAGATGGTGCTGCTCCCTTAGGCCCTGAAGGTTTCAGAGGAGTCGAAGGTTTGTTGATCAGATCTTCTAGGTCTGCTACGCTAGGCCTTCTGACATCGCTACTTGGACGCCGGCGCTACATATAGGAAATCAGTTAGAATATTTTCGACTAGCTTCATGATTTGCTGAAGCCTGACCTGCCTTGTGTCATTTGTATACCCACCAAAAATTTTGAATGGTCCAAAAATGAAATTTTTGTACTCACCTTTCTCTAGCGTTAAAAGTAAGTAACCTATTCAAAATATAGGACATTGTAACTGTTCAAAAATTCATAGTTCTCGAGTTATACTAAGTGACATATAAATCCGAACACCCAGTTTAAATGGTTTTATTTTAATAAAATTTTGTATAAGTACTTAATGAAGCATAATAAGTAAATGATAAAAATTTCAAAATGATTGCAGCTGCTTTAAAGCCCTTTGACCTTTAATAATGTGTGGATGCACCCTGATGTGCTACGCATTCTCCAACGCGCCTAGGCATGCTTCTGATCAGGTGGTCAATGTCCTCCTGTGGTATCTCATTCCATGGCAACCACCAACTCCTCTCGAAGTGCTTCTAGAGTCTGAGAAGGACGTTGCAAATTGAGCAATCGCCTACCCATCATATCCCACATGTGCTCAATTGGGGATAAGTCGGGAGATCTTGGTGGCCATGGTAACAATGTGACATCATTATGTTGAAAGAAGTCTATTGTGACTCTTGCAACATGTGGTCGGGCATTATCTTGTTGGAAAGTTGGATCTGCCAGGGTGTCAAGATAGGGTAAAAGATGGGGTTCTAGAACTTCGTGGATATAACGCTGCGCGTTCATGTTACCTCTGATGAAGATTAAAGGTGACCTGGAACCATAAGCTATAGCACCCCAAACCATAACTCCAACAGTGTGATGAACATGTCTTTCAACAAAAAACTGTGGATTCCTCCTTTCACCACGTCGCCTTCTAACCCTGGCACGACCATCGTGCATGCCTAAACAAAATCGAGACTCGTCACTAAAGACAATACTGTTCCATTCCTGATCCCAGAGTGACCGTTGTCTGCACCACTCAAGGCGATTACGTCGGTGTTCTCGAGTTAAAGGGAGGACCCAGTGTGGCCGGTATGAAACAAGCCAAAACTTCTCATTCGTCGGTAAACACTTATAGGTCTTCCGTGTTCTGCAAACCATTCATTTGCAATGGACCTGGTAGTGGAGAAACGGTCCCTTAAGGCCAATAATCTTAGGCGGCGATCTTCACGGTCTGTTGTTCTACGGCGGCGTCCAGTGCCCCTTGCTCTTTGCGTACGGCCTTCTCGAAGCCATGTCTGACAACACCTAACCATAGTGTCTAAACTTCTTTGCACTCTAACTGCAATTGCCCGAAAAGAAAGTCCAGCTTCCCGAAGTCCCACTATACGGCCCCTATCAAACTCACTAAGTTGACGAAATCGTACAGGTCTCCGTACTCTAGGCATCGTAACCGATCGTAAAGGATGTCAAGAACCAAAATCCGCCAACGTTGATTCTTTACTGCGGCTGAAATATTCATTTTTAGAGCGTTAGTGAATTAAAAAAAAGCAGTAAAAAAGTAAAAACCGGAATGTCCAACTGATAAGGCTGAACATTTTTTCACTTGTTATTTACAGTAAGATAAATACATTCACCAACTTTTATTAAAATAAAACCATTTAAACTGGGTGATCAGATTTATATGTCACTTAGTATATTATGATTTTTATTTCCCACGCCTACTGGCGAAAAATCTCAAAAATCTCAAAAATAAAAAACTCGATCAAAATAAAAATCGTTCAAACTTCGGTTTTTGACGTAAATTAGCCCTTGGTTTTCCAAATTATCCCTTTTCCTGGGTTTTTTTTAGCCCATATGAAGTTTTTTTTCTATAAACGATCATTGATCCTTTTTAGAGAATCAAGCATAGCTTTTGAAGTCAGTCTTAGATGTTTGGTACGATTATTGGTTCCTGAGATATTGATGATCAAAGCCAAAAGGGCCCTTCTTCTTTAAAAATTCGATATAATATTAGCAAGAAATGGTCGTATCGAGGTTTTGGAAAAAGAAAACTGTAGATAAGTACGCTATTGATTACATTAAATGTATTAGTGAAAAATATTCATGGACCCAAATAAGAGAGTCCGCAATATTTCCTAGGATCGCATGAAACCTGCATCTAATTTTTTTTTCACTAAAACATCCAAAATCTGAATATTTGATGCTTTAAAATGTTTCTCTTAGAATCCCAGTACGACTTATGTTACTGAGATACAGCACTTCAAAGTATCACTAAAAATGTACAATTTTTATTTGATCCCTCAATTTTTCCATTGTACGAGGGCGGTCCGATAAGTACTTAGCCTTCAAAAGAAAAACGAAAATTTTTGAAAAGTGGCGATTTATTTCTCAACATGAATGAATGAAACATGAAATTAGAGGCATACCAGCCACCATAAGGGGCCAGCGCATAGGCCACTCAGAATAGTCTCCTGTAGTAGTTAAGAGCCTCACAGCGTCACAGAAGAGCGCCGAGGTCTCTTCCTCTACCCCGCAGCGCTCACACAAGGGATCCTCAGCCACCCCCATCACGAGCAGGTTGCGCCTTAACGTGGTATGGCCAGACAATAGTTTCACCAGCAACCTTAGGTTGGCTCTATCCAAAGATAAGCAGAAATTTCCATCCTTAGCGCTGGGCAATACAATGAGTTCCCGTGCCTGGAGTGGATGTCTGGAGATGCTTCTCCATTTCTGAGAGTGTTGTCTTGAAATCCACATCCCCTAACCCTGGCTCAGCACCAACGAGCTTGCTGGCTGATCCTGTCTTCGCCAGAGCTTCCGCCGTCTTATTGCCCTTTATCCCAGCGTGCCCAGCAGTATGACCCTCGACAGTATTCAAGAAGGCCCAGCTCCATACTCAGTGTGCGACTACTCCCGTTTCTCCGCGGATCACTAGATCCAACGGCGGGAGATCCAGCAGAGCTTCCATTGCGCTCAATGACGTTGTCCGCACTGCGCTTGTAATGTTGATACAGACCAAATGCTAAATTTTACTGAATTTGGCCTTAGTAGTGTAGTCTCAGTTCCAATACAAGGCCACCAAACCAAGGAGCCGTACAAGAGAGATAGATGCACCGTCAAGCCTTCTTCAGCATAGGCTTGCACGTAGACACTCGCACTGCTGAGTCTAACGAGGAGGTCATTCACCACGAGGCACCACAGTAAGGGTGACAGAACTCCGCCCTGTGGGCAGCCTCGAGCTACGCTGACGCTGCAGCTTACCTCATTCAGCATAGCTATTGCTACCCGACCCTCCAGAGTAGAAAGGACCCAATCTACTAGGATTGATCCAACCCCGTGCCTAACCAAGGAATGTCTGATGGAGTCGGTTGTAGAGCAATTAAATGCACCTTCAATTTCCAAAAAGGCCACGAGTGTCACTTCTCGCAGATCTAGAGTCTTCTCCAGCCTGCCGACCAGATCAGTCGATTTTCTAGCTTGCTAAAGATGAAAGGGTAATCGGACGAAAATATTTCGGGCCAGTGTATCTCAACATAATCTCGTTTTAGCTCGACGCACAGCAATGCTCCAACTTCATTGAACCCCCTGCAAAATACGATTTCTGCAGTAGGCTTCTGTGGCGGCGATAACCTCCTCATTCGACTCAAATTTCTGCACGGCGAGTGACTTTTCTAGTTTGTAAACAGAAAGAAGTAGCACGGTGCCAAATCTGGAGAATACGGTGGATGGGACAGCAGTTCGTAGCCTAATGCGATCAATTTGGCCGTTGCGACGGCGGAGGTGTGAGGCGGTGCGTTGTCATGGTGGAAGAACACTTTTTTCTTCGCCAAGTGGGACCTTGTGAATCCCAAAAAACGGTAATTATCACCTTACCGGCCGATAAGACAATCTTCGTCTTCTTCGGAGCACGTTCACCGGGAGGAGTCTACTGTTTCGACTGTTTCTTGGTCTCTGGTGCATACCAGTGGATCCATGTTTCGTCAACGGTCACGAAACAAGGCAGAAACTCTGTCGGACAACGTCAAGCACTGCTCTGAAGTGGTCTCACGGTTGCGCTTGTTGTCCGGAGTGAGCAAACGCGGCACCCATCAGCTTTCTCATGCCCAAGATTTCATGCAGGATATGACCTACGCGGTCTTTCGAGATGCTTACTGTCTCAGCTATCTGGCGCACCTTCAGTCGACGGTCCGCCAATACGAGATCGTGGATTTTAGTTACGTTATCCTCCATGGTAGCCGTTTTCAGGGCACCGGGGTGCGGCTCATCAAAAACCGACGTGCGATTACGTTGAACCTCGTTAAACCAATTTTTGACTGTCGCCATCGTACACAGGATCCAAGCGCTCTTTGATTTCGCTGCGCGATTTCCTTCCACAAACAAGACGATCGATATTGCTCTTTTTCATTTTTTAAAATCCACGGCCGCTTCCACACGCGACTTAAAACTTTCGAGTCCGATTTTGCTAAAATTTTGACAGTAACCGTCTTCGAGAATGTACTACACGATAGTAAATTCTCTTGCGATAGTGCCGACATCGGGCGGTGAGGCCAAGTACTTATCGGACCACCCACGTATTTAATTGCAAGAATCAGTGCTGATTTGAGTGATTTTAGGCGCTGAATGCAGAGTGTCCTCGAAGTTGGGACTCTCCTTTATAGAGCGTACACATTTTGGGAAAAAAGAGGAATTTTTTTCTTAGTAACATATCCATCAAAGTCTTATAATTACAGAAATGTTATGCTCCGCGAAATAAATCAAACCCAAAGAAAACCTAAGCCGGTCCTGCACCTGGATCAGATCAAACGTGAATACGAACTATGCGCAAACCAAACCTGTATACACCGATTCTAAAAAGAAACAAAAATGGTACACTCATACAGCAATATCGGAGTTGTCATATTATTTTAATTTACGGTGGGTGTCTTTGTAATGCTACCAAGGCTACGCGAGTTCATGCAGATCAGTTTTTCAAGATTCTTCGTGATTTCTTTACTTGAAATTTATTTTCGATGAACGGAGAATACTTTTTCATTTATCTTTCTTACTTTTTCGCTGTTGTTTACCATACATTATCTTTATTATTACAAACGTAGTTGTTCCTGGAAAGGAAAGTACCAACTTTCAGGACACCCTGTATAAATATACCCGTCATAAATCGTCGTTCGGTACATACGAAGATTGTTCCAAAAATAAGGTTCCCGCATATTTTCATGCACGAGGATTTTTTTATTTGAAAAAACGAATTCACCATTAGAAGCGTTGATCTTTTTTCTACCCATTGGGAACATTATTTTTGAAACAACCTTCGTATATTATTCTCAACGGATACAATGCATCGCAGGTTACCTATGTATAAGAAGAAGTAGGTTAAAGATATTTTTAAAAGTATTATATCAAAGGCACCGTATAAGATTTATCTGAATGTCAAAAAGTAGTGCTGCCGAAGTTGCAGAATCTTTTATTTCATTAGTTTATTTTTGGACCATTCGTGTTGATACAAGTAATGGAAAAGTGTAAAATCAAAAAAGAGAGAGAGAGAGACAAGAGATAGATATAGAAAAATCAAAAAGAAAAAAGTGAAAAAATGGCAAGAATAAAAAGAAGTAGAAAATAGATGTCGTAGGTGTTTTCGTAAAAAATGTCAAAAATTTGGCAGGCCGTTTTGTATAAAAAATGCATATGCTTTTTGCGCTTTAGTTGTAGCAAAAATGCCGTATTATCACACAAACCAATGCGTATCCAATTCCAAGTATTATTGGTCGATTCAAGCAAGAGCATGTTATAACGCTGTTAATTGTATAGCCAGGCATTATTTGTCTTTTTATCCTTGCAAAATATATACAATGGTAAAATATATTAGGTTTTCACGTCAATGGAATCATCATCTAGTTTTGTCGATTATTCCCCATACCTTTAGAATGGAGCACATAGCCAAAGTCGAATCCATCTATAATCCGTGACAGTAATTCTAAAAATTGACACTTACAGCCGTCAATGCCGCTTAGTTCAGTTAGGATATCACAAGTAGCCTAGAGTCATTTATGAAGAAAGCGTAATAACTATTAGTGTCTTGCAAGAATGCCTGATTTACGAATTTGTTCAAATCCATTTGGGCTACTTCTGCCATTCTGAATTAACAAAAAATTTGAGACTGGAAACTCAAATAAGTTGATTGCATCTATGGAATGGTTTTATGTAAATGTTTCGGATCATATGACTTTTGAATTTTCATCAATGCTTTCTTTTTGTTCTAGTATTTGATTGTTTTTGAAAGGAAAGTTCGGATTGTGGGTCTGAAATTCATTTCATTGCGCTCATAAAAAATATTACTTAAACAATCGATAATGGGTGAATTTCGTAGAAAAATGGCAACCGTGCGAACTTCGGACTTCTAAAAAACAGTACTAAATTAAAAAGAAAAATGTTGATGAACATTTAATACATATATTCTTGAATATTTAAATGCGATCAACTAATTCAAATTTAAATATGAATTCCCTCGAGTCCTTTTACAGACCTGATCCTTTTAAAAAACGAACAGGAGCTTAAAGTGTCTTAGAGAATATAGTCAATTATAGAATTGACTATGCCTCATTTCAAACACCAGTTTGAGGAATAAATCGCGAAAAACTTTTGAAATGAATCCATTGGAATTATTTATATACATTATATACACGTAGATTACTTGCGTCACTATACAGGTATAGTTTTAGGTACAGTTCAAGACAATCTTATTAGCACAAGACGTCATTGACGTCAAAATCTAAAACTATAAACAAAAAGTTCAAAATGGTAAAATCAGTATCTAGAGATAGAAAATAGAGAATCAAGTGGTGTCCAACAGACAAAAACAAAAAAACGAAAATCAATTGACACGCATAGGTGCCTATATAAAATAAAACTAATCGTGAACAAAGCTGTTCCATCTTGTTTAAGCTCCTCAGAACAGTGTTCTATTGAGCCTTAATTGCAATTTAAAACATAAGTGTAATTACTACCTTCATGTATCTGCATACGGTGATGTTTCGTCTTATTCAGGTACATCACAACAATGCAGGTAGATTATGCTTTAATATAAAAATGGTATGTTGAACAACACTGATCGAAAAATACCTCTAATACTGTTGAAAGACGTAGTAAGAAATGAATTATTTACAACTTCACCTCTAAGTATAATCACAGAGAAATTATTCACATGTATTTAAAACCAACACGTAGGTGAATCACTTGGTTCTTCTTCTAAGTTAGACACAATGACACAAACATGTATATCGACTCTAAAATTTGACATGTATATATCAATCAACACGTATTTTTTTAAACGCGGCTAACCTGTTTATCAGACGCATCCAATTCTCCCGGACGTTTGCCGAGTTTATGCTTTAAATAAAAAAGAATAGCTAAATCAAATAAATTGAACAAAACAAAACAAAAAAACAGAAGCAGAAAAAATCCAAATCCAATCTGGTTAAATCAATTTTGGTACGGGACGTACCAAACACCAATAGTTCAGTAAAGTCACCTCCCCTTTGACACAACACGGGAATGAATCTCAGAAGTGGGATTGCTCCAAGCCTGTGGCGCCACCCGTCATGACAAAATTCGTGAAATGCTGAGAGCTTTTAGTGGGTGTTTTCGAAAAATCTCATAGTAAGTAAACACATCTGAAAATTATCCTGTGGTTTTCATGCTGATAAATCTCCCTGTTTTTTTTCAGACTGACAGTGTGGTCTGGCAAGAGCCTGCGAAGCAAGAAACGCATATAGTAAGTGAATCTTGCGCCCTGCATCTGCACCCATAACCCTACTACGGTATATCAAGGTATTAAATACACCATCTTGCAAGCCATAATGAATACCTCAGTCTGAGACTTTAACCCAGTAGACCTTAGAAAATGCGGAGGTCAACTGCATGCTCCTCTATGTGTCTGAAGAAGAACATTCCATGCATAGGCTTGTCTCTATGAAGCCTTAATAAGCAATTTGCTCCAGCAGTTTTTATGTTGCTCTTCAATTGAGCTCTGCTGGCATTCCCGCTTAAAGTCGAGTATGAGACTGAGTTCAGTTCGCTGCCCTCAAAAAAAGCTCCTTTATCCACATTCTCGTGCTCATGCACAAAACGTATGAGGGGATCGGTGCTCCTCACAATATCACAGGCAGTGCTCAGGAAATGTCATGTCATGCAAACTCTCCAAACTCAATAGTTCACGCCCTCCCTGATATCTTGGAAGGTATATACAAGGAACTGAGGACTCAGGATGTAAATTTCTGTGCATGTTCATCGTTTTTCGAGATGTCGCTATTCGTCCACTGTCCGGTGGATGGCCCCGAAGATGTACCACCGCACACCGCAAGCATGTTTGTCGCAGCGACTTTGTTCTTACCAGATAGCTCTGATGACCAGATCTGCCCGAGTCAATGCATTATTATTATTACTTTTATTATTATTATGTCCGTCACATTGATATATTTCCCAAATTGTTTCATTTCGTAAAGAGAGATGTTTAAAAACTGACTGTTTGAAATTTGAGCAGTATTAAAACGTTACTGCAAAATTAGAAAATAATCTGATGATGAGTTTGTGGAATATTTAGCAAGAAAGCTGATAAATCGCGATCCAGAGACACTCCTCGTTGATATTAGGTTTGTTAAGTGCGCTTGTTCCGCAGTTTAAATTCAATTTTAGTTTTCTAAATGTTTCCACTTTAAATGGCAATCTTTAAGATCCCATGCAAACATCATAGTCGAAGATATGTCAAAAGCTTGTGCACATGAATAGCTACTGAAATAGTTTGAGGAACACATATGCATAGCAGCTTTTTCTGCTCGAAATGTGAGACTATGTGAAATATCCTGACGAAGCTTGAGCACTACGATTTGAGCCATTTTCATTTCCGTGTTAGTCTCAAGTTAGGGTCACGTTTCAGTGAAACTTTACCGAACTACAAGGTCAGCTTTGTGCCTCAACACAAATCTCACCTTTGGATCAAGCACTTCTCCAGGTCGTAACTTTCCTCCCTGTTAACAATATAACATTCGATATAAATATACTTGATAGCTGATAAGTATATTTTTGGTTGACACGTGCCAATTGAAAATGTGGAACCACCTTAAGAGAATTTTGCAGATGAGAACTTGAACAAGTCGTGAGCAACAATTCTGAAGAGTGCAGTAAATGAACATAATGGAAATTTAATTGTGCGAATCTGAGGACGCCTCAAAGTCGTTTGGAGTTTAGCGAGTGGTTTTATGAAATTTTAGTATACCCAATGTCATTGCCTTGTTAAGAAAAACACTACGTTTATCCACGTGATTCTCAAAATGATTTGAAATCGACAGATTCAGTTGAACCTGAATTATATGCACTAACAAAAAAAGTCACTTCATTGTGCATCTAACTGAATTGGAACAAGGTTTATTAAACAAAGACCAAAGTGATTAGTTGCTAAGCTTCCTGAAAGAATTCCCGATCTAAGAAAATAACAGCGTGAAATGTGGCAGCACTGTGTCCCAACTGTGGCCTGATACAATCCCGCTTTACCTCTGTCTCGCAGAATGTTTGGTTCCCACACAAATTTAACTCTTTATTTACATTTATTATTATTATCATCGTTAAAATCATCACCCTGAATTTCATCTTGATAATTTGACGCGTTCAGAAGTGGAGGGAACCTCATGTAAGCAATGACTCTACTGATATACATTGTCTCAAGACTTGTTCAGATGCTCATTGGTGTTCGCCAAGATGAGTCCAAAGTTTCACCGCACTGGGTAATGACGAAGATCCCCACATTGTAATAAGACAGAACTGGAAAGTGTTGTAGTTTGTTGTGTTATACTCGACCTCAAGGCTTCGTGAACGTAGTGTGGCTAAAATGTGGCTATTGGCAGGCTGGTGCACTGCGGGGTGGGTTTTATGCAAGTTCGGTCTTGTTAAATTGTTGCTGGGTGCCACAACAATAACATAACTTCACTTTTCAAAATTTTGTATAACATTTTATCTAGCATCTATATATCTAATCTATTCTGAGGGCGTTTCGATTGAGATTTTTAGTCTTCTTCTGGCGAACCAAATAATGCAAAGGTGAAGTCTGACAGCTAGAATATCTTTTGGCCCTTTTTGCAGTCTCCGAACACAACATGTCTGTTTTGGAGATTTTCTCTGATTGATGTGCCTAGTTGATACATAATAATAACACTGAAACTAGAACTCGATCAGCACGAAAGCTTATGTCAATAAGCTGCCATTCTCTATCAAACTCTGTCATGCCAAGCATCTCAGCTCTAAGGACTATACACGACATATTTGTCTAGGTCGTGGAATGACGTTTCATCCTCTTCCCAGCATTTGGAGCTGATATAGTGGCCTATGAAAATCTCAACTACAAAATTGAGCGACCCTTCACTTTTTTTCACGTCACATCATTTGACGCTTGCTTAGACCTCTTGATCTGCTTAACAGTGTTTTAACCAGTTCTATTTGTCCCCAATAGTCCAGGGCGGTATTAACATAGCATATGCCTATATTCAGGTACCATATATTTTGCTACTCTCTTTCGTTTCGGTAACAGTCTATAGTATACTCAGCATCTCCTTATACCGGAGTACATCTGTGATATAGACCAGATAATACAATCTTGGCACAAAATATGCTAGTAAAATAGAACTCCTAAAAGATAAAATACACCTGAAGATGACACAATAAATCTCAAAAACGTCAGCCACTGAAATTTTGTTATTTCTTGTCATATATTATAGATTCAAACCTTATTATTTATTGAGTCTTTCTATAGATCAATATTGTAATATTGTTCAGAGTCAATTGATTTGTCTAGTTATTGTTGTGGCGTATAACATCCGTATCCTAAGTGAATCGTGGGTCCCACAACAAACCATACCTATGTAAAGTGCGTAGAAACGTGAAGCTACTAGTTGTAAGAATATGCCAAGGTGTTGGATATGGACTGGATGTTATTAGAATATTTAGGTGTATGAATATATTTTTCAATGATGATTTAAACCAGTGATGTAGTCAAATAGAGAGTTTTTTCCGCAAAAAGCCAATTGTTAGCGAGATCTTGGTTATTAAAGACTTGCGAATCCAATCCAACAGGCACCTCTTTGCATACTCTTAGATCTCAGAAGCGTAACCAGTTTTCACATGTGGAATACGGTAATCATTAATTTTCATCATGTTGACTGTCTCCCAATAGTTGTATTCAGCCTTTTAGGCTCTCAAAAAAGGCCTACTTTGTTCCTCTACCAGATTGTGTGCTTTTGAGGTCTCTACCATGCAGCTCTATTCTGTGAATATTTTATTTCTATCGCCATATTTGTCGCCAACAAGACTTTGAGCGGGAAATTTGAAAACCAAAATTATTTGAGGAGATCTAGGTGTAAACAGTTCAAAAAATAACACAACTCACGAGTGAGTGACGTATCACCCGCTTTGGATTGAAAATAAGTACCTGAACACAGTACCTATAAGATAGTTGGGAATGGACTGACATTAAGGCTTGGAGAATATTTGACAGTTTTTTTACACCGAAGCAGTCGTGCAGGCAGAAGCCTAAAGCCAGGGCACCGTGGCTGCCAAAGAAACTTTGTTAATCCGATGTTTAAACTGCCTAAGGTTAGTAGAACATACAGTGGATTATTCATGAAGATTGATCATGATTAATCACCAAACTTGGCAACCGTGTTGTGCCCTCATAGCAGTTCTGTCGAAGTTCTTGGGCTTGATACCCTGATAAATCATTTTTGGTTTTCTGAGTGTTCCTGTCAGTGTTCCAGGTTTCATGAAACACCAAAACAAATGAAGAGTATTTAAGGTTTTGAAAAATCTGGCTACGTAACAAAGATCTAGTGTGTGTAATTGTAGTAATCGAGGTTTGTTGTGGGATAAAGACAGTGAAAGCTTCATAAAATATAGATTTAATGTATTTAGAGTGCGCATATCCATAAACTTAGAAGATTATAGGAGGAGCCAGGCGTACGATGCGTTACTCTGGAATGTGTTACCTTTTTGTCGTCCAATACCTCGCCTGGCCGTAGTTTCCTATGTTCCTATATAAGACATATAAGTTAATACATTGATAGAACAATTAAAGAGGTCCCCTGGTCACGCTGACTTTGGCTCTGGTAGACCTTTGCTAAAAATTGAACAAACGCTATCCATGGATAAGAAACGCAGGTAAGTAGATCGACTTCGTACTTTCCACTTCAAAAACTCGCGAGATGATACGTAGAGTTCACTATTGGCTAGGGAATAATTATTCTATTGATGAAGTTACGAAATGTCTATGTTCGCTTTGCTACTGGTGTTGCGACTGGAAATTGGCAGCGAAGAAAGCATGATACTTAGGTAGGCCGTTATAAATAGGAAGGATAAGCTTTACGATTAGCTGACCAATCATTTGGTAAATCCATTCCAGGGAAGCGTTGGCCTTCATCGTTAATGTAAGTAAAACTCCGCTGGATAGTATTACTACCCCTTGTAAGAACCTGCAAGCGTCTAATAGGACCTAAATGCGGTGGTCCTGACTGGTTGCATTTCCTTGAATATAGAATACAAAATAAAGAGTTCGAATAGTCATGACTGTGTCTTAAGTTCGCATTTTGATCTCACATCTAATAATCTGATATCCAGTTTGCTTTAAGGCGACTGCCAAATATCTAACTTTCGCTGATTCCGGTCCACACGGATCTTATCTGCACCAATTTACTTTTGGATATTTGGCTGTGATCCCGTTTGAGTCTGTGGAGGCTTTGTATGTTCAAACTTTATCTATCTATGCGATCAAAGTTATTTACTGCTGAACGTGCCACTGTTTACGCCACTATGTTCTTTCCTGCGTGTTTTGGATTTCTAACATTATATCGTTCCTTAATCTGCGGACACTTTTAACCTGGTTAAACGTTTTTGGGAATCGTATCATATTTATACATTTTGCATAACTATTCATAGCTTGAATTTTTCTTTTTATCCAGTAGTACTTGAAAATTATAATTTATGCATATTCTTTATTGTATGTCCATAACGAATAAAGATATTTATTAAAAAAGTATACCGTTGTATTATTTCGAAACAATTCAAAAAAACAGTGACACATCCGTAAAACGCTATCTAGTGGCCACAAAGTGAACTAATTTGACAAGATTGAGCCTTGAGTAGGAACGCATGCGCATGCCCTTTCTATTGAAACCAAAATCGTGGAAATTCAACCCTTCCCCACCATAAACGAAACAATATATGGTAAAATGACATTGAGAAGTCTAAAAATTGAGCAATGAACATTTTGAGATCAGTACATTAATTGAGCATTTTTGCAAGATAATGGCGTTTGAATTTTCGAAATTGAAAATACCCCTAGCGTCTGTTTTAGGAAGCTGAAAATAATTTTAACCGATGGGTCACCCGGTACATGTAAGATAACTATGTCGCAGGTTCACACCTTATACTGATAGGATTATTTCATTATCTTTGTTCGGGATAAAAGTGCTGAGTCAATCTACTTGGCACAATTCTTCCGACGATAACCTTTTTTTTGTGCAAAATCACTTGGGATTCGACCAGAGCCAAAATCGGTCATCCCTTCCGGCTCAGGTCCACGGACAAGACAAAAACTGCTAAACAGAAAGAACTGATTATAGTAAAACAAATTCTAGAAGAGATACGTACCTCATCTGAGATGATGAGACTGGCCCTACGACCCATAGCCTCCGGCGGAATAAGTGAGCCCCTTCTGCTACCAGGTCCGGACCCAGGTTCCAAGGATTTTTTCCTCGGTTCAGGGGTCCGTTCCTTGCTGACCTCAATTTTTGGGGCATCTGGCGTTTTTATCTGAGGCAAGCTTGGTCTAGGCGTTTCGGAGAGCACTCCTTGGCTAGGCTTTCTCTCCTTGCCTTCCACAGCCAAACTTGGTTTCTCCTGAGAAAGTATTTTGTTCTCAAAATGACTCTTTGGGAGGGTTTGGCACTGTGAAGCCAAGCGATGCGGAAATACCAAGCGCCAAAGGCCAGCAAAGCAGCGAGCGACAATGGTTTCAGGTTAATAAAATAAATAAACCTAAGGGATGTTTTTCTTGCTTACGAATAAATTATGGTTGACAGCACTGACGGTATCTGGTGCGGAATGAGGCACTTGCGTACTTAAATCGTTGAGGTTATTGTTATTAATTAGTGTTTTTTTTTGGAACATACAGGGTATTACAGAAGGTTGGCAGGGAAGTTTAGCGACAAATTTAGCACGTTAAGCTGTGTCTATTTACCGCTATTGGATGTCATATGACATGTACGAGTATATCACGAAAAAACATGTCACTGTCGATCTATCTGACCGATAATTTGTCTAGCTGCCAGTAACTTGAAAAGTACTACTCGAATTTCGATAAAATTCTCACACAATGCTTCTACTATGCCAAGGGCGTAAAAGCTTTAACGATAACGAAAAGCTTCAAGACAAGTTTTTCATGCAGAATAATATGGATTTTATAAACCGACACTTATTTTTTGCGGACATCCGTGGCCCCTATCTTGAAAATTGTGAATTTTTGGATCCGTATTTATATGTGATTTTATGCATATTTTACTCCAGAACAAGCTCTTTAATTTTCCTTACAACCTCCTGTCCTACATAACCTCGCCATATTTGGAACTTGTCGCTCCAAAACAGCTTTTCGTTGCTTTGAAAAAACAAATTTTCTTCTTAAAATAATAGCGCTTACGATTTTAATAAATTTTTTTGACACGCGCTGAGTGTTACTTAAATATCTACAATAAATTTCCTGATATAAGTAAACAACACAAAAGCACTTAAATCTGTCTGAGTTGTGACTAAGAAATTGGGCTTTGTGCCAGCTCATTGGACATGAGCTATTGTGGTTCATTGCCAGAAACATTGGATCGAAAAAATATGATTTCTTAATAAACGGAGAAAATGTAAACTTGTCAAGGACCCAACAATTCAAAAACTCTGGAAAATGCAGTAGCCCGAAAATCGCTTCAACACAAAATATGTATAACAAGAACAGGGTGCTATTAAAGATGTGGTATGACGTATAATTCATGTGAAAATGAGTAAATTTTCTTAGTAGCAAACATGAAAGTCTCAAGATAACCGAGTTAAAATTTGCTATAACAAATCCGGCTTGGCGTTCCTCAATGGATTAGGTAAAAAGTACTTCACTAGCCGTGTAGGTATACCGAACTGTTTGTTTATAAATCCAATTTTCCAAAAATGGCACATTCCGATGGCAATAATTAACTTGTCGATATGATGATAGTTTCGTCAAGACACTGCTTATGCGTTTTGAGTGTGTCTAAGTCGTTTTCCTGGACGTTTCCATCTCGCACCGTACAGGCTTGTTAATCTAGTACAAAGGCTACTGGTAGGAAGGTTGAGGTGATCATAATAGAAAACCTAGACATCTCCTACGCCCGGTTTTTCAATCGCAAGTTAACTTTCTGATTAGTTATTCCTATAACCAGGAATCAACGTGCAGTCCTTATATATTTATGTTCACAACCCTGCATCTGCGTTTCTTAGATATCGTGTTCTGTGCATTTTGTGAGCTCGTCTTTTTGGAATGAAATTATTTTCAATAGTCGAAATTTGAATAAAACCTTCACCAGGCAAGGTAATATCTTTTAAGCATTGCTTGTACAAATGTTTAGTAGTTTATACAGATAGGATTAGAAAAATTATGGTAAAAAAGGTGACAAATGCAGTATCTAATCAACCTGACATGGGTCAAAAAATACACGAAAAATACAACTAACTTTGTAAATATCTGTTAAAATGTCGTGTTTGCCACCTTTTTTAGCATCCCTTCTATAATCCACGACCCAAAAGTAAAGGCAGCGGAGAAAAAAAATTTGAATATATATATATATATAGCAACAGGAATATATATATATATATATATGTATATCAAAAAATATGAAAATAATGGGCAAAATCCGCAAAAAGAAGGAAAGTGGATTAGAGCAGAAAATAGGATAGGTAACACGAGCGAGACGTATTTCTGCTGGTTGGCTTCATCAGGCCCGAAATGTATGCACATATGCAACTACAAAAGTATCTACTTGCCCATACATCCGGATACGGGTGTAACCGGAGGAAACGAAGATGGAGTAAAAAAAAATTGCACACGAAGTCCTCGAATCTTCAAGGCGACAACTAACCACAACCACGCGGCCGGTTATAGGTCGAGGTCTTCTAGCCATTTTATACTACAATGTGTAGGTTGGGTCTTGTTGTGGACTTCGTGTGTCATTTTTTTCCTCTCCATCTTCGTTTCCTCAGGTTACACGCGTATCGGATGTATGGGCATGTGTATCTACTTTTGTAGTTGCATATGTGCATTCATTTCGGGCCTGATGAAGCTAACCAGCAGAAATACGTATCGCTCGGGTTACCTATCCTATTTTCTGCTCGAATCCACTTTCCTCCTTTTTGCGGATTTAGCCCATTATTTTCCTACTTGTTGTTATATATATATATATATATATATATATAACTTGAGACGTGGTCATTGTCGTCTAGACCAGTTAGGTGAAAAATGAAAGCTTCCGCCTTTTGTTGGGTACTTCGACAAAATTTAAGCAAGGAGGACTCTTTATACTTTTTTTATTCTCTCTAGCTTTCAATGATCGCAATCATCAAGTGGCTTCACGATGTAATGCTTAACTTTAATTTTTTAATCTTTTTTAACTTGTTCTTGTCATACAGCTGTGTGTATTTTATATAATTTTGACCATTGTACCATTTATCCAGCTTTCACCATGTTACTGGGTGTTTCCCTCATCCTTAACGTAAACAACAATTAGCAACATCCTCACATACTACTCTCCTGATGATGATGGCAAAGACCATTGAAAGCTAGAGAGAATAAAAAAGTATAAAGAGTCCTCCTTGCCTAAATTTTGTCGAAGTACCCGACAAAAGGCGGAAGCTTTAATTTTTCACCTATATATATAGATAAGCTACTGAAACAATGAATTGTGTTATGCAACAAAGAAATACAACGTACTCTGAGCTAAGATAGTATGTGTGGAACAGTGGATTGAGGCGAATGTGTGTGGCAGGCCTTAGCAAATGGACAAGACGGGATTTGCGCTACAGTTTTGAAAAGCACGTCGCTACGGTGCAAATCAATTACTCTGAGTAGTGAGTAGTGTTTATAGAATGAGGTATGAACTACAGGACCAGAATCAAATATTTCAATTATAGTAGTACCATTTAAATTTACCATGAAATGACACTGTCTGCTGCCGCTTCTTTTCGAATCTTTAAAGTGAATATGTGACACTGTCATTTTTACTAGTGTTAGTAACGTATCCTATTTTCATAATTTTCTAACATTTCCTTTGATCGTTTGATGGTACACATACTATTTAGAATTCGATTAAAAATTAAAACTATATCATAATCTACCGATCTGCCCTCTCTATTTCGAAATAGTAATAATCAGCCCAAATTACTGCGTACGCAAAGGTACCAGCAATAAATGATGTTTTATTTCTCCTGCAATCTAGGTGGCGCTGGTTATAAAATAAAAAATTAGTAAGAGATGCGCAAACGACGGAGTGAGAGAGCGCTATATCTGAGAGAAACAATAATAGCCAAGGAATGTAGAAGTACAGTCGACGCGCCAAGTTTTTTCACAGTAGGCAAACGACTGTTATTTGATTTCCTATGATGAAAGAAGGTTGAAAGCTTGTTTTTCACTTCCTTTCACTGCAGTTTTAGAAGCAGTCGAAACCAATTCATTTGCCTAAAACTTTGTAAATTATCTATATTTTTTTTAATCAAAGACTATAAAAGTGTATGAATAGTTTATGCTACTCTTGCTAAACATTTACACAATTTGTCAAATTCAGCATGAGCTGTGACGTGATGTTTACGGTGCAACCGGTTTTTCACAGCTTAAACTGACTTTGCCAGACTGTACATCCAAAATTCCGCTAGAGTCCCCTTCTGCTTCATCGCTCCGTTCTTCGGCATCCTCATTTCCAGTTTCGGTCTCGAGAAAGTGGCTATCGCTGTCAACTTCATTTAAATGGATAACAACTTCGTCTACAACTCTATCAAAAGCGGGCTCTTGCTGCATAAACTCTATCTCAATTATTTTTGCATGCTCGCACCTAGTTTTCCATTCTTCGGGCGTAAAGTTATTGAAAAACGCGTCGCACCATTTTGAAACGGTAGAAAACTTGAAATCGACATTTCTGGCTGCTACGTAAGACTTCATTGTTGCCCACACGAGTTCTATTGGGGGTGCTAGGGTGGCAGTCTTAGAACATCGTGGCCAGCATCATGAAGAATTTGATCTATGGCAATTTTTTTATAAGCTGGCTTATGCAATTTAATCAAATTGTAAAGTTCTGGTTTAAGCATTTCATCTGTAAAAAAAATATTCCTGTCACGAAGCCAGATCTTCATTTCAGCTTTAGCGGTTGAAGATGTTAGACTTTTGTCTATCTGTTTATTGTGGTACGGCGCATTATCTATAACAACCACATTTCTGGGAGGTACATTTGGAATTAGTTTTTCTTTTAGCCACTTTTTATAATTATCAAAATTCATTTCATTATGAAAATCTCCTGTGCTACATGTAGATTTCCATCTTACGTATGCATTGGGTATAAATCCATTTTCACCGCCAGCATTGAGTATGATCAGCCTTTCTCCCTTTGATATTGGTTTCTTAATGCCGTCTGTGGAGTTATCTACTGAGCTTTTGGTATGTGTATACGAAGAATGTATACACGTTTCGTCAATATATATTACTGGGCGTCCTTCTTTTTTATATTTCTCCATTTTCAACAATCCGTAAATATCGAATCTCTGCCTATTCTATTAATAGTTTTCTATTGGATTCAAATTTCTTCCACCTGAATCCCAATTTGTGTATTTCCTTGCGTAGT